TTCTAAAGGCTTTTTAATAAATATGGCAACATTTTGTGACGTTTCATCGTTGCTGACGCGTAGTGAAGTGTTTTGAGAGTCATGTGAAGGCAACAGAACTTACGTAACGCATACGGTTTTTTTTATAGTTTTTCATTTCTCGATGCGTCCTTAATGTGTCGGAATATACCGCGTTTACCCTAAGTTAATAGATGATTAAGTTAAGAGACGGTTTTAGACACATATAAACTAATTCCAACACAGCTTGCCTGAGCTTGGAATTAGACACACACAGCTCATTCCAAGCTGTGTGCAAAAATTTAAATTTTCTTGATTAAAAGCTTAATAGCTCTTAATAAAAAGCCTTATTAAGTAGTGTTCAATATTTAATAGTGTTCTAATTCCAAGCTCTGTTGTAGTTATTCTAATTTCCAATACAGCTCACACAGCAATCAGAATTTGAACACAAGAGTGTCGGAATTACAAATTAGTAGAGTTCGAAGCGCGGCCGGAATTAGTCTCACAAGATGCCAAATTTAGTCACACACAGCATCAGAATATATGGATTTGGTAGGTTTGCATTGTAAAGGCTTTTAAATAAATATGGCAACATTTTGTGACGTTTCATTGTTGCTGGCGCCGCGGCATGTAGTGCGGTGTTTTGAGAGTGACGTAAAACAAACAGAACTCGAGTTGCGCAAATGGGGATTTTTTTAAAGCCATTCATTTTGCTACGTCCTTAATGTGTTGGAATATACCGCATTTACCCTATGCTTATAATATGATTTGGCTGACAGCTATGACTTTTAAATAAGTTGTGTGACTGTCGCTCTGTCTTTTTCATTTCAGATCGTGCCACTAGTGATGCAAACACGTCAGAAGACTGGGCTCTCATACTAGATATTTGTGATCGTGTAAAAGAATACAATGATGGACCAAAAGATTGTATAAAAGCTATTGCTAAGAAGTTAAACAGTGACCGTCCAAGAACTGCCCTGCAGGCCATAGTTGTGAGTACTGAGTATGCGATTGTATTTCTATGCACTTGTCATAAATTTCTGCCTTACAAAACCAGTATATGCCGTCAAACAGTATAATAAGTAACAGGCGGGTAAAATGGGGACAATTCTCTGATATTTCATAGAAATGTTGTAGTAATCCATCAAAATGTTGAACCATCCATCAAATCCATCAAAGTAGTCAATGGTTGGATATTGTGATGTTGATGATGTGAACTGGCAGACTTAGAAGGTCAGCATGCATGATGACAATTGACAACCTCCAGCAGTCTGCCCATGTCATGCGTTGGCAAGGTCAAGTGACAAACCATGCTGAAGATGGCCAGATGGTTGTTCAGCTGACGAGCCAATTGGTCTTTGATGCAATCCAGTCAAACATTCAAATTGCAAGTGACAAGGACATTATTGGGCAATATCACAAGTCTGATGAAGATATCGCTCAATGTGACGAATAAATGCAATGCAGCAACCTATCCAGGATGGTAGATGGTGACTGCATTGCCCATAAACAAGGCACAGGTGATCTTAGCACCTGTAAGCTTACAGATACAGAAGAAATGCTGTACGGCTGCTGATGTAAAGCTTGAAGTGGATAAGGTTGTTGTCAATGCTCAATGGCAGTTCCATGGATATTGTAAAATCACATCAATATTGCAGTAGTGGATTGATATGGTAATGTCATATCAATAAAGGAAAACTGGTACAAATCACAGTAAATGTCATTTATTCGACATCTACATCTTCTTCAGAGGAACTGGAGGACCTCAGAGTACTGTTAGTTATGGATGAGTACACTTGTGCATGCTTCAAACATTTTAAAATTAAGTTTGATTTCAAGTGTCCCAAATTACCCCATTCCCAGGGGTAGTTAGGGGTCCCTTAAGGTTTGTATTCAAAGCCGCCCAAACTCCACAGGGAGCTTGCTTGAGTTTGCTGCCGAGACGCGTGAGGGCTGGTTATCTTACGTCTGGCCGACGCGATGCCGTATAGGAATGCGTGCTTGCTCAGGCCGTGTCGGGCTGGACCACAGTACAAGCTCACAACAGTGCAGCATGTAATGAATGAGCTTTGACTACTGCCAGCAAATTCTTTGCTATTTACAGCGCGATCGCGCGATCTTAAAAAAAACAAATAAACCTAAAATAATGATTGCGCCAAACCTTAAAAATATATAAGCATAAATTGAATTTTTTATTGTAATTAATTAATTTAATTATTTTTATTTGCTTATATTCTCATCCCCAGTATATAAATGCATTATATTCAAAACCGAAATAGCGTCTGTGATATTTAATTTAAATAGTATAAATTTCTACACGAAAGACAAATTATCGCTAGATTATTAATTATTTTTTCGTAATCATGTCAATTCTATGGGCACGTAAAAATAAGGTTACAGATACGCACCGAAATTTTACTTATAATATTAAGTGAATATATTAATAGAATACAACTTGTATGTGCATAGACTTGGGAAGAGACGCCCTAAAAGGTGTTAGGCAGCTGAGCTCAGTGAGCTGTTCCCTCACACCCCTCCCCTCTACCCCCACTTCCGATGTGCGGGTATCCCATTTGGTAATACGAGCCGATGCTTCAGGCCAAGTAGACTGTTTTCGAACAATTATATCCTCATCTACAGTATATAAATGCACAATATTCAATACTGAAATTATGTTGATGATATTTAATTTAAATAGCATAAATTTTTACGAAAGACAAATTGTCGCTAGATTAAGTACTAATTATTTTTTTGGGGGCACGTTAATATTATAGGCACGTAAAAAGAAGGTTACAGAAATGCATCGAAATTCTAACTTTAACTGGTAATTAAGATATATTAAACTACAAAGGCTGTAATTCAGACCAATAGTTTCCTCGTACCGACAGCTACACTGGCATGAAGTGCCTTGATGTGTAGTCTGTCAGCCAGCCCACAAAGAGGGTCTGGGTCGGGAGGAGTACTGCAGCAGGGGGATGGAGAGAAAGGGAGGTTGTGGCACAGCAGTGGGGATTGTTAGAGGGGATGGGTGTGTGTGTAAATTTTATGAGGGTTCCTATTCTCATATCGTCTCGGCTACATGACAAAATTTGAGAAAATTCCAAAACATCGGTTCAAAATCAACAACACTTATCTGTATATCTTCTGGTATCCAGGTCACGAAATAACATTTACTTCGTCCGGTAACTTTCATCTGACCTTGAACTTGGAACCCTCTCCCGCAACATCGAAGAGCCTCCTACCACTTAATGGTTGTAACGCATTTTTGAACACTCGTAGAATATCACTGTTATAGCCAGGAGGGTAAGGGGGTAAGGAGGTTGTCTCTCTACCCCCTGGGAAGAGGGTAGACGATGGACTCGGCCACTTCACGCGAGCTAATTTATGACCGCGTAGGAAAGTGTCGCGACAACGTACGACACTTTGACATGCTCGGGGCCAGGTCCCAAAGAAAATGGGAAATCTATGATTCAGGAGTGATGAAAAAGTAATTTGTTTGCTAATTTCTACAAAATAGAGGGTGATTCAAATATGACTTTAATACCGATCACAAGAGAATAAATAGTACTACTTCCTCATGTCTCAAAAACTTAGGTAAGTTGCATCTCATGCAAGTATTTTACTCTATTTTACTCTATTATTTTACTCTATCATAACTGATGTTATAAAAAATTTACATATATTTTGTAACAGTCAGGAAATTGTAAATAAATAGCTGAATGAGCATGAAAAAATTCAGATTGATATTTCATTTACAAGAGGAGTTAAAATGACTATACGTAGTGATAGATTCCCATAGGGATTCAGCCAAGCCTGCCTGAGAGCTCACGGCTTTCAAGCACCACCTTAAATAAGCATCTGGCACATTATAAATAGCATGTTGAATTTTTTGGCAATGCCATACCATAACCCTTGCAAGGACCTTCAAAATGAGCCTTAACTTGTTTAAAATAAGCCCAAATGTTTCATAGTAAGAAGTTATTAATGGAAAAAGCTCAAATTTGTCTCCTATTACATCGTTTGATGGTTCTTATTCACTTACAAAGTTACAATGCTTTCTATCACTCCATTCACATTTCATGGTCATAAAGAATCTTCTACCTGTTCACTCCCTTTTCTTATGTTTATATACCGTCAAACGGGGTGAAAAGGGACAGGCGGGGTAAATCGGGTTGTGCGTCCCCCATTTCGTAGAAATGTTGTAGCAGCTAAACTAATCAAAATATTGCTAAACTAAAAATAGTGGCATAAACTTCAACATTTTTACTATCTATTATGTATAAGGCTAGTCAAGAAATCGAACATTTACTATCTCTAAAAAATGGCTGAAAAAAGTGTGAAAAGTGCGGTTTTGGAAAAGTACCTCTGCTAAGGTCTGGAGCAAAAAAATATTTGCCGTATTAAAAAATTTTACTTACATAAGAGTTGCTCCCAGGTGTCGGCTTGAAAATGTAGTTGACGGAATTGTCCTATCTCATTCCCAAAAAAAAATGGCAGCCATTTCGGCATGGTGGGGCTACTCAGGACAACCCCCCCCCCCCCGGGGGTAATTAGGGACACCCTTAAAAATGCATTTACAGTAGAACCTCACTTAGCAAAGGTTCCAGTTAATAAAAAAATTGATTAACAACAAAGAATTTTGTTTGCATTTATCTTGCTCGGCGAAAAAAAAGTCATTTATTGAAAAATTTGTGCATTACCATCAACCAGGGCTACTCGGGACAGATTTGATCATTTTTTTTGTTGATAACTGTTAATAACTTCTTACGATGTAACATTTCGTAAACAAATTTAGGCTCATTTTATAGCTTTTTGCGAGGGCTATTGAATGGCATTGTCAGAAAAATTCCATATGCTATTTGTAAGGTGCCAGACGCAAAATAAAGATTGTCCCGAGTAGCCCTGTCGGTCAGGGCTACTCGGGACAATGGGAATAAAACTTCATTTCAAAACATTTGAAGCATGCAGAGTGTACTCCTCCATTACTAACAGTACTCTGAAGTCCTCCTCTTTCATTGTAGATAATGTAGGTAGAACAAATGACATTTTCTGTGATTTTTACTTGTTTTTCCTTTATTGATATGATATTGCCATATACATTAATTACCGTATTAGTGATGTGCAGTTATCGTATTATTGATGCAATATTACCGTATCCATGAACATGCCATTGAGCATTTACAACAACCTTGTCCACTGCAAGCTTCATATCAGCAGCCTTATAGCTGNAATGTTAGCCCTAATGAAGCCATTCATCACAGGTTTCATTGTAATGTTAGCCCTAATGCACCCATTCATCACATGTTTCATTGTAATGTTAGCCCTAATGAAGCCATTCATCACAGGTTTCATTGTAATGTCAGCCCTTATGCACCCATTCATCACAGGTTTTAGATGCATGCATCAATAACTGCGGACGCAACTTCCACCTGGAAGTTGCCAGCCGGGAATTTGAACAAGAGTTGCGAAAAATCATAACAAATCAGCGAACTAATCCAAAGGTATGTACAAATTTGTAAATTTTTTCATATGTGTTAGCTTTGCAAAAATCTTGCTGGTGAAGTGTGGCCTTCTGGTTTATCACATTTTTTTATTTATGTCATAAAAATATATATTGAATTACTACTACTACTAGTCTACTACTAAGCATGGTTTAGTTTGACTAAACTTAATATTTTATAATCTTTCTGAGGAGTCTTATATGAATTAACCATGCTTTCCTATCATGCACTTAGCATTTTACCGATGAGAATATGTTATAATACTTTATGAATCTAAGTTTAAACTTGAAATTGCATATCCAGGAAAAATTGTTTTAAATACTTTTTATTCAATTCTTGTTTTGTTTGTTATTTTGGCATCAAATTAAAATAAATGAAATTTCTTTTTTATTTTCAATATCACTATTGGAAATAATTCTGTTCCCAGTCAAATTTTATTTGTCAAATTTATAAAATATGAATCGATATAAAATTATTTGTTTTAATTTGAAATAATGTTTCCATCAAAGGTATCAGAGAAGCTTCGGCAGCATTTACTGGCTTGGTCTGAAGGAGACTTCAAGAGTGACAGCCAACTGAGTCTCATCCCAGAACTGGTCTCCAAGCTCCGCCAACAAGGATATGAATTTTCTAAACCTGAATCTGTTAGTATGCTTCTATCCTTGCTTGATTTTAATATAAATTAATAAACACTTAATTTTGCATACGTTACAATCTGCATTTTAGAAATAACCAATTAGATAATCAAAGATGTACACTTTTGGACATTAAATATATAGTAGGTATGCTTTTTGGAAAGTTCTATGAATGCATGCTAATTCAATGGGGATCTATGAAGTCATATAAGTTCATCTGTAAAAGCATAGTAGTACTTGTACTATATCTTCCCTATGTTGCATAAATGAGGGTAATTACAAGGTATGTACTCTCAAACACAAAAAGTTTATACTAAATTTTATGTGGTTTTAGGGAGTTAACAATTTTAGTATTTTAGGTTTGTTTTTGCTAATGCTAGAATAGAATTTTGAGCTCTCCAGCTTTATTCATTCTTCACTAAATGTCTTCTTCCCTGTTTAAAGGTTCCAAAATTTTGTTCTCTGCTTGAACATGGATAAGAATCCAGGAATGAGATTCAATTTGTTGAATTATTTAATTCTATCATAGTTTAGCAATATCAAAATGTAATTTGGTTTTTCAATTTGGTATTTTCAAACAGCCAAGGAAAAAAGTTGAGTACAGCAATGACCCGAATGTTGTGAACAACAAGCAAGAAGAAGATGACATTGCTCAGGCCATCCAGCTCTCTCTACAGACCGCCCCCAAGAGCAGCACCAAAACTCACTCTACTTCACTCTATCCAAGGTGACACAGCATTTCTCAACTTGTGTAAATCAAATAGCTATATTTTTATCCATAAATAGCTTTAACATGCTGCAAAGTTGAATATATTGTTCAGTTAATGGGAAGTTGTATTTAGCTTGAGCATTTAATGATTAGTTTGAAAGTCTGTATTGTCTGTAGAAAATGTATCCTATGCTCTGCGCCCATCAGCATGTCTGAGGGAAACTTTGTGAAGTGTCGTGAAACTCTGAGTATTTGTAAAATGAATAAGATCAAGTTGGGTACAAATATAGCAAAAATGAAAAATCAAATAGTCAAATGAATAGTTTTCCTAATGAAAATAGTCAATAGTTTTCCTAATGAAAAATCAAATAGTCAAATGGGGTAAGACAGGATTGCAGCCTTCATGGGGTAAGAAAGGACCAGCCCATGGCATGCATTCTGATTGCACTGAATTTAATTTGACAGAAGAATATGTTAGGCAATCATTGCCTGTCATTTCAGTGTTTGTGGTAACCCTCTTCTGCAAATAATGAATTTTTGGTTAATTTTCATAGATAACCTATGTAAAGAAGGGTCACAAAATAGTTAACCCTATTTGGGAAATAAGCTGTGTCCGATTACAAAATTTTTTTGGCCAGGTCTGTGGATGTAGGCAGGTAACCTCAAGTAAACAAGCAACTTTTGAGACATAGAAGGCATTCCTACCAGCTACCATCACTGCCTGACAACTATTCTAAAATGGGGTAAAAAAGGACCGGACATGGGGTAAGACGGGACCACTAAATGATCCTGTTTTACACCACAAGTGGTCCTATCTTACCCCAAAAATGGTCCTGTCTTACCCCACAAATGGTCCTCTTTTACCCTATAATTTATCAAAAATTGCTTTCAAATGATTATATTATTGTGCACAAGTATACATGGAGTATTTTGGTCAAAATTTTCATCTTTTGCTTAAAATAACCATTCTAACTTGTAAGCTTTTTTAATTTGATAAATTCAGCATACTGTTGTGAATTGCATCATGGGGATGGAGAAAATAGGGATGTCTCTTCCCATTAGTGAGCTGCAGAACAATGTGCAAGAGTGGTTGGGCGAAAAATCATTGTGTGAAACATAAAAAATAATTATCACAATTTTGTGAGAGGGCATGGGCTATGTTTGAAGAAGTACACCACAAATGCAGTTAGCAAGAAAACACATGACGTCCGACTCTTAAGTTATTATCCATTGGTTTTATTACCAATTTGATAAATTTTCAGACAATGACACTAATTGAATATACAAGTAGCATTTGGCAATGCTCTACAATGAATCAAAGCCAACCTACTATTTCTATGCTCAACAAAGTTTTCTCGTGGCAAAAACTCCAATATGGCTGATACATTAGAGTTGACTCCCTGCAACATAAAACAGTAACAAGTGGTTGTTTAATCAAATAATGTGTTTCTAGATGGATAATATTGAATATCAGATTCAAATTTTTACTAAAAACCTTGTAACATAAGAATTACCAGTTGGTCCTTTCTTACCCCAGCCTGGTCCCATCTCACCCCAATGGGGTAAGATGGGACCAGCTCACTTTTTTTTAATCTGTACAGAAAACTGTGTTGTATGCAAAAAGTCTGAGTTGTAGCTTTGAAGCCCATTGCATATCCACACCTTGTGATAAGTTTAGGATTTTTTAGTTATTCATGGTATAGATGCTACATGCCTGTTGGTGATTTCGGTCCTGTCTTACCCCATCTGACTATTATTACACAAAGGAGGAGATTATTTGCTGCCTAAGTCGTTTAATGTAAATATAATAATGTAAATATAATGTACCGTTCAGAATATCAATTGATTCTATTCATTATGAAATGCGCGTAGCTTTGAAGCTGTGACAATTTCTCCTTGCATCACAACTAGGCAAATATTACGATATGAACTTTAATGACAATACACTCATGAATGACTGAGCTTTCTTGAAGCTATCAATTGCGGAAAACTTCACATTACTCAAATTTACAATTTATTTTCAGTGATCTATCTTCTGATTTGGCTCGGAGTTTTGACTCAAGCCTGACCCTGAGCGACACTAAGGGACGCACTGGCAACCCTCCTAGCACCAGCACCGCTGATGCTGTCAAGAAAGCTCGAGCGCTCTACGACTTTGAGGCAGTTGAAGATAATGAACTCACATTCCACGCTGGAGAACTAGGTAAATTTTTGCACTCACAGTTCTTATCAATTGATTTATCTATTATATATCAAGTCACAGGTCATTTTGAATAGAATTAGGGCTTATTCTTGGATTAAGTAAATGCCTGAATTGATAAATCATATTAGTGACGGCTCCAATGGAAGAAATTTGCTTATGGAATTGATAAAATAAATTGTAATTTTTAATTATTTTTTAAACATGGTACAAGATTAGTTTTACAGCTGCTTATGTTTGATGTCTGTGCTACACAAATTTCAACATGTCTTCTCTAGTGGGATTATTTCATAGACGTTCAATGTATTGTCAGTATATATTTGGCCTATTTATGTTGTTGAATGTACCGTATTTTTTGAAGAGTGAATGACTTTAGGTTGCTATTTATTCAAGTTATCACCATTAAAGACGTCCCAAGTGGCTGAAATGATATTAATGCTGTTACGTTATAATTTATAATAAAACATTTACATATAGCACCAAGCAGCCATCATAAATTGACACTATGACTTTTGTTGCAGTTGTTGTGTTAGATGACAGTGATCCAAACTGGTGGAAAGGCAGCAACCACCGCGGCGAAGGTCTCTTCCCTGGCAACTTTGTCACTCTCGATATTCATGGCGATGGAGAACATCAGTCACCCGCTTCCCGTTCGTACAGATAAACTATTCCTAGTGAACAGTTCTTTGTGTTTGATCAAACTCCTGTGATTGACAACATCAATGTTCTCTGGAAAATCTCAGTTCCGCATCACGTTTGTCAAGCTTAATGCAATGGGTTTAAGGGATAATGTGTTACAGTCGTTAGTACTTGACGTCCTTTAGAGTTATTGATCCTCAGTAGCCCCGCTGAATTAGGTGATTTATTCCTTTTTTTTGGGGGGGGGGTGGAAGTAGTGTGAAACGTCTTTAAAAATCATTCCATCTGAGATCAATTTTATTTTATTTATTCTCTTCATTGTTAAATTCTTATCCATAAAATTGTAATTATAATTTTGGTTGTTTTTTTTACAAACGTACTAGTTTATGTTGCAAATTTTATTTATATGACACTAGTCCTTTAGAGTTATTGATCCTCAGTAGCCCCGCTGAATTAGGTGATTTATTTCTTTTTTTTGGGGGGGGGGTGGAAGTAGTGTGAAACGTCTTTAAAAATCATTCCATCTGAGATCAATTTTATTTTATTTATTCTCTTCATTGTTGGATTCTTATCCATAAAATTGTAATTATAATTTTGGTTGTTTTTTTTACAAACGTACTAGTTTATGTTGCAAATTATTGTTTTTGTCTTCAATATTTTTTGTCGAAAGTAAGTTTATTTCTGTTATTAGACTCTTCATAGCTTGTTACTAACTTGTTTTGTTCTGATACTTTTTTTTACAATACTTCCTATCAATACTAGTGAACAAATTTATTTTAAAGAAGACGAGTTTTCTAAATTCAAATATTATTCTCATTGACAGGAAGTGAGAAGCGGGTATCATTTTCTGAATGCGTAGAGGTAACAGAAGTGGAAGATGCTGAAGGTGAGCCTGCAGGAGACGAAGATGCAGGGAAGGCACCAGGGGCACCGCCGTCCGGGGAGATCGACGAGGACAAAATGGACTACCTGTTGCACCTCCTGCACGAGGCTGACTCGACGGGAGAGCGACCTGACGACCCACAGCTTCCTGCCATCGAAGGTACTCCGTGGGGCCTGTCATGTTAGTGTGTCCAAGTGAGGTACTTGGCTAAAAAATGTGAAACGTGGCTACAACACAAATATGATTGTGATGAGACTCGGGCCAAGTATTTCCTGTCGATTGTTACTCTCATAACGCGCCAAAGTAGCACCAAATTAGATTGCGAAGAGACTCAGCCAAGTTATTCATGTTGATTGTTCGTGTTATAAAACATTGTGCTTCCCAGTAAAAGTTGGGGCGGATTTTTTTTATTGTGTGGACATACAACTTGGTGTGGGTACAGTGCTTTGAATAATTAGTTGCTCCAAACAAATCTCTTACCATCTCAATTATTACTTTGTAAGTTTTTATATATGTTTTAACATCTATGGAGAATTTGTTCCATGTTCGCATCTGACGTAACCTTAAACCGAATTCAGACTAACAATTTTCCTTCATAAATGCTGAATCACGGACGTGGAAATGAACACTGCCCATCAATATAAACATAGTTATTTACGTACCTTTATTTTTGAATACCGACAGAACAAGTGAACGCAATGGCCCCCACTATAGACGCTGAGTTAGAACGCATAGACCGACGCCACAACGAACTTACAAGACTCAATGCTGATCTCATGGCTGGACTCAACCTCTACCATCAGGTGAGACCGCGGTCCATCTTGCCATATTTCTACCCTTGTATAAGTTATACAACTGCTCGTTGCATAAGTGGGGCATGTGCTGTTCTTTGTTTTCATCTGATTTGCGTTATCAATGTTAGTGGGGCATCTCGTGCTTTTTAACATTTTGATGTACAACATTCATTCTTGGAGTCAAGCCTGATTTTCTCTTGAAAAAATGCTAGAAATCTCCCACTTTATTTTTGCTTTTGTTCGAACTATTAGAAATTGGATAAAATTTAAAACAGCAACAATGCTTACATCAACTGCGGTATTTTTCTAACAGTTCTTAGCTACGACAATTGAAACTTGCATTACTTGTGGTACTTTTGAGACACATTCCAATTGGGACCGTTAATTTAAACACGCATTTTATTTTCAAGAGGAAAAACGACCCCGATTTACTTTACTTTTCTATGCCTATTTACAGAAAAATGGTTTAGTTTTAATCTAGTGAACTGCATGAAAAACTTAAAATTCGCCATCTGCGCTGCATGCGAATTGCAAACTGATTGATGCTAATTCATTTCAGGTCATGCCCACTGCGATCTAATTAATGTTTATTCATTGTTGCTCATTCGGATTATTTTTGATTTTTGCAGCTCATGCGGGAGATGCCGGTGTCCAGCATGGGATACTACCCGCCGCCCTCCGTGTCTTCAGTTTACGGCCCACCCATGCACCACCCAATGTACCCCCCACAAACTGTGAGTTCTGGTCTCTCAATGGCATTTTGTATTGTTATTCTTGCTCATATGTCATTTGTAATGATAAACTGTCTTTCTATGCATGTTTGAATCTCTATAAACACTGTTGAACTCCATTTTTTAATTGTTTTGTCAAATGTTAGCGATGGTGAGTTGTTTCTCGCAAATATATTTTCCTCCCAGATCCCTGGGTACCCTCCCTACGGGATGCCCGGGATGAGCGGCACCCAACCTCCCCACGGCATGCCTCCCATGAGCAACGCACCTCACATGCCTCCACCTCACGCGGCACCCTACGGAATCATGTCCATGCCACAGGGCATGGCACCTCCTCAAGGCCCTATGATGGGCGGTCCTTTACCCCCAATGACCAACGGCGGTGGCGTCCACACGTCCATGCCTGAGGGCGCAGAGACGCTCAACGGGCACATGCCGCCTCACCAGCTCGGCGCCCCGCCTGCCTTGTATGGCCAGCCTCCGTCTGGTCCTCCTGCTGCTGCCAGGTCAGTGAAATGTCAATGATTTAGCTCTCAATTTATGTGTAGCTAAATAATAATTAACTATTAAATTGTCTCTACCCTATAAGCTGGTAATTCAATGCAGAAACAACACTGCTTCAAATAGTGAAATTCAAGTGTTTTAAAAGGCAAAATCAGTTACAGTGTATGCATTTATTAGTGCACAAAAATTGTAAATTCTATAATAGTGCATAAATTTCTATTTATTAAACAGTGCAAAGTGTGTTCACTGGTATTTATAAATGATATTTACCCAACCACAATGACGTCGATTTTCTGCATTCGTAGCAACGACACGACGAGTGAGGCGAGCCCCAGCACCGCAGGAGGACCAATGCCGCCACACGTTCAGTATCCAGGACCCGAGCACCTGCCTCATTACCCTCCCTATATGGCCAGCCCCCACTACCCTCCCATGCAGACCGGCCCTCCAGCCCCTCCAGCCTCAGCCTTCCAACAGCCTCTTCTATAATTGATCCTTCACTGCACCTCATTCCCCTGGCGACTTTCATCACTCTTTTTCTGAACTTCATTATCTGGCGGCTCCATGTGATTCTGTCGTTGTCTGGCCCCGGTAATACGAATATGAAAAACTATATTAGAACTATTTTTGTCTGAAAAGAGCTAGAAATGATGAACGTGGGATATCGAAGAACTCTACAGCTGCGTACCCGTTAAATGATGCAACTGATTAGCTTAGATTAGCAGAAGAATTGTCGCAACTTGGCACATAATCGTGTTGTAGACTCATTGATGATTCTGTTTTTTTTTCATAGTCTCAGTTGCATTTTTTAAGTTCACGGAGCTGAAATTATTACGTACTATTATCAGTTTCTTCAATGAGATTGCTTATATAATGTTTCATTTGTAATCGTTCGGAAACTGTGATAAGGACAGGATTTCCTCATACCTTGATATCATTAGCGTTTGTAGTGAGTGATTTTTATCCTTTAGTCCATTAAACGTTTTTTTAAATTTCATATTTCCCATTGAGCTTTAACATTTATTTTTCTTTCCCACATAATAATAGATCGCATTCGGTCCTCCGGAGACTCTTATTTACGTACTTGTACTTTCCCGTAGGCTATTTCTATTTAGTTCCTCTATGGAAGAGCAAAGAATTTTGATTTGGCGTTTCTTATTATCGTGAATAACTTTTAGACGTTTTCGGTAACTTTTTGGATACAATAGAAACGGCTTGTTATTAAATTTGTGTAAACTCTCTTGCAATTAAATAGCTTGTAATGCTTGCGTCTTGAAATGTTTGCCTCAGCTTTTCATCGTTTCCGTGCAGAAGGCCCATTATAAGTAACGGGAATCATTTCAGTTTCATTCTTAATTTCCACTATTCTATTTCGTTTACCGAGTCTTTTTACTACAACTATTACTAAACATGTCAAGGATAATATAATTTTTTTCTACATACTGGACTGCGAAATGTTTAGCCTGAAGACAGCTTAGTAACAGTTCCGCTTTTGTGTAGACACGATTTGATGAACAAACTTGAAGCTACACACGAATGCAGTCACTCAAGCCTCGTTCTTTGAACAGATGTTCTATCTTGGCTTTGCAGTTATGTTATTTTAATCATGTCGCTCATGTATTAGTGATGTATTTCTTGCTAATTGCGAATTCCTCATGTTTTTATGGATATAAAAATGAGTTTTCTGTTTAATATTTGTAGGCTAAATCATAGTATTGTGATGTATCAGAAACCAGCATATTCTTAGTAGTAGTCTCTTGTAGGTGCATTCATTCATTTCAGGTGGATGCCTGATTTATTTACCCAACGTCGTGAATTCTCCAGTTCACTCATTTCATGTATTGAGCTATCGGCCTGAACCTTTGGTGCATTGTTATTCCATGCAAGATGTTGATTAGTAAGTTTGTTTTTCATTACTAATTTGCAAGGCTATTTTTGACCGATAATGGCATTGTCGGAACAGGACCTGCATGAGAATTGTACCAAATTTATTTTACAATCCTTCTCATCCTGAAGATGCCATGGAGCCCTATGTTATCCTGTCGCAATCAAGTCTTGTACAGGAACGCCTGAAAGCCCAAAGCATTACGGAACTGACCTTTTTCGTACGTGTAACTGCACTGGAGATAACTGCTCGCTTTGCAGTTGTGAACCTCAATCATTTCTCTCTTCTTGCATCTGGGTCATATGTGAATATTGTGCTCACTGATTCTGGAAATAGGAAATGTATATAATTGCTATTCATCTTCTGTGTCTGTCACCTAACTGGTGTCTAGGAAGCAATATTTTTCTCGGAAATCTCCATTTGAATTTTGGATGCTCTTGTTTCCTGGTTAATTCTAAACTTTTTTTTTTAAACCTTGTGAATGGTAAAAATCAATGGTGGGTCTGGTCTCCTTTTTTGTGAATCTATAATAAATATTATATTCCCTAATAATTTTATGTAATCTATAATAGTACTTTATCTGTAATATAAGCCTACTGCTGTAAGTAGTTAATGTATAATAACAGCCTGCTAGCTGCTCATTGTTTGTACCTAATGAGCTCACCTAGACTGAATGTCCTGCACCTTCGCACTTAGAGTGTGAGGCCCCCGAATGTTATTATTACATAACCTTTACAATGAATAGTGAAAGGTTGATGTATGCTGGTCTGTAATCATTTCTGTAGCTCGTAAGATGTACTTATACTCGCTTAACTTTTTTGGATTTCGAGACGGTGGCTTTCATTTTTCTCCCTCTCGGGCACGAAATTTATAGAATCTCGAAAGAAAATTTAACATTTCGCTTGGAATAAAGGTACATTACCATGGTGATAACTGATCACCACGATGCAGTTTCATGGTTGAGTAGTGATCAGCTTGCACGGCCTACAGGAGTTCTGTGTTAAACGAATCTTTAAACCAAGCTTTCGATGCTCATTCATTACCATAACTTGCTGAATTTGAACAACCGATTAAAAAAATATTCATTTGCATGCACGTAACATCTCGTTACTCGTTCAGAATGGGCTGCGTTATTACAGGGTCGAAATTATCTACTAGATTCATATCCTTGCTTCATGGCGACGTTGCTTGTGTAAACCAGCTCGAGTTTCACGATTGCTTTTTGAATCAAGAATACTCTAATGTAATTTTCATTGATCCTATTACTGAGGTTAGTGATAATACTGAATTAGTTCAGTATTTCAAGCGAGTTTGAGTGAAGTCTGAAGGATATGGAACGTTGTTATAATAATTGATTTTTTATTCGATAGGTAGTATCCATAAATTCTGTTTCATGAGCGAAACTCTGAAATTTACACAGGGCGATTGTTGTTTATGTACAAAATGAAGGCATTGCATTGGGATACTAAAAAATTACTGATAAAAAATAATTTGTAAACATGAAAATGGTCGCTGCAAGAACCGGTTGAGGGTAAGTCATAGTAAATACGATAATGAACTGAATTCTCAGTATTAATGGTTTCCAGCGAAATATCATCTGAAACTATACTTTAGCCGGAAGGAAAATTAAAGTTATTTTTCTTGCATGAAGTATTGTTGTGAATGCAGAACTTAAACATGCGACCAATCTGTAGTAATTTGCGTGAGCGGAATATACCCTGAAAGTAGGTTTCTCGAGGGTAAATTTTCAGCAGGGTTGTAAGACGTTCCCACTTGTAAGAAAAAAATGTTTCACGGATAAAAGAAAAGAAAGCGATATTAATTAATCGGAAATTATCTCATTTGGACTACCCGCCGCTAATAAGCTGGACAGTCCGAAACCAGTCAGCCTGCTGCTGAAAATACTTAAGCCTGCTTAGCTTCAAGTTTTAACCTAAGTGACTCCGGCATCACGGGTGGCGGGGGTCGAGGCAGGTGAAGAGCCACTTTGACGGCGTCATAGATGAACCATTGTGCTGCCGTCAGCGTACCGATCATGATGATACGCGCGAACAGTCCCTTCCACAGTCCTGGTAATGTCAGAAATTTAATTAATGTGTTCCAGTCGTATTTAATAAACTAAATTCATCTTACCTTAGAGCTGGAAGAGATGAGTGATGAAAGAATTGTCGATATGAATTTCTGCAACAATGGAGAGCTAAATTTTATAAAATTCCTAAAGTTGGACCAGACAACGATCAAGAAATAGAGAAGTATGAATTGTCTATACTATAGCATGATATGCGCTCCCATGCTTACCCATGAATCCAAGCTGCTTGGCAACACCCACAGCAGAAGATCCCTTAGCCTGGTTCAGTTTCGAGACGATGGTATCGGCAGGATGCGACACGATGGCACAGAAGACACCGGCGATGTAACCTGCAGCAAAGGTCACGACCAACTGCTCGCCCTTGGTGCAGTCGTCTCTTGGCTTAGGCACCACGTAGCGGTAAAGGAGCTCGACGGTCTTCTCGAAGCAGGCAAACTTCATCATCGTGTAGGGGATCTGCCGGCACCACAAAGGCACAAGGCCTTTGTAGAAGCCCCACAGACCCTCCTCCCTGTAGATGATGGGAGCCCCAGCGCGGAGAGTGCTCACGAAGCCAGGCTTAGTTTGGATGCGCACCTGTAATGTACAATGCATGAAAAATCTGATTAAAAAACAAGCCAATAAATAGCTTGCTTTGAAATCGTTCAATTGCAAATCTGATCTGCTTTGTAAATCATTAGGGCTTGTCCGTTGAGGATCAAATGTGCAGGAGCTCATCATAAGTAATATGCAACAACTGTAAAAATTATGTTACAGATTTAGTTCAGGAACGAACTTTCGAAATTGCGTCGTGAAGCTCAACTGTCAGCTTGAAGAACTTAACTAATGAGAATAGAGGAATTAAGCTCACGCTAACTTCTTACGGTTTTCATATATTGTAGTCCCTGAAATTAATCTCACCTTAACAGCCTCCATGGGTGACAAGGCAATATCAGCAAAGAACTCGGCTGAAGCGGACGCAGCCAGGTAAAGGGAAGTTCTGTAGATGTAAGCATTCTCTTCACCAAGAATGTTGGCGTACATGTTCTTGAAGACTTCATAGAAGCCAAACTTGCAGACGCCTTGCATGGAGTAGCCAATCAGAGTGGGCGCCCATCCTTTGGCCAAGCCTCGGGCGCCGTCTTCGGCGATTGTCACCTTAAAACATTTCTATGATTAGCCTCCATGAACTATAGTTAATCAAGTTTTACACCATGATCTCTATTGTACTCTGATATATCGTTATAACTAAAATGACTAATAACTCAACGTTATATTATTCAACTGATTTTTGTTAAAGGGACATTCTGTGGAACAATCTCTCGTTATTATGAATATGTCACATGAACCTACGGTTCAAGTGAATCAACATGATCAAAAAATCTCATTGACTTGATTCCTGCTTGAAGCTGAATAAATATTGTAGGAGCTGGCAAGTAACATGCAAATAAATCAAGGTCATTGCACAAAAATGCACGAAAGGAGTATAAAATTAGCTACTTTATTTTATCAAGTAAGCAATGCCGTACCTTGAAGCCATTGAAGATGCCTTTGTACTTGGCAGGATCGACCTGAATGCGGCACTTAACAAGATCCAAGGGTACAATGCCGGTGTGAGTGACACCGCAACTCAGGAGACCTCCAAAGCCACACAAAACGAAATATTTGGTTGAACCAAACTCAACCTCATCTGTTGAGGAAAACTGTACATCAAACATTGCATAAATATTGACTATGAGATAAACCGTACATTATACCCTGCATAATTCGGTGCCCTGTGTTCTGTGTGTTGCTCCCTGATTCAGTTTGTTCATTTGACGAATCAAATTCTGGTTCAAATTTTTTTCTTAACTCAGACTGAATCTCAAAATGGGTTTGTGATAAAAAGAATACAAATTCTGCTGAGTAAGCGAGTGTATATTATAAATATGAGAAGTCTCTTCATATATACATTATTAAATGGACAATCACAAATTTGAGAATTTGGGGAGTGGGGGGTGGGGGTTTACTTTGTAAACTATTTGTTTACCAAGTAAAATATCTCAATAAAATCATTGCAATATAATTTTCAAGTCTCAACAATAAGCTTTAATAAATATAAAAGAATGTCAGTAAATGCAAGCACTGCAAATTTGCTAAAGAACTTGAATGATTACCAAATGAGCAAATGCAAATATATATATATAGCGTAACTATCTTGACTGAAATTGTATCTAATATGATGTTAATCAAGTTCATCATTGGTACATGTGAGAACAAATAATAAAAATTTGGGATGGATGGCAGGACGAGGCACGTGAATTTTAAGGATAATAATTATGCTTGGAAATTGACCAATGAATTTTCAGAATATAACAAAATTCATTACTATTTGGCCAAGTTATCAGGTAAAGATGCAGTTTTCAAAGGCACTAGTTTACGTGAGGCCGAAAGTCATTGGGAAATTGTTTAATTAGTTAAAACGTTAAAGTTGAAAGGATGGGCGTTAAAACTATGTTCAATAGTATGACTGAGCACTGGCCACTGAGTGAGATATTATTGACCAGTGACAACCAGAGAATAATTATACTCATTAAATGATGAAATTTATCAAATTTATACAAAAAATTCAGCCAGACATTGCACAATTACAAATTTTGATTTCAACCAAGACTCTGAACACAAAACCTGGAGTTGCAGCAGCTGCAATGTTGCGTCCACTGACAAGTTGTCTGCTACTTTTGGCTTCATTTTCTGCCTTGAGTGTAGTGCACACAGCTCCACCAAAAGGAGACTTCTTGGATGTGTCCCAAAATCCACTAAACATTTTAATTTGTCTGAAAAGTATGAGGAAGTAAATAAAAAGTAACAGATTCAAGAATTCCGTGACCATTAGGAAATTTATTTGTATGACAGTGGCCTAAAATGCTAGATATTATAGCTGAAAAAATTGTAACAAATATTATGTCCTCATACTTATATAACCTAAATAAACAATAAACAGTCTCTGTCTCACTATCAAATTACCTTTGTCCAGAACCATGAAAAGTTTAAACACATTCCTCATTTGACAATTGACAGTTGACAGGATTCCTAATATCACTTCTCCAAAATTTCAAACAAAAGTGATGTAACATTATACTTTAAATGATTTAGAATAGGGCTATAATGATCAGGAATGATTGATGAGTCATGAGCCCTCGACAGCTCAACTTCTCAAGCATTGAGCAAATTATCAGAACTTAGATTAAAAGAAAAATTCTTCACTAAAATTTCCATGAGTACTAGAGTAGAGATCATATGATAATCATCATCATTAACTCAATGAAGTTGAAGTGAGTGGCGGCAAATAAATGAACTCTTCTATAGCTGTATGGCACTCAAGAGTCAAGACGACCACGGTCATTACCTACTGTCCTGAACTTTAAAAACTTTTAGAGATGAAACTTAATTTAGGTAAAAGCCAATTTTAAAGAAGTAGGTATCAAGTGCAGAAAATTAAATTCAGTACTTTTCTTCAACATTCATCATATTCACCTAGATGGTTAGGAGTTAGGTAGGACAGTCCAACAGTATTTCATAACTCATAAGTAAATGAGAATTGCCTGTGATTAGGTACATTCATTAACACTGCTCCGCACGATCATTGAACTATCGATTTCCATGTATATTTCCGATAAAATAGGCATCAAGATGGACATAAAATATTTCATTAAACACAAAATTTACTTCAAATAGGGGGAAATGAAAGTATTTAAGTATATTCATCTAATAACTCACAATATGGCGCAGGCCAACCGGCTAAAGAGACAGCACTCGAAGGTCTGCTATTACCAAGTTTCGTAAGGCGCTCTTGAAAGTACCCTAAATTGAACAGAACGATCATACATGTCTCATATCTACTGATGTATCCAGAATATTCCCTACTTTTATCTTCTCATGATTTTGATGAAAAATCTATTCCAATTGAATTGAATAAAATTTTGTGGACTTATATCATCTAAATAATTTCCTTCATAAAAATTATACAGCTTTTTATTCGCTAGCAGTCTGATCATATTAGACTTATTCAACATTCAAATAGATACATGCTTATTTCAACAAAATTGTTTAAACTTGAAACAATATTTAGAAAGTAATTAATATTATCACCAAGTCAACAATTACCGGAATAATCTTCCAGTTAATATTTTAGATTGTTGAGTTAAAAATACGTTATTTCCTTAAAAATGGAAGCCGTGATGAGTAAACGAACTTGGCATTAGAGATGAAATAATAAAAAAAAATCAGATCCACAACACATGACTGACATGATATCAGGCTATCTGATACCAAATTTTATCTAATCAGCGTTCGTCACACAATAAATGCGAGCAATCAAATGTTATTTCATGCATTACTCAAATTATTATATGCTATATTTCTACAGTTTATATCAAATTATTTTATTTTTTATTTAAAAACAAATGCGATAATATTAATATATTTTAATAATACTAATGATCGCTCACACGTGGCGGATAAGTGATCGCTTGCCCGTGGCGAATAATTAATCGTATGTGATGGCGAATAATTAATCGTGTGCATGTAGCGAATAAGTGATCGGTTGCATGTGACGAACAAAATGATCGATCGCATGTGGCGAATATGTGATCATTTTCTTGTGACGAAAAAATTTTCTGTATACGATTGATATAGCCTGCATGTGACTGATTGTTTGCATCTGGTGAATGTCGTGTATGTGAGACTCCGCTAATTTTGTTTATGGAGACCCAATCTAAATGCTGTGGGCGACGTCTGAGTTGCCCATCATTTGGTGCGGAATTAAGATTCGGAGTCACCATCAAAATGAGGGCACCATCACATGAGGGCAAAGAGTGCTCCTTTCTTAACATGAATTTAGAACACATTTTAAAAATCAGTATAGCACATCCAATCGTTTTAATCAACGTGGAAACTATTTAGCCCTCTTTTCGATCAACATTTAGGTAAAGCATTTGGATGAAAATGTATTCTATGTTTTATCTATCCGAAAATCAGTCTACGGCCTTCTACAAAAAAAAAAAATCCGAGCTGAGAATTAGACTTTCCTCAGTCGGACTCACAGAGCATTAATTATTGTTCCTCACACCTCTACCTGCTCACTTCTTTCGCCTCTCCAGCTTTTGCAGCCATTGATGTGTAAAATTCACTCAGTTTGAGGAGCGAGAGTCCTGGCAACGTGAGTAGGCAGACCAGACTTAACTAAAAAATTCCTAATTTAGAGGTGGCTATGGTCCTCCGGGTAGTTTAAGCAGTGCGATACTAGTAGGGTCTGTCTTGGTCTTTCGTTTCGAGGCTTGTTTATGACTACAGGCTAACGTAAGAGGTAAATATGTCAGTTAATTCACGATATAATTTCATAATATACAGAATTATATGTTGATCCGTATTTGATACACTTCATATAGAAAATAAAGATTTTTTGTTGCGAATAGTGCAACCATGTATATTGAGAATTCATATTTATTTATTGTCTGCCGACCCAATTTTTATAGTCTGCGGCCAGCAACAGCTACACTTCTTTCTTTTTCCATAACCTTCGCTTCCTCTTTCTTCTCAATTTTGAGCCTAATATATTAAATTGAAAATTGATTTGACGAATTGAATTGTATGTAAATTGAATAAAAGGAAGCATCGTCGCAAACTATCTTTAAGAAATAGCGATAACCGACACAATTGCGGACCCCACTGATAAGGTTATTGTTCGATATACTAACGACTTTTTTTAAAGGAGACAGATTCAATTTCTCAATTTATTAGTATGGAATCCCTTAGTAATCATAAATTTATATTTTACCATAAAATATAAATTTCATCTTGACATGAAGACTTCGGAACACGTCATTGAAACGCTACTCCACAGCGGCACTTGAGTCACTTCAATTGAGCCGTGAAAGTGAGTAGGTTGACGATTCACTGCTTGTATCGCTTCCCTGGTGGTCGGTTACTGTTTTGTCGCGATGGTTATTAAGCCTCCAAGAAAGAATAAAAATCCTCCGTTCTTGAGTAATGAGTTCATCATACAGAACCATGGCGATATCGTTTCGTGCGTGGCCATGGTCTTTGTGTTGGGCTTGATGTTTCAAGTGAGTGCCCTTACACATACGGTCAAGGCGTTCAATTCATAACTGTAAATTGAAATGGTTAAATAGTGTTAGTAAGTTAGGTATAGCTAGTCTTAAATTGGTGATATTTCAAATTAAGATTGGAAAAATCATACATTTTACTGAAATATTGTCACTACAAAGAAACATAGGTATTTGGGTAGATTTTGTAGGTAGCCTAAATTTTGAGGCGTTCAAATTAGCTAGGCTAGGTACCTAGTACCTGTAACTTGTAAGGCTCAGAGGCTGTAGGGCTGTAGCTAGGTTAGCTATAAATTTCATTAGGAAACTGGTATTTGGAACAATTTATTTTATGAATAAAACTGGATAATGACTTTATATTATAATCCAATCTGGAATATCTGAGTGAATTTTCCAAGAAATTGCAGGTACACTACAGACTAAAATTTGATAGCTAGGCAATTTTTTAGGCATTACACAAGTACTAACTCGGCCCTGGTATTACCTACTTCAGATTAGGTGCATAAAAAAGGGTGTTTTTTTAATTAGAGTAAACGCGGTACATTCCGACATTGTAGGTAATTCCGTCACCTCTCCAGATTTTGAAACATATCTGTCTCTGAGATACCTTTTGTATGTACTAAGGTCATTTCCAAACTTCAATTTTAACCATTGTAAATAACTCTTCAATTACTTGATAATGAGTATTGCAAATGCACCTTAGAAACATAGTAAATTCTAATGAAATATCAGGAATTTAAAAGCAAAGAAAACAGCTAGAATATTAAGCATTTCTTAAGAATGAAAACGTTTCGGAGTCCAGCTCCATCGTCAGTTCAAAAGTTCAAAACCTATAAGAAAATAAGACCTATATTATATAACCTATATTATAGGTTTTGAACTTTTGAACTGACAATGGAGCTGGACTCCGAAACGTTTTCATTCTTAAGAAATGGTCAATATTCTGGCTGTTTTCTTTGCTTTTAAATTCCTGGTAAACTTGCGACTTAAGCAATCTAGTAATTTTTGGGCTAATGAAATATCTAGCGGAAACCTTATATTTGAACTTTATGATCTCACAAAAGGCCTGATTTGCCAATTAGAGAAAAGCTGTAAGAAAATCATCAATAAGATATAATCTCTGGTCTTTCTAAGGAATATGTATTAAATTACAACTTCTGCCTAACTACACAAACTCATACAGATTTATACACATTTTGAAATGCCAGTTATGCTTAAAATTTCCTTATAATTTAACTTCTCTACATAATTGCTTTCTTTATTTGTAACATGATAATCTGTTTCATGGTATAGGATTATGGTGTTTTGAACAAGTTCATATCACGTAAGGATGGTGCCGTAGTTGTCTTTCATGTGGGTTTTGGGTCCTCTGCAAGCCTAGTTAGTCATGTGGATAGGGCTGTGGTAGTCATGCCAATATACATGCATTTTCATTTTTTTCATTGTTGATATTACTGCATCTTCTTGTGAAGTTAAATAATTTTCCATTTACGGTTCAATTCAACAGCTTACTAGATTGATATAGTTTTCAATGAAGCTTCATAATCGATACAGCTTTAATACTTTGGTTTATTCACAGGCAACGTCTCCAATTGCTTCAGTCTTCATTATACTACAGCATGCCATCACTACTGCAGAAAGTGATCAGAAGAAGGCTGACTATGTGGTGCAGTACACAAATGGTGCCCTAGATTGGGCTGCCATTTTTTTCTACAGTCTTATTGCCATTGTTGTACACGTCATCCTTCAGGAATATGCCCTGGATGTGAGTTAGGTCATCTGTGTGTTATTTGCTACTCATCAATGTGCATTACAAACTTTGGTTTGGAGAAGTTTTCCTTAAGGCATTAATAAATTATTACATTCAGGGTTCTTACTATATTTGGTTATTGAATTAACTCAATTAAAAAAAAATAAAGTAGAATTCTATTAGGTAATCAAATTGACTCATTTACATGTAGTACATTTGTATGTGTCCTACTGCTAATATTTGCAGGATTAATCCCTGCAAAGAGTGTTTATCCCCTATTTGTTCATCCCCTTCAGACGATCCTTTTATCAGTTGCTAATACAAGTGTACTTGGCACAAATTAGCAAAGGGTTTTGTGATAGTCTTAATTTTTATGGTGCTTATTGAATTGTTATTATTTTCCGGATTTTGATTTCTTACAAATTATCCACCTATTTTTGTTTCATTTTTTTTTTCAAACTGCAATAAGTCAATTTTGGAAGCCTTGCTTTACCTCACCCAAATCTGAAATATTCTTTTGTTATCATTGAGCAAACAAATTGTGACCTTTCTTCAAATAATTCCTATTGTTGCCATTTCAGAAAGCCAACCGTAAGCTGCATCTGAGCAAAACGCGTAACAGCAAATTCAATGAATATGGGCAACTGCTCCTGTTTGCACTGTTCTCTGTTGCTTGGGGCCTGCACATTTTGTTCAGGTATGTTTATGTGACACAATATGTGTGTGTAGAAATATTTAAAGGACATTTTGGGCAGTTGTAGGAAAATTTTATTCCAAATTTTCTGTAGTATTGGACATTAGCATTTAACAAGGAAGCTTTTCCCCTTAAAAATTTAATTTAATCTGATTCATAAACATTTCATCAGTGTTACAAACCTTGAGTATCAAAATATTTCTAATTTCTTAGTATATCATTTGTGTTTAAAGTAAATTTTGCCAGTATACTAACGACCTCCAAGCATGTTTATTCAATGCATACCTTGTCTCATGACTTGCAGGGATGATAGCTTCACTGGACTTAGTTCTCTGTGGGCCAACTATCCAGAAGACCATACCAAGCTCTCCTTCAGACTCAAGTTCTATTTCATCATCCAGATAGCTTATTGGCTCCATACTTTCCCTGAACTCTACTTCCAGAAGGTTGGTCATGAAAATAAATACAACATTAAAGTTCTGTTGGTATCATTGCTGTCTGCAAGTTCAGTAGAAGTTTTTACTTCTATACATTGCACAATGTATTATTTTGTATACCAAACTACTTTTTGTGTTCTTTTAACATTATTTGTGGAACTCCTCATTTTGAAATGTGTGTCACAATTTCAAGCTTTAATAAATTTTTATTGCTTTCTTTGTGTATTCTCACTTCTCAAGCTCAGAAATAAATGATAGTGAACTTTATTATTACCTAAAATATTAATTGCCATGGTTTGACAATGGATGCACAGGTCAAGCGGGAGGAGATGCCTGCACGCATTACATACGCTTGCATCCATCTTGTCTACATCACTGCTGCCTATCTGCTCAGGTAAGTTCCTTGAATTTTACAGTTACACTTTATTATTATTTTTTTCTTATTTCTTGTGGTATTTATTTCAACGAGCTTGTTCTCTATACTTCCTTAATACTTTACTGGATATATACCGTACTTCTGGCAAGATATTAAGATATTACAACCAGCTGATAAAATGTGTTGAAATTTGTGTTGATATAGTATATTTCTCTTGAACTCAAACTATTGTAACATTTAAATCAAATATTATTAATTCTCTTATAAGCTCTGCAAAATATTTTGAATAAGTTTGTTTTTGAAATATTCCTGGTAAATTTTATGTTAGCTGTAAAACCTCTCCCGTGTGAGTAAAGTAAGACCCGCAAGTTCTGGTGCAAAGGAATTAAATTAGTTTACCAGTATCAGTAAACTAATTTGTTTAAGTATGCAAAGAAAAAGCTTCTTCAAAAATATTTTTCTTAAGATGTACAATCATCGTAAAGAATTATCCTCTTTTTAGCGCATTTTCTTATAGAAAAAATGCACTATTATGCTTGCCATGTCCGTCTGTCTGTCTGACCGACCATGACTTCACGTTTTCGTCGACAAGAAAATGTGCTTGCTGTCACTCACTGCAGTTAGTACTGAGTTATATTTTTTCCCTTACTGCTGCTCTTGATTTTCAACGTATGACTCGATAGGAGATGCAGTTCTTTTAAGAGTTTCCTCACAGTGCTGTGCTACTCGTATTCATTTGATGTGCTGCTTGTGTTCATTTGATGTGCTACTCATATTCATTTGATGTGCTACTTGTATTCATTTGAGGACTCACTTTTCAGCTTGACCCGCCTTGGCTTGGTGCTGCTGGTGCTGCATTACCTGAGCGAGGGCACCCTGCATGCCAGTCGCCTGCTGCACTTTGCTGAACTCACCAAGCAGTCGCAACAAGGTTGCTTTTCAAGCTTGTCATTATTCCTAATATTATAATATTATTGATCTTTATAATTTTTTTCTACAAAGTGATTATCATGACGTCTTGTACAACAGAAATTTGAGGGCACATTACACATTTAGGTAGCAAAGAATAAATTTTGAAGTGAGCAAAGAAAAAGCTTCTTCCTTGCTTTGGCAATGTACTAATGTACGGTACATTATGTACAAGTGCTATGTAGGTATGTTTATAATCATCCATGCTCTTATGCTATCATACGATAATAACTCCGGAAGGATATGCCATGTCTTTTCGGTTTTATTTGTTTACAGTACGTATTAGTTTATAATATAATATGTTACGTATTAAAATAATATCGGTACTAAACATATACACTACTAAAGTAATGATGGTTTATTTAACAATGTACTTGTTATGTTACCATACGTTATGGTACTGCTATGAAACACTTCAGCCGCACAGCGAACATATACTTTGAGACGAGTGAAGGAGCTCTATTTCCAGAGGCTACATTAACATAGTGTACTTTACAAAACTTTTATAAGAGAAGCGATTTAGCGTTATAGATAGGATTGTGTCAACTGTACGCTAGAATATCTCCTTATGGTCATGCTATTGAGCTTCTCCGTATTACAACAATATTCAAGGGTGTGTGTTACTTTACAAATATTCATTTTTAAAATGCCTGTAGGGATCTAGATAAGCGTTTTTACTCACTATTGCAACAGCCACTGAAAAGATTTCTTGAATATTTTCTCTCGGTGATTTCAATGCAAGCCATATTGACATTGGTCCCGTTACATCTTGATCTTAGCTGCAATATTGAGAGGACGTTGCAGCAAATACGGTATTTTTAATGCATAATTTCGTGTATTTTGCACCGCATCAATGTTTCTTGTGTAGCAGCACTTGGTTGGCACCAGCAGTAAAATGTTCAGTGTGCACTCGTTAGTCTAGTTATATTCATGCGAGTGTTAATTATAATATATTGACGGATTGGTCGTCTACTGATGAATTTTACACACGTCTTTCGTATCTGACGCACGTGTATCGTATCTCACGCACCTACGTCGTATCTCACGCAAGAGTGTATAATTCTATTAACTATTTACTAATATATATTCAATGCTGGATTTTGTCTTTTCCTAAGAGAAATTCTGACCATGTATTTTGTAAACGCCGGTTCATTTAATTGATTGTGAATTGAGCTATAAGTAGTATAACTTATTTCATGTGTAATTTCAGTTACGCTCATTATTATTATCATCGTGTGTCCAGCATTAGGGATTGTAATCTCTTCTTGCAACGTTTATTTTCATTATTTTATATCACCGGTCATTGCCTTTCGAATAAAGTTGTGTACCTGCGACAAGTACGGTAATTCGCGCGCATTGTTTTGCGAAACTTTCTGTTCTCTGCGTGTTTGAAGTAAATGAAAAAAAACTTTAAATGTATTTCTTCAGGTTTCAAGACTTACAACATCATGTTCGTGGGTCTTCGTCTCGTTTCTCTCATCATCGCCATCATCACACTCGTGTTTGGCTTCGGCTCCCTGCCAGCCCAGGGCATCGACATCGCCACTGGCAATTTCAACTCCGCAATTGTCAGGTGGGCGGCTGTGGCGGGTTAAAGCTAATGTTGAAACTTCACGCGCTGATTATACATCAACTTAACGCGCCGATTATACGATTATTTTACGCCGATTATTTGATGCAATTAGTGAAATTGTATCAAAATTTAATCAATATCCGCTACCAAACTAGCATCTATACTGAAACTATACTACCTGATTAATTTGCAATTTACAATAATCGTGATTGATTACTTACTGCCGATAGCACAAAAAGTTATGACAAGCTGTCAACTACCGGATTAGAAAAAATATCCTTAGTTCGTTTTTTTTGCCATGAAAAACCGCGGCTATTGTTTTGTATCTGGAGTTCTAGGGTAAGTAAGGCTTGGTTTACACCATACCGCCGGACACATGACAGTCTCAGTCCGTTCCCTGCCATGTGCATTCACACGGTCAGTCCGGTCACGGGCCGTCCTCGCTTCAGTTCCTTTCGTATCACGTGCCATGCCTGTCACGCAACTTTGCCAACTGATTCATTTCCATTCCAGATTCAAGAAACCTGGTATGTTCAGATGGTGTCTGGTAGTCATGTTTCTGATCAGCTATATTTGATAAAATCTTATACGACCGTAAATTGATCGCGACTGAACCGTGCCTGGCAGGCTGGTGTGAATGCTTCTAAAAAATGCACTAAAGAATATTGGACTGGCACGTGTCCGTTAGTATGGTGTGAACCAAGCCTAACGGAAGTAACACTACAATCAAGCCACAGTATTGGATACGCTTTCATAATTTAACTATATGCACTACCAATGTGCAAGGATTTGGAGTTGCCATATTTAGCGTGAGAAGGTGTTTCTAAAAATATTGACAATTCAACAGGGGATTTGGTCTACATTAATGGAAAAGAATTCCATTCTATTTTTGTTGACAGGAGAATTTTCAAATTTATTTAGATCAATATATGTACAGAATACGATGAAATGCGGAACTTGTGATGTTAGTTTAATCGATTTTTGTACGTCGTCATTTTGGCCCGTATCTGGAGATGTTCTCGGGAGTCGTATTATGGGATTTTGATTTGCAAGGCGGGCTTACTTGCACCACTGCACACAATTATCTTTATCAATTCTGTTTCTAGTCTGTTCCATATAAACTTGTTTAAGTACACATATAGGCCGATTTTCCCCCTTCATTTAGAGTCTCGCCATTATGGCGATTTCTTGCCTTTCTCGTTAGCTTGAAAAAACATCAGCGATTGACTGACAGAGTAACGAAATATTAACTATCTGTAAAAATGCGGCCTCAGGTACGCTTGCCTCGTTGCCGTGTGCGCCCTGCAGGCCTACATGATGTGGAACTTCCTGACCTTCCATCTGCGCAAGCGACGGGAGCGCCGAGCCGAGATTGCAGCCGCGCAGAAAAAGAAACAACAGCTCGCTAAGGCTGCCAAGAAAGGTGAGGTTATTTTAAACCTAATGGACATTCATATGGCATTTGTAGCCAGGGTTCGAAATTGTTACCAGTCGTGCCTTTTAAGCCGTCCCTAACATGCATCTGAGTTTATTTGAATGTGAAAGCGTTGGCTGGTCGTATCTAATTGATGTTATAAATGTCGTATGGTATCAAGAGTTTCGCCCATATGTTGGTGTCAAGGTAAAGGATGTCCATCCTATTTTCATCAATTGTACAGAAATATTTAGGTTTATGAAAGCAATGGCTGTTCATGTATATTGTAAAACGTCTTATTTTGTTACTATTTACGACGTTCAATACAGTCTTCAGCTGGATATGCCTGTTGTGGAGGATTTGAACACATGAATTGTGTGTATCATTTTCGGAGCGTTTGGTTAACAACATTAAGAAGAAAGTTCATTATTTTTACCATGAACTATATACCAGATAGAATAAAATAGAACAAATATTCATGCTGCAGCAGCTGCCAAGAAAGGATCAGATGATGAAGTCGCCCTGCTCCCAGAAGTTGACCAGAACACGCGTCGCCGTCGCTGAGTGTCCCGGATGATGCCAGGAGAAGAATGGAGGGGGAGCTGTTAGCTCCCAACTGCCGGTCTCGGGAGCCGAAGAGGAATCTATATTGGATTCTATAGGCACTTGTTGCTGATAGTATAAATACTAATGTGGCTAGTCGCCACAGGGAGTGAAGATGTGACGTATTCCGTGTGAAAAGTTGACTCGCTTTACTTTGAACAAACGGACAAAATGGATGTCAACTGTTCAGTTGAGAATATATTTGTTTTCAATTCTTCGATTTTGTTTGCGCCAAGTATGCAGTACAAGGCGTAGATGTGTTCGCAATTTCATGATGGAACGTACATATGTTCAGATGATTATCCGCACGTGTTTTAACAGTATTGCTGAGCATTTTACCTCATTCCGTGATTATGTATAAGCGCAAAGTCGGTCGCACAATTGTTAATTTTGATAATATAAATATGTATATGGATTAAACTTACGATGAAGTTGAGTGTTCGTACGAAATATTGCTGTCATTGGCATATTAACTGCTCTAAAAATATATATATTGAAATTGGTGAGTTAATAAGTGCAAATTGTAATGGGTAGGTAAAACCGGTACATTCATTGCACGATAACGTTGCGGAACATTAAAGCCTAATTGTTGTAAGGTTTATATTATTTGAAATAAAATATTCGCAAATTTAAAGTCAGTTTTTCTTCCATCAATGTATGTGTACAATAAATATACCCAGATTTTATTACTTACATTTAATGTGTATCAACAATATGTCCACTGGTCCCTCCGCTGATCAACAATATGTCAACTGGTCCCTCCGCTGTGTCGAGGCGGGTATTTACTATATCACAAGCCTCCTTTGCGAAATCATTTGAAATGTCTGTAATGTGTCTGAATAGCTGCCAATCTATAACCATTATTAATTTTTAGTAAAAAATAATGAAGGTGCAGTACCTGTTAACTTTACGTTATTTGTAAGTCGTTTACTTCAATTATATAGAACCGGGTTTTTACCCACAAAATAATTATCACATAAAAGCTGCTAAGTATTATCTGGAAAGAATCCCGATAGGTTCTTGCCCAGAGTTTGGCGGTAGATCGACATGCTCGGGCACGACTTTTTCGAGACTTGGTAGCATCAACATATAACAAAGGTAGTAATACCTGGATCATAACAATACTAGTAATACCTGGATCAATCACCTGCAAAGCTAAGCGAATTACAACAAGATGATGGTAATGTTAAGAGTTGAAAGGCGGTAGACCGAAAAGCTCAGGCTTGAAGTCTTCGAGGGACTCTAGGACAAGCGTGGCTTCCTCAGTGAGGCTCTTGTCGGTGCGGGGATCAGGCACCATCACGCACTGCATGCCCGCCGCCGCTGCCGCCTTCACCCCCAGAGGCGCATCTTCAAATACTAGGCACTGCACAAAATTATATTAGTCTTTTAGACTATAGTAAAATTGACATGGCAATGACGTGCAATTCTGTAATGTTCAGAACAAGGCACGAAAAGGAAAAGAATCGGCGACAGGCCACATCAGGCCTACACTTCAGCGCCGAGATCAATATGTTATGTTATGTTATTAAACTTTATTTTTTCACACTACAGTGGGGTTATTAAAAACTCAGCTGGCTTGCTTATTGAAAGGTGAAGTTGAAACCTCCTCCTTCAAATCGTTCAGTATCGTGTACCACAGCGATATTTTCTCATTAACAGGTTCTAACAAACCTGATATACGTTCTACCAACTCAAGAAGATGATTTTGAGCCCGTTTCATTTAAATCCCACACACCACTTTTTTCCTCACCTTGCTAGAGTGAGGCTTGTCTGGGAATCTCCCGGCACACACTAGGAACACGTCTGGTGCAGGCTTTCCCGCTTTGACTTCTGGGTCACTTGAAGACAATACGACCGGATTGAAGAGTTTCATGAGCTCTCTGTGCATAAATAACGTAATTGGATGATTATATCACCACTCATTTCATTCAGTGGCAATACAAAGCGCACAGAAGTGTAAGTCTAAGGATATCTGTAATATTTTACTGCAATGTCTAAACCTTCCAGAATTATCTCAGTGAACATGAATATGCATTCTATTTTAAATCTTTTTGTATTACATTCTACAGCCTTCATATACTCAGCAGATTCCCATCCACTGGCCTGCAACTTGAACATAATGATGACGCTGTAATAGATACCTCATTTTATGCTGGCATCACTAAGAAATGCATTTCATTTACTTGTACTTAGCAGAACCAGAGTTCTTATGGATTTTTAACAGAAGCCCCTGTAGTTTGAGAAACAAGTTATAATTTGACACAAAACCTTATTACTTGGCAGAGAGAAGTGCTAATTCGAAACAATACCACCAGAAATTTAATAGGGAGTATTTCTACTATGGGGCAAACAAACCAACAATTTTTAAGAGATGAGTGCTAGTTAAGTACATTAGCACTGGCGATTTAGGAGAGAAAAATGCTCATTTAAATCTATAGAACCGACAATCAACAAGATAGAAATGTTCATTAGAGGCAAAAAAAAACCCCGGCAATTCTTGAGAGATTGTTAATTTGGACCAAAGAACTGGCAATTTACAAAAGAAAAATACTAATTAGGGGCAATAGAAGCAAGTATTTAAGATGAGTAAAGTACAATTTGTGGCCGAAAAAAGGCATTTGTTCGAGAGAAGTTCTGCGTTCACCTGTGGCTGGTGGTCTTGAGATCGAAGCTGGTCTGTGAGCTGCCTGAGGCTATAGCAATGGGCACGCCATGCTTGTGCAGGTGCCGTACAAGTCGTTCAGCGCCTGTTGCACAGCACGCCAATGTTATATCACAAATAAGTATATGCGCTCATAAGTATTATTACTTCACATACTAAAAAGTAGCGTTTTCGTATTTAGTTATCTTCAGTTCATTATAAAAAGTTAGCGTTTTCGTATTTAGTTATCTTCAGTTCATTATAATTCAAGTGTTCAGCATAACTATTATTTAAATAAATACTAACTAAATGTAATGAAATTTTTAACATCATATCAAATGAGTATATTTTTTACAAAAGTAAGATTAACGAATGTCAAGTGTAATCAAGCACTCAGGGTTCTTTTTTACAGCTAAATTCGCAGGTATAGCAAGAATCTTCAAGTGAAGTGACAGGAATCAAGGAATTCATCTAGCAAAAATATTATTAATTCTGCATAGATCTCCTGTGCAATTAGAACCTCAGATGTTGGAAAATAATTAGTTAAAGCTTATAAAATTTTACAGTAAGTAAATACATTGAAGCATTTTCCGCTAGTTTTTTAAGAAAAATCAGCGGATCAAGCGAGCATAACGTAAGCTCTGTTCAATCAAGAAAATAAATGAACGGAGCAGACAAGATAAGCTGGAAGGCCAGAGGAACGCTGAGAAGACGGTGTTGCAAGCGTGAACTTCAAGGCTCACAATTTCTTGACCCAAGAAGCTTTTTGTTTACCCAACAGAAAAGTAATGCTCAATGTGTGCTCATGTAATTTATAAAATGCAATCTAAGTACAAATATTTTTTACATTCACTAAAGAATTATCAATGTTATTAAGCATCAAAATTGCAAAAATACAGAACTAAAGACAAACATTACGGGCTGCATGCATCAATGGTGAAGGAAGGCAGACAAATGTTAGAACGAAATCAAGCGAAATGCCCAGTTTAGAAGATTCATAAAACCAAATACGCCCGTGCATTGGAAAAGCAGTTTAGCCGAAGCTCGCACATATACACATTGTCTAGGAAGCGAAAGAATCGGGTAACTATCGAAACGGACAAAAGTAAAGCATGTTGAGGCCGCTAAACCCCAAGCAAACTATTTTACATGAAGCTAATCGAGAGCGGTGTTGTGGTGGAGTCAGGTGTTAAATGCCAAAAGAAATGGATAAAAGTCCTGTGAGATAGTGAACGCCAATAGCTCTTTGGTGTACTTACAAGCCAACCCCACCTCTCATTAGCCCTATTTTAGGGAACATGCTAAATTGCAGAGCTGCCACTTTATCTTGGTAGATCTCAGGATCAACGGGTACGGATTTTAGTCGGCAAATTTCTTGTGCTGTTTCTAAAGCGGTGTGTCCCATCACTTGTATGAGGTCGTACCACGTACAAGTCTGTCCGTATTCTGCCAGCAGTGATTGGTGGATCGCTAAGTGTGGTCCGACAGTGTCTGTAAGAAAATGGTCGCAGCGTTTCTACTCACGATCAATGTGGTTGAAGTACAATTTAATGAGGTTCACTTGTATGGAAATGAAAATAAGTAGATAGCTGAGGAGAAGAATTCGATGTATCAAAATCGTTATCAAGTGATGCAGCCCATACGAATGAGAAGGAAGTGGTGTGGAATAAAAAATAAAATTACTGGAATGGAAGCACTGCGATTCCGTTATAACAAGTCACAGAAAACAAATTACCGTGGGAGTGGTAAAAATATTGGAATTACCAATACAGTAAAAAAACGGACCAATTTTTGTTGCCCAAGGATACAATATTACGTAGGAACGAATACAAATGGAAGTTCGAGCGAATAGTTTTGGCAAGTCTAAAAATAAAAAAACAACTCAGGCTCCCCCCCAAAAAAATCAAAATAAAATGAAAAACAGTTCGTTCATACAAAATTAATTATTTTAGCTAATCTTATGAGCATTTCAAATAACTAGTCTAGGCAATATTAGAGTAGAAAGTGTTAGAATTTTACATGTCAATAAGTAAAAGACAACAAAATCGAGCTTTCCTCAATGAAGACTACTCTGTAAGTCTAATCCACAAACTTGAAATAACAGGTCATGTTTGGTCGAACCTTAGTACTTGTTAGCCTTGGTGTAACGTCTACCGTCTCTTACGCCCAAAGTCACAAAAAGAAACTCATAAATTTCAGTCCCGTGAAGGTCTGTCGTGATTTTAATGGACGATGAGGCCATGGCATCTTGTGAAAGGACTAGGGAAAAGAATTTTTATAATAACATTAACTTGTATCTAGCAAGCCGCATGTGTGCTACGAAAATTATACCTGTCCTTTGAAATAAACACATTTCATTTCATCACAACATTCGATATCCGAACAAAACTGGCCTACATACATATATAGTGTAGAAATCAAAGTGAATCACGGTTGTCGACGGACAATATCGTTAAAATCACCAAAATTTTTCCATTAAAATCGTCGAAGTTCTCTATTTAAAAACGCAATAAACACGTATTTTGATTGGATGATGCCTTTCCAAAGTGTCATATGTTGTTGTGTATTGATTGATCAACTCGAAATTGTTACGCAAAAAAGCCTCCATAATAAAGATAGTCTATTTAAGAGATTGTCAAAAGATTGACAATCTCTTCAAAAAAGATTGTCTAGATTGCGTCAAAAGATTGTCTAGCAATACATCACCAAATGAAATACAAGAACTACTTGCAAATAAAATAACAATCTCTTCACAACACCGCTCTCAGTTGCATTCACTCTTACGTTTAATGTTTGATTTGGAACCCAAAAACGTGGTCAAAAAAATCGCAAAAAGCAATCACGAAAAAGACGGAGACAAATTCTGGTACCTGGAAGCAGCACGGCCTGTGGGAACAGTTCCTTATATTTAAGGTCAATTTTTTCCAAGTATTCAGGAACAGTGAGAGGCAATTCTAGCGAGTCGATGATAAGTTTGGCAGAAGCGTCACCTTTCATACCCATACACTGGACCTTCAATTCCCATGGGTAGGCTTTTCCGTACTCTTCGGTCAGCTCGCTTATGGCAACCGTGTACAGACGCTCTGTGTCTGTTGAGGCATGTAACAACGAAATACGGCGATATACATGTCATATGTTGTCGGCGACATCGCAGTCATATACATGTTGTCCACACAGAATATCACGATCATGCCCTGTTTCATAGACGTTGCTAGCGGGTGAATAACAATACATTTATATATCATGGCTAGCTGCGACTGTTGATTATTAATTTTGATGCAAGTTTCATAAAATTGAAATTATTCAAACCACACCTATCTGCTTTAAGTTTTTGGTAAATGGAATGACCGCATTTCCATATACCTCGCTGCTATGCAAATATTCACATGCTAATAGAATTATTGAAAATATCGTTAGAAATTAATTATTTTAATCAATAATAACGTTATAAGTAAAGGCATTGTATGGCAAGACTGTGAAGTAATTTTACTTAGTATATTTATATTAATATATATTTAACAGAAACTTTACGTTTAAATTAAATTCATTATTTTTATTCATAAATGAAAAACCACTTTCCACCATTCACAAATCTTCAAACGTGAAAGTTTGTGTGATTCATACAAATACAACGTGACAAATGATTCATATAAATATGGGTCCGGGAGCGAAATTACTCCTCAGGAACAAAAAGAATACGATTATTAAGCTCGTAAGAACGGAACTTACCTAACAAAAGGCCGTCCATGTCGAAAATGACGTGCGTTACAGGCTTGTACGCAGGCATGGTGATAGTAACTACAATACAATACTTAGATAACAAGGAGTTCACTCAGTAAATTTCTCTCTTAACTCTGCATTTGGAAAATAACGAATGAATTAAATGACGCATCCTAAACTTTTGTGAAGAACTAAATACTGCAAACAATCACCACCACCACCAAAGGAACAGAGGTAACAAGTACCAGAAAAAAACATAGAAGCTTAGAATAAAAAATTATGATGATAATTATAATAGCGGTTTCAGCGTTTATTAGGCCGTAGGCCTGTCGCTGATTCTAAACATCACAGAACATTCACAGCACTTTGCGGTCTCGAACTCGCAACTCACTGCTACAATTCTGCTGTGCTTAACCGCCCGGCCTCCTTGCCGATTCTGACCAGAAACTGACGCACAGAGCTGGGATCGAACCCGCGCCTCTCTGCGTCAATCTTGGTACTCTGAACTTTAAACACTGGGCCACCATGATGACGTCAGTATTTCGGAAGCCCATGGCAAGTTCAATAAATATATTTAGAAACAGGATTCTCGTAGTAAAGCTTCGAGCAAACTTTTTGCAAAAGACACTAGCATGACATGATTGAAAAAATTCAAGGATTGTTCATGGAAACCGTCCATCTTAGAAAGCGTAATAGACTGAAGGTTTAATAACGCATCAGTTATGAAGTCATTGTGCAGTGAAGGTAATAAAATATTATGCAAAAGAAAGTCACTAAGCAAAGATTGCCAACATGGCGGGAGGTTTCGATTATCATAGGCTTTTCAAATAAAAAATGCTAAGGCAAAGGTGAACGGTAACAGAAATGAATATATTTACTTAAACTGTCCTTACAAGATGTCACTTTAACGCGGTATAGAAAAGCACCTTTAGGAGATCCTGCCTAAAGAACTTAAGGACTGACTTGCCTATATCTTAACTTGAATCCGCACCACCGAGACTAGTAGCCAGACACCACGAGTACAGAACTCAAGTCAAATGGAAGTACTGACAAGGAAAGACACGTGGCAGGAGTTCCTCTTCAAGTGTAGGACTAGGCTGAAATAAAATGGTAGCTCTGGTATTAAGGGGCGCAAGTCCCTTTCGCTCTTCTCCGTAGTAAACTCTTTGTGGAGTTACTTCTGAGGAATTATTCGTAAAAATCTGTCCCGGACACATTCATTTTTACGAGAGCTGAAGTTTACAATAAATGAAAACTTGTAGAATCGAATGAGTTTATCATGAAGAAGAGCGCCATAAAAGGAGCGGTGATCGCTGAGGTGAGGAAAGGAAGATATGATATGGATTGAATGACCTAAGAATACTTGATAATTGTGATAATTAGGAATAGTTAATAATGCTGATAATAAAAACCGACTCATTTAATGAGGAAAAATTTACGAGATGTTGAGCGCATCTGCACACCTCAATGGAGGACGAGCCAGAGTAAAATTCTGGCATTATTCGGTATATTAATATTATTCTGGCATATTACCTGTAAGAAGTTCAAATTTTCTTTTCGGGATTAACAATAATTGTCTAGGGCAGGTTCTTTGAAATTATCAGTATATGAACCAGTTTCTTGGTCTTATAATTCAAGCTCATCACAACACTCCATTGAAGTCAATACCATTTTATTCAAAATTCCCAAAATACTCCAGGATTGAAGTTTTCATTTTCCATGAAATCGACTTCATTGCAGTTATGTACATAGAAGGAGTCACGATAGCATGCACACTGGCGCAGATGAAAAAAAATATTTCTAACCTGAAATTAGTCTAAATCCCAAAAATTCAACAGAGATCATTCAGTGCACAAAAGTGAACATTTTCCTAATATATATTTAGAAAATATTTACATTAATGAACGCTGTATCAAGTTGACATTTATTCCTGTCAATGATTTGTAGACATTAGCAAACAGAAATTACATGCACATCCTTGTTTGGTTTGGTCTTAAATCAATTTTCGCCGATTGACAATCGCTCAGCAATCTCTCTTAGCTCATCAGTGGCGGTTTTCTCAATCTTCTCGGCTTGACTCGCCTCTTCCTGCAAAATAAAATAATTGTTATTTAATGAATTAATGAGTGAAGTAGTGAATGAAGTCATATGCACTATTTAATATTCCCGGAAAGGCATATATATGTAGTTTAATCAATGCTTTTTTTGGACCTGAGATATATAGACTTGATGCTTTCTTTGGCCCATGCAAGTAAATTCAATGAATAAATTTGCCCCAAGATAAGTGCACGTTCATGACTCACGTCAGGATAAGTGCGGGTGAAGGTGTCAGGGTGTCGATGGGTCCACGGGGTCCAGACGCCTTGTATGGAGAGGTGGTGGGTGTGGTGGGTCTTCATGAGACGCGCTGTGGGTTGCCCGCTCCGCGTTGTGTAGTGGTCAACCCACCGCACTATTTCTTCCCGAGGTCTCTTCGCCAAATATAAGTATTCCTCTTCACCATTAACTGCAAGGTTACAATTTTTATCAATGAAATTTTTTAGGTTGTTTTTATATCGCATGAAAACAAAACGCACTTGGCTGTGTATAGCACTCATTTGTTGAAACAAAATTATAAGTTTATTTGAAGTGTACTAATCTTCCCTCCAAATTATACGTCAATGAGAAGGAATTGACTTCTCAGGAGAATAATTCAGTGTTGGTTGTACATGTAACTCGTGAAGTAGATCAGGTACAAGCCTTAAATAAAGTTTGATTTTATAATAAAAATGATGCATGAATTTGGGCCTTTGTCGCGATGAGCACTGTAGCAACAACGCACATTATGTACTATATAATATAAATAATATGATATATATTATATGTAGCTTAAATTTCTCACACTATAAACGTACGATATTCAGCTTTCAAGACGGGGCCTCTGTGTCGTCGAGGTTTGAGGTACACCACAACGCCGGGGTTGCTGCGCGCGTAGTGGATGAGATCTTTCTCGATGAAGTCTCTGAAATTAGGAATCCTTTACAAAACAACATCCAGTACATACATCATGAAACTGACCATATTTTTATTAGAATTGAGATGAAGCGATCAGAAATATTGATCAGAAAATGATTTAACGAAGAGAAATGTTACATAAGGTTATCAAAATCTATTTAGAACCTACATACTGACAAGCAAAGGAAGTTTCATGAAATGCATCTGTCATCGAAAACAGTGAGTATGTATTACAGAAATTGAATAATTTTTTCGGCGAGTGAATTATTACGAATCAAATTTAACCAAGTCTATGAAGATAAAATGTACGTGATTCCGAGGCATGGGACGAGAAGTTTTCAAAACTTGGGAAGGTGGACACGGGAATGTGCCGTATTTTTTCGAATTAATTAAGAACGATGTACAAGACACAAGCGGATCTTGCCATCATATTTGATACGGTTTTGTATTAGAGTTATAACATTACTAGAGTTATAAATTACTCTCAAAACTTCCGTACGACTTTTCCACCCTCACCTGACTCCTTTAGAAGCACCGGAACTTTTACAAAACTTAAAAGTTATTCTTTGAAGCTGCTGAGTGAACCTGCCGATGCCGTTGTAGTGAGGAGTCCGAGCGATAGTTGTACCCCAGAAGTGGTTCCATACCGACGCGGTCATGTTTAATATTATTATTAAGGTCAAATACCCTAATATTGAAATGCAAATGCACGGACCAACAATGGATTGAAAGTCTGTAAAACGAAGTCTTAGGGTACAAGGCAAAGAGCTCAATAATTTTGATTTGCACGAATATTCGTGCAAATATTTGATGTTTATAATTCCAACATCAACTTGTGCGAAACAAATGCACGTAAAACAATGTTTAAATAAGTAGCGAAGATAAAGGAAAAATTTTGAAATAATCTGCAATAATTGTTATTATTTTTGAGACGAGGTCACTCAGGAGGCGAGGTTCGTGTAGCCTCTCAACCAATTCCATAGTTCCTCTACATCAGTTAATAGAACTAGTCAAAAGTAATTAAGAATGACTATCAGAATACGTGCTGCAGATCTATCACATCGTCAAACCGTCAACACCCGCATTATACATTGAAACGATTTTCAAGTGTGAATTACAACAAACGTAACAAACTTTATATCAGATATTCTGACTGAAGTGAACGAGTCGAGATATTCCTTCAAAATTTGGAATTAGAATATCAGGAGCAACAATTATTCTTTCGATGCTATTTTGTATTGATGAAAAAATAATTTGCTGGAGTAACTCTAGAAATTTTCACATAAGTTTACCAATAAAAAACGAACGAGGAACTGGTTGCCTTAACCGTTAGAAAAACCCGCGCATAGTAAAAACTTGTTGATAATGAAAGCAAAAATTATGTTTCATCTGTAAGCCGTTTAAGAGATCATTTCAAAACGAATGCTGAAGACTAGGTAACTAAAACTTATAACTATGCATAACATGAATTAACGCTAGACAGCTGACTTAGTGCATACTGAAAATCACAACTTTTGGTATCTACATTATTGATATAATTTCATTATTAATAGATGTTCATTCGTGCATTGTTTATAGCTGTACAGAAAAAAAAGGTAAGCTCGCGCTTACTTTTGTAAGCGTTGCTAAGACCATTAATGTGGCGTTCCATACAACACGAGATCGTCAATAGCAGAATAGTTAGGCATGGATAGTAATCGAAATTATAGTGATTCAAAGGCACGGATTAGAGCATACTTGATTGACGCCTGATTCGAATTCTCAGCATTTAGTACACCGAAGAAGTAGTTGAGAATAGAAGGCCGAAAATAAGACCAAACAAATCTTATTTAATGATGAACGATGGTACGGTAACGGCACTAAACTCAAGTTTTTACAATGAAGTTTTAATTGAGCAATCTTCTGAAGTGGACAGTTTACACGTCCTCTAGGAGTTCGGATCAATATTCCTGTTGAGCTGCAATGACGGCTTGTATGATGGCCGGCGACACGCCCAGGCGATGAAGGCTTCTGGCCACCGCCAGCTTACTGCCAGACTTCGCCCTCAGCACTGAAAACCATACACAATTTTTATCAACAGAGCAGCACTAGACATGATACTTCTGGGATAGTTGAGCAAAAATTCATATAATGAGGTGACGAATCTGATGACGGTCAACATATGCAGCAACGAAAAATTGAGCAAAAAATTATCAACTATGGCTATTTATTTAAATACAGCAGAGCATCTAAGTGTAAATTTGGAGGTTTAAATGATAAAAATCATGTTGCAATAACAAATGCAATATAAAATGACGATGTAAACAATCGTCAAAGGTGTAAATTTTTCAATTAGAAACGATAAATAGAGCAATAAACTTTCAAAAAATTAGTCACAAACCAGGCGTAAGGGCAGCTGGAGGTGGCACGTCGTATAAGAGGAAGGTGAGGGCGGCCTTAGCAGAGTATGGCGCACCTCGTTGTTGCTGCTGCAGGTACTGCAGTAATTGCGGCGCCACGTCTGCAATACAAATAAAACAATAACAGAACTACAGGCATGCAATAAAGTCCTTACTAAATACTTATGATTGCTAAGAAGAGAGAATAGCCAATTTATTACTCACATTCACATGGGAAGTATAATCTACAGTATGTGTAATTCGCAATTTATGCAGTTGTTGAGTGAACACACCACACCCAAAAATATGATTGATTAATGCATCTTACTTTACTCGCGCCTCACCACCAGCCCACGTGTCGAACAGCTCAGCGAGACGACACCGCAAAGAGATCGCTTGATGAGGCGAGACCAGCTGTCGCGGGGTCGGAGAGACCAGCTGTGCAGGTGGTGTACTGGAAGCAGGTGGTACCTGAGCCATTTCATGGTCCAGCGCACCAGGATCTGAGAAATTTCGCACTGTTGCACTGCACGACGCCCTGGGGTCGGGAGAAACTGGCATATTTGTACCGAGCGACGCGCTGAATCCGGGCACTGCATGCACCGTTCGAAGGCATGAATTACTTGAACCGGGTAAGCCAGTGACAGAAATATGGGGTGTTGCCTGAGAGTTATTCTCGTAATTATGCAGGACTTCCTTCTTATTGACGTCTGGAGGAGCACAAACAACGCCGTAAGAACCATCAGCATTAGACGACTGCGACGCCAGAGTTGCGAGATTTGAGTTGAAAACTGAGGCGCCAGCGATGCTGACGTTGGCGGCTGTCACGGAGTCAGCAACGCTGGGAAGAGACCAATTGTGCGAGATTTACGAATTAAGATTTAAATTTCTCATATCACTTAGTTCAGCTATTTTTAAGGGTCACTAATAAATGAAAATCAGATGCAAACAAACAAACCTGCTCGTATGTTATTCAAATTAGGACATTAATATATAATATAGGAAGGGACATTAATGGTAATAAAAATACAGTAAATGGAAATAAATTCCAAAATTAGTAGAAATTTTGAAAAAAGAGTAAAGTTGAACAGCGAATCAGAATACTCCGATAACAATCATAATAAAGACCATAGGTGTAGTACTTGCCGACCGTATCATAACCGTTAAGGTTAAAAATAAATCTTAGATTACTGATTTATGATTTGTTTTCAAATCCAAGATGCCTTCGTGTTGAAACGAGCGACATGTGTAGCAAAATATTCACAATAGGTAGCGAAAAGCGAATCAAAATAAGAATTATATTAATTTCCACGAAAAATAACTCACCTCAATTTAACCTCATCGTCCACGTGAGTCTCAACGACGACACTACGGGGGCAGAGCGCCCTCTGGACTCGTTCACTCCTGTAGGAAGGCGCACTCGCACCGCAGGCAACGCCAAACTTGCGGCCGGCTTCCCGTTTGTTAAGAAGCACCAAGAAATTGGCGACCGTGTGTATGAGTTTTACTTGCCACACAAGCAACCCACAGTTCTGGCTTAGCTGCGCGATCTTCTTTACACCCTGAACCAGAAAAAATGTTGAATTCCGATACAAATTTTCAAACTAATTACAACACGTGATACAGTTCTTACCTTCGTAATTGTTCTTCATAGTTGATAGCATATGAAAAATTACAATTTCACTCCAACTGCAAAAAATTCAAACACCCGAATTGAAATTTTGTCGCCTGCAAAAATTTTAAATCCAGAGTATAATGATTGAAGTCCTAAGAAAAAAATTGAAATAATAATTTTGAACAGTACAAAATGTTTATTCATGTTTGAAACTTGAAATTTGCTGCCTAGTTGTAATGGGCCACGATGAATTCATTGTATCTATGCGATAATAATACATACCTTGAAACATGTATTGTTCGGTGTCGGTTTGGTACAAGACGCAACGAATTTCAGGTCTAAGGTTACACTGAGCATGGGAATTTCAGTATTTGCCTCACATCGCGGATTATTTCGTTTAATATTACCTGAATAACTGTGATCCAGCTGGCTATGGCTTCCGGCTTGCCGAGAGCCAGATGGTCGTACACGATCGTAGTTCGGAGCTGGTGCAGAGCCTGTTCGCAAGGCCATCTGGGGGCCTTGGTACGGTCTGTCGCGTAGAACATTATCATCAATAAATGTTGAATATATGAAGACAATATATACATGTTGAATACACAGTGAGGCCATTAGCGTTTGTCATGTTACGTAAGTATAGAAGATTTCAGAAATTGTCGAAACATTCAAAAAATCGCTTGGAGACGTCATTCAGATACGAATAAATAATTTCTATCTTTTGAAATGTGTTATTTCTATGAATATTTGAATTATCTTTTTACTGGGTCTATTTCCAACAATCACTATAAAGCAGAACAAATCAGTTAAACTAGTATTCCACTAATTTCAGTTTAAATGGACAGTAGAAAAAATCAATAGAACTTAATGTACAAATTGTATTGTAGATAGAGTAGATAGAAAGTGAGTTTCACGGGTTCAAAACTTGGACCACGCATGACACGCTTACCTTTATTGCCCGACGTGTCAGAGGTGTCGGTATCATCGTTTCCTGATCCAAGAAGAACCCTCAGAAGTTGAGAGGCGCGATCCCCCTCAATCCCAATCAACTCCCGACTCTGGAAGCAGCAGATCCTCAGTTTTATGAGTGGTCATGAATAGTAACAATATATAGTAGTTCAAATTAGGTCCATTATCTCAAATAAATGCTTAAAGGACGCGAGAAAAATTATGCAAAACCCAGTATTTTTATGATAGGTAACTGGTATTATGCGACGAAGATTCAACGTAAAATAAATTGGTTCACTAACACAGAGATTGTTTGAGAATTATGATGAGCAAAAAGGCAATGAATTTATTTCTTCAAACCAAGCCTTCTTTACCTAGATCACGAGAAAAAACAAACCATCAAAACCAGGGGAATTCAGGTAGAGAATTTTAGTAAAACTTTCTCCTTCACGAAATCTCAATTTTGTCAACATCACTATATTACAATACAGATATGACGTAATATGTAGCCACGAAATGCATGAAACTCAATCGAGAAACACAAATGAAACATTCGAAATTTCTCAGACATATTTTCCATGAAAAATATAAACCAACTCACAACAACTGAACTAATTTGATGTCGTATAAAAAATTCACATCTCTTACGAATTGGGTTTAGAGAGAAATAGCGAAGTCTTTTATGCGGAGCAAGTAAAAAATGCAAGGTATGCATGTTAGCGATGACCATTACCACAAATCAGTCAAAGCAGATAAGAGGTGGCACATAGCAGACGCGGTACAGCGGAGCAGCTACAAGATAACGAGGCGGTTTACAACGCTTTAGCGCGCACCTTCTTATCGAGGATTTGTTCACGACGTTTACTTATCGAGACTTTTAATGGAAAGCTTTAGAGCATTGCTTCATAACCTCTAAAGCACTCACGACAATTCTATTAAGATAAAACTCGTCCAAGATTGTGGCTTGTGCTCGTGTGCATGAAGAAAGTTCGCTCATATATTGAGAGCCTTGAGTGGCGCCGATAGGTAATTAAAAAACCTATACTTAATAGAGTGATAAATTAACGAGCACCAGCTTGACAGGAATTAAAGTACATGCACCCAACATATTTTTTCGAGGCCGTAAATCAGATAAGTTGTCGACAAGCTAAGCCACAAAAATTCGACTATATAAGTTTCAGGTTTCAGAAAAATATTGTGAAGGAATTGATTGAAGTTAGAAATTCGTATGTAAATTTTGGTAATGCAAACGAATGATTTCAAATAGAATTTTGGAAAACTAAATCTAAAGAGTGCAGAATAGACCAATAAAGTCTCTAAACAGCATTTCACCCAAATGAGTCATTACATGCGAAAGTATCAAGAATGTCACATTTAGTTAAAAAACAAATCTTTTACGTGCTTGTAACGAAACGCATTCTATTTTACAACTTGAATAAGACATCAAAATTGTTTCCGATATTTTCAGATAACGGAAGATAAAATAGAGGTTCTGAGAGCCACACAAGAAAGCATATATTATTCCGAGGATACTCAGGATTCTCGCCTCGGTACCTCCGTTCGAGTAGAACAGTGGTTCCCAAAGTGAGCGATATCGCCCCCTTAGGGGCGGTGGAAATATTTTGGGGGGCGGTGAAGAAGAAGAGAGCGGTAGGAGGGCGATAGGGGGGCCCAGAAGTCAAAGTCAGAAGTTCAAATGTTTAACGATTTGTACACAACACGTGCAGCACATGACTCCCAGCGATGGTTTCGTCACCCAGATCTGTTTTTTTTAACCTCTCCTGGGTTTACGTCTCGGACAAATTAACGGCTGGACTCGCGGGGTCTCACGGCCAATTTCCAAATTCAACGATCAAGGAATATCTCTAAAACTAATGAACTTAACTCGATGAAACTTAGTACACGTATTCATTAGGACCTAACGATGATTTTAGGTCGTGAAAATTGTTTGAATTTTGCCATCGTTTTTTTGCCATAGTTATATGGCAATACGAGCTGAAATTCACAGTGATCAAGTAATTTCTTCCAAACTATTGAACAGATCCGAACGAAATTTTGAATTTGCAGTCCTAACTACCGAACGGTAATGTTTAGCTCGTAAAAATTTTTTTCGATTGTGCCTTCGTTCGCGAGTTTTTTGTTTCTCATTTCACCTTCATTCCTGATTTAAACAACAATACGTGTTTAAATTCGCAGTAATCAAGAAATTTTTTCCAAACCGCTGAACAGATTTAAACGAAACTTAGTATTTAAATACCTAACCTCAGCAACTGTGATGTTCAGCTCGTTACAATTTTTTCGTTTTGCCTTCGTTTGCGAGTTATACGGCTATACCGACCGGTAGAAAAGCCGGTCGTTCCTCCTATATCTGTTAACTCGCGAACGAAGGCAAAATAAAAAAATTGTCACGAGCTGAACATCACTGTTGAGAGGTTAGGTAATTATATACAAGTTTCGTTGAAATCTGTTTTGTATTTTAGAAGAAATTTCTTGATCGCCGCGAATTTAAGTGACAAATTACCCGGCGATACGGGCCGAATATAAGGAAGTGTGAAATCAAGAATGACGGTGAAATGAAAAAAATTCGCAAACGAAGGTAAAATCGAAAATAAAAATTTATAAGCTAAGAAATCACCGTTTGGTAGATAGGAATGTATATTCAAAATTTCTTTCAAATCTGTTCAATAGTTTGGAAGAAATTCTTTGATCACAGCGAATTTCGGCCTGTTTCACAATATACGCGTACCTCATGAATCAAGGTGAAATTAAAAAAAATTACGAGCTAATCATCACCGTTAGGTTCTGATGAATGCATGTTCCAAGTTTCACAGACTGCGTTCATTAGTTTCGGAGATATTACTTGATAATTGAATTTGGATATTGGTCGTGAGACCGGCCACGAGTCCGGCCGTAAACTCGCCCGAGACGTCTATAGGTTTCTAGTGCTGAAACAGTTAAAATAGCTAAAAAAACATATTGGTTCACTTAATGAGGTTCTGTTTGTGAAATACACATTTGTGTTTAACCCTTCTCTTATAAAATTGCAGCGTACTAAATTTCAAGAAAGGGGCTTATGTCTGTGCATGGGGGGCGCTAGAAATTCACCATGGAGCCAAAGGGAGCGCCAGCCTGAAAAAGTTTGGGAACCACTGGAGTAGAAGAAGAAAAGCTGTTTGTTGATAGAGCCCGCGACTCAACTCGCAACTGCAGTTATCAGACTTTTAGGTAGCAATATTATTGACAATAATAACTGCAAATAAAGACGGAGAATTAACCCTACTCTACTGACGAAAGATCTCATCATTAGGTCTTTAGGTAGGAACAGCATTGGCGATTAATAAAATCAGAGACAGAGACCTCTGCCTGCAGCCGACAAATCTCGTTAACAAGCTTCTAGGTACGAATAGCATAAATGCAAGAGGCAGGTTAGCTTCACTCGCTCGACAACAGTGTAAAATTTCTCCGCTTGATCGCATCAAGCAGATTAAAGGAGCAGGGAGCGCAGATTAAAATAATTCTCTCATCAGATTTAAGCTAATTTTCTTAACTTAATGACAGGCACAAAGTATACACAATCACACAAATATCAAAAGAATGCACTCGTGCTCATAGTCTGAAATGTTGCCCTCGAACTATGAGGAATTAAGGTACAAATAAAACTATAGTATATCCAGAACTTTCAAGACTCGTTGAAAGAGGTAAAACTGGCCGTAATGCAACAAATATTGCTTAATTTTAAAATGTCGGGCAACAATTTGGTGTTTTAATGCATTGCAAAAGTAGAACTTTCTTAATAATATATTTTTGCAGTCCGAAGCAATTGATAAAAGACCGAAATTTCAGGATTCGGGCCGAAAAAAAACATTTGGCAAACTTAGCCTGAGTTTAAGGGCGCGTTATTGACGCTGCCAAGTGCCAGTCTCACTTTGCTGAGCTGTCCAACAAACTGAGGTCGTGCGCTGATATACAAAGCCTATACAAGCCGATGAAAATGCCGGGATAAAATTGTAAGGCTTAAAATCTACTTTCAGAAACCAAGCTTCAAATAAAAAAATATAACTCAGTACTCACTGCAGTGAGTGACAGAGAGCGCATTTTCTCGTCGACGAAAACGGACGAAACGAGAAAAACTTTTGTCCGTCTGTCACGGACGGACAGACGGACGGACATGGCGAGCACAATAGTGCATTTTTTCCATAAATGAGAAAATGCGCTAGAAAGGAGGAAACACATCATTTCCATTAATTTGTTCAGCGCCATAAGTGGAAATTATCAGTTGCTCGATTCTCGGATGAGAATTTTGACCCATCTCTTCCAACAGTTGGAAAAGCAACGACAGGTATTGACCAGTTGGGCGTAGTAATGTTGAGTCTTTATAATATTAGATAAGTTCATAGCATATTGTCAACGGATTAACGTTAAACGTTTCTGTTAGCTTAACCTAGATAGGTTCTTATCTAGATAGATAAGAACCTAGATAGGTTCTTCTCTGTTTATCTTTCCTCTTTCTGACCACTCTGGGCCACCTCTTGCTTTTTCCTCACTTTCCTAGTGCCACCAAAACACACTTTTATAAAACAGTACTTGGTTGATATTCCCGTGTCTTTTGTAATTTTTCGTATTGATCATATATTCAATAGAACCAACCTGAAATAGAAAAGACGTAAAATCAAAATGTCTGATGCAGATGATTCATGATAGAATTTGAATACAAGCAATCGTTCCTAGAAAAAACATCTTCCAACAGCAGAATGTACGTTGTTTGTGTTACAACCAATTTTCACCATCTACCAGCGTAAATAATAACGTGGTAACGATAAGAATTGAAGTTCAAATCTGCAAATCAATGGATGCACGGCAAGCAGAGCAGGATTAAGATTACAATTTAATTTAAGCCTTTCTTACAATGAATATGCGGCAGACACAACATGGATAACATTACAAAATAAGATCAAACCATTAATGAATCTGCAAGAGCCCATAGCGAGTGTACAATACTGCAAATATTACAATTTCAGTTCAAATCTTTGATTCAATGACTGCACGGCAAGGACAGCATTGCTAATATTGCAATTTAATTTCAAACCTTTGATTCAGTCAACGCGCGGCAAAGACAACTACATGATTAATTAAGATTGCAATTTAAGTTCAAACATTAATTCAACGAAGGCGCGGCCTGCCAGTCTCTCAATACGAGCCCTGGCGCAAGCTGCAGCGCATGCATGGTATCCTGTTTACGCCCGCCTTGCTCTGGCGCCAGACTTGATCTCAAGCCTACATGGAGGGTGGGTCAAGCCAGGGCCTGTCTCTTATACACATCTAGATGTGTATAAGAGACAGCGTGGATGCACTGAGGTGCGCGTGGATGCACTGAGGTGCGCGTGGATGCACTGAGGTGCGCGTGGATGCACTGAGGTGCGCGTGGATGCACTGAGGNCTGTCTCAGGGAGTTTATACATGCGTATTCTTGCTCTTTCTAAAGGCAATGCAAAAGCTTATTCCTTGGATATTATCTTGCAGAAAGAATGCATGGTGCCAACCTGCAGGTTTTAAAAATATTTTTCGTCCATTGGTTGAGTGTTTACGCCGAGTGTGTGCAAGCGAACTTTATGATCTTAAATTCTTGCAGGATTAGCTTTGCAGCCATTGCCAGAGCCGGCATCCGAAGCAGCGATCGCTATAGAGCCACCAAAAGATCGCAACCAAACGCCCAATTTACGATCGCCGAGTGACTTGCGCTCTCATTGTACATCGTTGGCGATCTTTACCTGTTCCATTGCTTAACAGACGCAAGTTGCTTAAAGCTTAACCAAGACGACACTCAACAAGCTGCATGCGTGTGTTTTCTGGCAATTCAATAGCAAACTGCGGGTGCAAGGGCTCACAAACATCGCAGAATCTTGTGTCGAAGGCAACGCACTATCATGAATAACAAGAATCGTTTTTCGTTAACTTGCTCGGCCGATAGCCAGACTCGTGCAAAGAGGACAGTTGAGCATTCCAGAAAAGAAATTTCTTTTTCAAAAAGTTTCGAGTCAGTTTGAGGTTATGCAACTAAGTAGGATCTAGCTATTGCGATGGAACATAAATAAAACGCCGAACGACATCAAATAAAAGGATCGAGATCCCATATGGAAGTATATCAACACTTTTCATTCATTAAATTTTTGTCTTGTGCAGGACTGCACCTACAAAAATAAGCTCGTTGAGGAACCCATTTTCTAGAACTATTGACGATGGAAAATTATTCCATTCAACGAGGTAAGAATAATTCTCTTCAGAATAAGTTCTGTTTTAAAAGTTACGGATTTTTTGGGAAACGAGTTTTCATTAGGGTTTATGCAATTATTTTGTGTTGGTTTGCAATTAGAGAAAATTCAATTACATCAGATGCACAGTTGACAAAGATGTCGAAATGGCTGCCATCTACTGCGCCTGTCAACCAATCATACGTCAGAGATGAGACAGAATGTTGAGAATGGTGGCAATGTCAGCTGTAATTAAACACGTTGGTTGTCTGCCAATTCCAAGTACTAAACAAACGTATTTCTACCGATTATACGTTTATTTACAAGCACTGTGAAATGAGCATCAAACACTGTGGGAAAACATAAAAGCTTTATATATAGTCGGCGCAACAATGATCAGGTCAGGTGTCATCATCATGTCCAAAAATGAAAAAAAATTCTATTTGTAGAAACATTAAAGTGATCATCACCTGTTGAAACTGTATAGGCAACCCTGCCAACGGCAATAAGCAAATATCAAGTAATGTACATTATGTGGAGACATGTGCATATGGATTTATCAGAGCAAGTTCCGGGCAGAGGTCATTGCTGTGATTATAATAGATATTATTGTGTATCCGGACTCTTGAGCAGAGAGGGTAAGCTCTGCATAGCTATCTTCCTTGGCGCCAAACTCCTGAAGAGAAAAGATACGAGGCTGACCTCGAGGTGAGGCAGATGTTGGTTGCACACGCGTCCATGCGATCTCACACGAAGATTTCTGCATGGACAGTATTCCTATGCGGACCTTCACTTGGGGATACATTTGTTGCCTAAAATTGACGATTAACGCTTTATTACAGCCTCACGGTTGCTCAGTATAGTTTTATTTGATTTTAAACAATAAAAAAAAATTGTAAAGTTATTAACCTAACAAAACCTTTTTTAGCAACCTCATGATTCATCTGCTCATAATCACGTATAAAAAGCGGCAACTAGCAAAAATTGAGGCGTAAAAATTCGAGCTTAAGTAAAAAAAGGTAGGTAGAAAATTCAGACCTAATCCTGACTTTAAACTTCAAAATTTTAAATTTTTAAATTATACAGAATAAGGACCAGTAAGCTAATACGCGATGATATTCCTGGAGATATACGCAGGCCTTAGTTACAGCTTGAGGTCGATGAGCAAAGAACGACAGAAAATAAAGCAGCAAAATTGGAAGTGAAGTGCAAAAATCTGCACCTTATGCGAGATGCATTTCTCAGGCGCTCTTGAGCTTGCCTTATCGTGCAGATGACAACCCCTAATGCGCCTTATCAGCGCCAGGGCTGTAAATGAGCAAGAAACTTGCACCAAGTGAACAAATTATCGAGCACTCTCACTCCAGGAATGCAGTTTTTGACGAACAGTTAAGTACCACGAAGCGCGAGCATCTTGCAACGAAACATGCAGGATTGCCGGGAATTTTTTTAAGAACAAGCAAGGCAATCACGAATTTTTATTTAAATTATGGAATGAAAGGTTCGCCAAGGTGACGCAACCATCTCAGCGCTCGGGTCGTGTGGGTACTAACGTTTACGCAAGGCATTTCCAGCTTGCAGTCCAGCTGCTGGTAACACATCCGGAACCGCTGGTTCGAAACTAACTTTCAGCCGCGCAAACCGCTGATTTGCGGTAGCGTGAGTCTACGGCAACTGCGAAGCCCAAAATAAATTCAAGGTGCAAGAGTGTTATTATCAAATTAACACAGCAAACCGAAAAATTACATGTTAATTTATAATTTTATATCATCAGTGTAAAAAACAACAATATTGCACGCACGAAAATTTATAACATCCGTATAGCAAACAACAATAATGCTCGTACGTACACTTCTACTATTCGAATAACAAATAACAATATTGCGCGTATGAACATTAATGCCGTTAGCATAGCTAACAGAAGAATTTTAGGCGAGTAAATTCGAGCAATTGAGCATTCATCATCGTAAACCATTTGCGAATACGTGCGTCAACAACATTCTCACAGCGAACCACAATCAAAAGTGCTTTCGTAAATGTTTATATAGTATTGCTGCGAATTAATGTGTCACTGCTTGTATTTATCATTCAAACATCGAAGTCGAAATTGAAGTAGAGCACCGAACATTATAATGTTTGTCGAGCACTCTAAGATTCGCTCGTGTCAAATGAAAAATACACTAATCTGAGGGGCAAAATAGTACACGAAGGCGCGCTACTTTAATTGACTCAACAAATTAAACGTGAAAGCAAGCAGACGAGATGTTCGGATGCATGTTAAGCGACACTTAATACCAGATTCGAAGATTTCGCTATGTGCATGAACCGCGTATGTGCATTCATCGTTCACGAACGCGTAATTCTTCCATAAAAACCGGAATGTTAGCCAAACAATTCCACTTACGACGTTTGTCACGGCATACGGGATAAGTTCTGGAATTTCCTCTCTCATTAGGAGTTAATTCTCCCAATAAAAGTAATAAAACAAATGATTCTAGGTTAAACTGGAGATAATTCTCCGCGGAGTTAATATTATTTTCAACGTTTGTAAAAGCAACGAGGATTCCAGTGATTCTTTACTAAAACTATTGCTTCCGAATTCAATAAATTTTTAGAAAAATCACAACCTACGAAATTAAACAATTTCAGTCGTAAACACAATGGATAATTTCAAGATTTATGCTTAAAAAAAAATCTGTACGAATTCCAATCCAATCCATAAATTTAGTAGTTTGAAAAATATCCGGAAATTATAAATGCACTTAATTTATGACAGCAATAAGCGACAGACATTCTTGTATCACGAATCACTTGATCAAGTTTGTTTCCACTTACATCAGCAAAGCGTAACTCCGCGACTATAATAAAGCAAATTAAACCTGACATTTAGAATGAGCAGAATTAAAAGGAATCATTGCCTTACAGTGAGTGCGTAACAAATAATCTCTATGACACTCGACAAGTGCATGCTTACATTTGCGATTGGCCTGCTCTCAAAGCACGCCCATCTTGAAGCATGGAGGTCTGCGAGCGATGTGCATGCCAAGCCCACAGATTTGCACTTTTTTGCGTCGCCTTTAATCTTTATAAAGGATGAGAATAGAGAACAAAGTTGAGCCCAACAACCCCCCGCGACGAGAAGAGCTCATCAGAGTTCGCAGGCAACAGTGCGTGTAGGACCTCTGACAGCAGAGCATCTGTCGGCCACAGCAACGTGATCCAAGCCACTCGAGTGTCATCCAGCAACTAATTTTAATACCTCAATAAGTAATGCTTCGATAAGCCAATAAAAAAATCAATGAATTTACCATGGACTAAGACGTTATTGTGCTTCAACTGCAAATGAAAAGCTTTGTTGTTTACAAAAGGCAAAATAATTCGATCTGCGTAACCGGAAGCGCAAAAATTCGTAACCAGAAAAAAAGCGCAAGAATTTCAAGCCAATACTTTACACAGTGAAACTAGCGGATATTTGCCAAGCATGATTATTCCACTTCCAAAACAATTCGTAGAAAATAAAGAGTTCTTGGAAACCGAATTTGACTCAAAAAAATTCTGGTAGTACATAAAATCCCCGAGAAATAAAGTCTTCCTAGAGGCAGCGATTTCCGACTTAGAAAACTTTACCGCACTACCGAAACAATGGAATTTAAAAAATTATCCTGCCACATAACAATAGCATTCATTTGCTTGGTGGGAACGAGCAGATCGCATGCTCACGAGGCGAAATTAGGATGCCCGGACACAACTACCGTACTTCTGCCAGGCACGGAAATTGACACACTTGGGTGGACACTAAGCGACGCTACAGCCGCCAGAGGGTCGAGGTCAGCGGCTAAATGCGACGACGAATGTTCATGCGAAACCAACAAAGAAGGTTTATTCCTCATTGATTGTTCGAGAGCCATAAACCCAGACGTCCTACGGGAAGGTTGGAGTGACGCAGAACCAGGAACAAGCGAAGTACGGCTGGTAATCATGGGTTCTGAACTGACAGCTCTCAATTCACTGGGCAACATCAGTATCACGAGAGCCCACTTCAAATACAATCCAAGCTTGAGTTTCATTGCAGAAACAGCGCTCTTGTCTTCAGCAGAGTCTCTGCTTGTGTTGGACCTACGCAATAACAATCTGACCAGCCCTCTTAATATCGAAGGAGATTTCATGAACCTCCAATTTTTGTCGCTGGATGGTAACATATTAGAGACTGTGCCTGAATGGGTGAACGGATGCAAAAGTTTGCTTCATTTGAGTTTGGCGAACAACTTGATAACTCACGTCGCTCCAGGAACATTAAATAACTTGCCTAACCTGCAATTCCTTAACTTGCACAAGAATATGCTAACATCGCCACCAGGAAACCTGAAGCTTCCTTCCCTTCGGTCGCTCGTGCTCCAAGCCAATCCTATAACTGAGATGACCCCCGGTAAGAACAATGATTTCGAGCTAGGAGGATGAGAATAAATTAGGTGTCATTTAGACGAACAGATTTTCGCAGCTTAAGCGAGCTGAAGATTATGCAGGAATTCAATAACCGGTTGCATATTACATGCATCTTTAACTTGATTATGCTAGATTCGTTCTTTTCAAGGGACATGACAGTAGCCTATACAGACATGCCGAAATTAAAAAGACATGCTGAAATTAAAACACAGTCGTTACCGGCAGGCGCATGGCATGACTTGAAGTCACTGGAGTACGTGGACCTGAGTTACAGCGAACTGTCGACGCTACAAGAGGGCAGCCTGAGCGTCGCTACAGAGCGGCCTTGGCTCATCTCCCTCGCACACACTCCCCTCACTCACCTACCGCAACACGCCTGGCTTGGCGGTAAGTTATGTAAGATCACAGAGTGAGCAAAAATTTAACAGAGTCATATCTGCAGAATATCAAATCAATTTTTTCCCGTGGTTTTATGACAGAGCTTAGGCTATCTATTTTCTTGTTGTTGTTCACTGTTTTTTTTCACAGAATATTTATGAATTTATACTTATAAGCAGAAAAGCTATTCAAAAACCAATGTACAGTTCATGGAATTTTCCACAGCATGAATTAAAATACGCCATGCTTTTTCCTGTATAAATAAATTCCTTTGATAAGTTTGAACTCAACCTTTGGTCTGCTACCATTAGAAGAAGAGACACAGGCGTATTTCATAGCAAGTGAGTGGAATGAACTAAATTTGTCAGCTCCTATTCAAGTTGAGTTGAAATTTTATTCCACGAGTAGCAGTCCAAGTAACCGGACCCACAGAGACGAATAAAAAATATGGCCGTAAATGAGTCCGTAGCCAGACACTTCTGGCACGGGTCATTCATATACAATGCTTGTCGACCGTCATTGTACAAACGCAACTTTCACCAATAGATAATAATGAAGAGTAGTGTGGTATATGAATGCTTTAAGTCAGCATGCTTGGTGTGTCCCAGGGGTGCTGGCTCACTGGGTAGACCTGCGCGGCACGCACATCACGACGCTCGACGAGCGCGACTTCCGACCGCTGCTCAGCAGCATGGCGCTCAAAACTGTCGTCCACGCAGACTGGGGACGCCCGCAGATTTGGTTTCATAGTACGTATCTACTAACATTAAAGTGTATCGTTATTTGATTCCGTAATATTAAATTAGGAAGTTATTGTTATTGACAGGGTACCAAAAGTCGGGTTAGCATATCGAGGACGTCGGTAACTCGTTATTAAAAATACGAGTGCTACGTAGTCATTGTACGTCAGAGCTCGCATTTAATCTCGAATTATTTAGCTTCGACACACAAAACTGTGAGTATTATTAAATTTTTAATGTTAGAATAAGTTACCGAAATATTAGGGTCACTCAGGACCATATCCTGAAGCTCATCTCCTCAAATACATTACCGGGTTAATATGGAAACAAATGAGAAATACATCAAGTCGGCGTACAAATCCTAACATAAAGGTCGTGAAATTGCAGCCAAGATCAATACGAAAGCAATTGAATAAGGTTGTAATGCACCGTGATATCCACAGTAACGCTTCAATAAATACTTTCAATAAATAAATACCTTGAGTAAATGCAGCAGAAATAGTGGCTGACGAAAGCCGCATGGGCAACGCTCCACTGAAGTTAGTGAGCTACCAGCTTTATTTACCCGACAGTGCGCAGATTATGCACGTTTAAATTGGACGTGAGCTAAAAAATTCATGACAATTTTGTAAAATACTAAATTTATTTGGCATAAATCAAGACAGCTGAAATACTAGTGATCCAAGACCATAAAAAGATCGCAGTTCGCAAGACCATACTTAGACGCTGCGATTCCACTTAAAGCTATTCTAATTCAGGGACATTTATCCCCTACACCAGACGATGAGGAAACACATAATTTCGTTGTTAATTCAACTAATCCTTAATCAAATTTAACACCAGATGATGTGGATAGCACATAATTTCGTTGTTAATTCAACTAATTTTTTAATAAATTTGACTGCTAATCTTGTGAACATGAGCAGATGATGTCTTGTCGTGCGATTGTGACGCTAAGTGGCTGGCTACCAACGCAACGCTACTGCGCCACGCATCAGGCAGATGCAACGACAAGAACATTCAACTCCGCTTCCTCGATCCCGATTACTTCAACGTCTTCTGCTTCTGAAACTTTCACATGCTATCCAATAGACTGCATACATTACCATTTACCGTTAAAAACACTTTAAGGAGTTTAATAGCCTGTAATACGATTATGATGGCATATATTTAGTCCTTGTAGGAATAGTCTGTTAAATTCAAATCTTTCATTTTCAGTTTATTCAGTAGATAGGAGCAAATAAAAATGAAGGGCTCAGTAATAAACATTCATAATTAAAAATTTTGTACCAATAGATCCCATATTTTAATCAAATAAATTGAGCAATTTATTTTTCTTTGAAGATTTTGATCAATGTCGTGTCAAACTTTAAAAGTCATTGCATCGTTTCTTTCCATTGACAGGGATCCCACCAATAGACATGAACCACCAATAGACATGAATATTCCAATAGACAGGAACAAAATATCGCTTCTAATAAACTTCACGTAATCGATTTTTTAAACTATATCAATAAAAACGCAAATCATAATAAAATCTCATAATGGTATAAGTGAGACTTGATTGAAAATTTGAAATTACTATAATCCTAACCTTATTAGAACTAGACCTCAGAGAAGAACTGAAAGATGATTAATATATCGATTTACCTCCAGACCCTCTCATTCAGCGGTACTTTAAATGCTTCTTCATTCAGCTGAGAAGCTGTAACTACCCAGACGGTATCTACATCGAATATCGTACACTTACGGATATAGCAGCTCAGGGTCACGTAATCAGTGAAATGAACGCTGTATTTAATTACTCATCACTCTTTCTATTTCTTTGATATAATTGTTTAGAATTGAAAATACCAGCCGTATTTCATGAAAGCACTGGATCATTTTTAGCGCATTTTCTCATTTATGGAAAAAATGCCCTATTGTACTCATCATGTCCGTCCGTCCGTCTGTCTGTCTGTCCGTCCGTGACTTCACGCTTTCGTCGACGATAGAATGCGCTTTCTTTCACTCACTGCAGTGAGTCCTGAGTTATATTTTTTCAAAGCTTGACGAGGATCGATGTACCGCAGTTAATGAAATAATTCCAATGATTCCACAGCGATTGCGAGTATTGCCATACCGCGGGATGGGGCACAGCGATTGACAGCTGGTTCCTAATGCATGAACTACAGCACAAACCTTGGTAATCACAAGACCGACTCATGTAGCCATAAATTCCCATCTTGAGATGAAACTCTTACTCTAAGGAAGCATGCCAGCAGTTTCTTTCGACTCTTTTAAATGCACTAAATTCACCCAATTGACACCCAGTAAATGTCACCAGGCTGTTTTTTTTAGCAGGACCCTCACCTTTCTACACGAGTAATGATAAATAGCTGTCATCAATCCACGTCTCTTCTTCCCATGTCATCATCTACCTTCATCTCATTATATTAAGAAGCCTGCGTATATTACAGACCAGCGTAGCGGAAAACGCGCCTAAATCTCTATAGGATCAATAAAATTACATAAATTTCATATGGTTCACCATATGAAACACCAAGCAACTCGGTGGCAGTTACCAAATCATCGATCAAATCACGCAGGAGAAACAATGGATTGGGCACGGATAAGGGAGTCCCGGTGTCCGTGATAAGAGAATAGATCATAGTAGTGAGTTGCAGATTCGAAACCCTAGCAAGCAGTAAGAAATCTGCAATGTCAAGAATTGGTAACATGCCAAATGTGGCATATTCAACACTAATATTACTATTAGAAAAATAGCAATACCTGGGCAATCCAGGGCACAGGCTGGTCTCTGAGCAGGAAGCACTTGTCAGGCTTGAGGAGAGCCATGTCCCCCACACGTGGCTGGTCCTCAAGGTTTGTGCCGCACGTCCCAGGCGTGTACGGGGCCTCGCCCTCCCGTAGTTTAAGTGACACGCCGTACCCGCCTCGTATGAGAGCTTCTAGCACTGACCATGTGTGGCTCTCACGGGTGAACCTTTGCAATAAGAAGAAATGTCATCAGGATTAATATGGAAACTAATGAGAAATTCATCAGGTCGGCGTACAAATCCAAACATGAAGGTCGTGAAAATGCAGTCAAGATCAATACGAAAAAAATAAAAAAATTTATAAAGTCGCAGCTCAAAGATAAATATAAAGGTCGTGATAGTGCAGTTGGTGTGATGAGAATAAAAACGGTTCCTCACTTTACTAATATGTTATACCTCATAAAATCTAGAGAGCAACGCAGGAAATTTGGATCAGTAATTCTTCCGAGCAAACTGTTGGAGTAACTGAGATAGAAAATCTTGGATTTATGAAGATTTAATTTAGATCAATTTAGTAAAAAGTTTAGAGTTGCAGACTAAAGCAGGATAAGTAGATTAATACTTAGCATGAAAATTGTTAGGAGCGGGTTATTGTGTTGCACGAAAATTGTTACATTGTCTAAAGTTAAGCGAATATTCCAATAGACATGATTTCAATTTTTGAAAATAATTCAAAGTTAATCTGAAAATAATTCCAGCAAGCAGTAACAATGAATGATAGGATTTAGTTTATAATGAAACTTTCGCGAAGAGTCTCTAAAACTCATAAATGAGGTTGTAGTATTGGTAGTACTGAGTGGTCACCTCAGCGGCCAGAAGCGGCTGTTGGCAGAGTTATTTTCTATGACGACCTCAGACAGCTTGGAGAGCGGCGGCAGCATCAGCGGCGCTGTGTCGTCGTACGAGAACTCCTCGTAATTTGCACACCCCCTCATCCTGTGAGAAGCATACGTGAATTCAAAAAATGGCAAACAATTCTTCATTTATCTCTAAAAGAAATACCATTTCGTGGTCCAGCTCCATGATAAATTCGACAAACCTATATTACAAACAATTAGTAAACTAAAATTCACATTGCAGAAATTACAGCTTTAATTGCAAAAACATGTATCCACGACAGTAAGCACGTAATTATCGATGCATTGATAGAGCAACCAAGTGCGTGATCTCCCTCATACGTTGATATAAACGACATAATCAATTATAGAAATCAAAAATCAATCGATCAGAATGACGAAGTATGAAAAATATGAGAGCACAAATAAATACGCTAGATATATTTATTAATATAAATATATTCTGCTTTCCCAATGAATAGATTTTAATATAGAAATGAAATATTAGAAAAGAGTAAGCTCATCACTGGATATGACTCACTTGAGGGTGACGTTAGCCAGACACAGTCGACCGGAGTTAATGTCAATGGGCATGAGGAGACGCGGCTCACAGGCGAGCATGTACAGGTGACGGAAAGCCTGCAGGAAGAACCACTGAATAATTACGAAACTGAATATGATAATATGAACATAATTACGACTATGAACATGATAATTATGAAACTTAATATGATAATATGAACATAATTACGAATATACCTAAACATGATAATTACGAAACTGAATACATTCTTGGCGGCATTTTGGGCGTGACTCTTATTAAATCACCGATGGATTTGTGGTTCACAGTTTACAACGACTAGAAGATTAAAGTCTTAAATGAAGTCCAGTTAAAGTACAAATAAAACTTACAAATAAAGTCCCGTAAGCCCAACAGTTAATATATTTTCATAGATATCACCTCCAGCGAGCATTAAATCTAATGCGTAGATTTAGAGAATGGTCATTCCAAATACTATGCTAGTTATACAAAGAGACAAGCCATTGATATCATAATGATGAAAGTGATAGGGTACAATTTCCACTGTTGAATTGACGTGATGTATTGTGTACTGAGATTGTTTTATTTACCTATATGAACATTTCATGATATACAAGCAAAAAGTGTTCGTAAAAGAGCACTGCTATATGACTTTCACTTTTATAGTTTTAATACCACTGTATCCTGGTATCTTCGTTATTAATACCGCTATTTCCATCAAAACCACCTAAGCACACAACTACGCTTAGATTAACACAAGCATTAAGCCTAGAGCTGAGCGGTTGCAATAGGATTGATACGTATCAAACTATGACCTGATATTTAACCTCGCAGGGCGACATGGAAGGTTCGCACCTGCAGATGGTATCGATTGTCCCAGGAATGCTGGGGCAGTTTAGGGTAGCAGGCAATGAGCAGCGCCGCGACGCTCATGTTGTCCGAGGCGACGCAGAAGCGACCGCCGCCCAGGAACAGGAAGCCTAGCGCCATGTGCACCGCCAAGTGCGACCCGTACCTGGATATTCATGCCGAAAGTGTCATAATTTATAATAAATATATTTTCACAAGAATGTTTTAAATTTGAATAACTTGTTTCATCAAGGCGTAACTTAATTAAAAAATTTGTCACCGATGCATTTATGATAAGGAATCCCTGTGTGATGCGTGGAATTAAGAGCTCAATCCTGGCTTATAACATGTAATTGCATATTAACGAAAAAATAATAATGGCGCTAAACTGTACAAATAAAAAAGTGGCTGCATTAAAAGTAAATAAATCGTTGCAAAATCCTAGTGACGACTGACTCGACGCTGGCATTGATATGCGGGCCGACCCTCTCCCGGAGCAGCTTGATGAGACGCAGCACCTCGAGGTCCCCGGTACCGGCCATCAGGAGAGACAGGGACAGCAGGCAGCAGCACAGGCAGCTCTCCACGCTGCTTTTCCCTGAGATGATGGCTATTGTGTTGTTCTTCGAGTACCTGCAGTCACAAAATCCAGTGGGTAATTAGCATCAACAGCTCAGGCGCATGTAGATTTTCCACTGCAAACAGTTATTTTAGCAAGAATATGAAACACACACGAACTTTTGCTAAACTTGTGTAACAGATGGGAATGGATTGGACATTAAAACAAGTTACTTGCTCATGTTTTGAATGAAATACTTGACTATGTCAAAAACTTAGCGCTCAAAGTTTCACAACACAAACAAATACAAAGTTTTATTACTGTATTTAAATTAGAGAAACCAATATAAAACATGTATGGGATACAATATGAGAATTATGTGCTAAGAACAACTTGCCTGATAAGAAGCGTAGTGTATTTGTAGAGCACTTGAAAAGCTGCGTCGTTGGCCGTGCCCGCAAACTTGAGCCCAAGCACGAAACAAGACCCCGCAATAAGATTAAAGAAAGCTTGGTACATCGTCTCGTAGTCGACCTGGGGATCTTCCACGTGATTTTCTTCAAGAGCAGCTATGCGTTTCAGAACGAGATTGGGAATGTTGCTCTCAACCCATTCAACCGACGGAACAACTTGTCGCCACATGATCAGGCCCCAAGAGACTATCCTCAACAAGAGGAAGTCAGGCCTGATTTGTTCCAACAAAAAATTGGTTCCTGGAGCTTGCATCCACTGAGCCACCGCTTGATTTCCGCTAGCAAAATAGATCATGCCTAGAGCGAGCGTCGCTCCGGGCGAAGTCACGTCGATGTTTACTCGTTTACCTTCTTTAATTTGGTAACATGGAGATTTGTACTTGTCTCGAGTTGGACCGGACATGGGTTTCTGGTAGCCTCCCTCAATGTAGTGATAGAGCTGACCAGCAATATCGAGGTCAGCAAACTGGTTGGGTTCAGCTCCTTTGCCGAACATCACAAGCCCGAGACCCAAGCCAGCGGCCAATGAATATGACTCGCGGTCATTGGAATTCTCCATCTCTGGCCCAGGAGGTCGGCCGATTTCGCGCAACAAGACCTCCGCCATGTGGCGATGACCGCTCCCCTGGTATAGAATACCTATGCCCATGATTGCTGCCACTTGCACAGTGTGGTGGATGTCGAGTTCAGTGCAAGTGGGAGGAAGAAGGCATTCCAGATGGATGCTCAGTAGCTTGGTAGTTGCAGCGTGGCAAGATCCACGTCTTGAGGCGGCGAGGCCAAGAAGAAGGCCAACGCTGGTTAGTTCATGGGCTCGACTGAGGTATTCATGGAGTCCTACGGTGCTCAAGTTGCGTATGTGCCCGCATAGACCCAATCCCAACAGAAAACCAGCATGTTCAGTGGCGTCAGTTCCGGTCTTTGGACGGTTGAACAAAATCCAAGATGTGTCAATGCCTTCGCTACTCGGATGAATCTTTAAAGCCGCGGCGACGCCGTTGTGGAACAAAGGCCACAAGTTCATATTCGGAGGCACTTCGGCGTTAGAAAGATCAATTGTTGCACCACGTGGAGGAGCCTTACCCGTGAGACACAGAGGAGGGATGACCAGAGTTTCTGTAATGATGGGCGTGTGAGTGGAAAGCGTAAACATACCCCGACCGATTGGAAGTGCCATGGTGCGTACGCTGAGGCTGATGAGATACCTTTCCTGTTCTTCCTGAAATTCATGATCTGACACTTCCAGACGCTGCTTGATATCAATCAGCACAGGCGTAGCAGAGTTGAGCATATGACGAACGTCTTTGACACGTTTATCGGCGGGCCAACGTAGCCGTAGCACGGCCCAATCCAAGGAATCCATGCCATCAAGTTTGTAGCTTTCTTCAACCTCCTTCGAATCAAGAGACGTGTCGTTACCGAGAGGGCTTTTGAAGCCATCAAATTGTGCAGGTGCTGCGTACGCGTCCTGGGAGAGCTTGAACAAAAACTCATTGTGATCGGCTGCCTGCTGATCATGAAGTACCATGTCAGGACGGTTGATTAGACGGTAGGTAGAACCATTCCAGGAAATAGGAGGATTAGCGCGACATTGATGCTGAGAATTGATAAGTAACAGCGACAGTCCCGGTGCAAGCAGTTGGATGTCCAGATTTGATAGGCCAAGGTTATCAGTTAGGAGTACGATTTTCTCGTGAATGGTCATAGAATTCCGGGATAATTCGAATGACAAATAACGATGAGGGTCAAAGCTGTTCCTACTCGAAGGGAAAATTTTACGCAGGTACTTATCTAGTGAAAATTTGTCGCGCTGACAGCCATCAGCTGATACACAGTAAATTAGTAGAACACTTCTGATTAACGGGCAAATTTCTGGAATGTATGGAAAGGGTTCAACGTGTTCACCTTTCATGATTTTCATCACGTGCGCCAAAAAGCTGGGAGGCGTCTCTGAGAAGTATGAGGGAACAGGCAACAAAGTGCGACTTTTCTCAGAAAGGTGGAGTGACGGACCTTCAGGACAACAAATAGTTGGGAAATCCCGCCAATAGTGATAGAGGTAAGACGATGCTCGAAGGTCAGCAGCCAACTGCGACAAGCATGGTAGCAGGAGAGCGCAAAGCTCCCAATACAGCATGCAGCATTTGAGTTCCTCGTAGAGTAAATGCAAAGCAAAAAATATCGCCGGCATGTGTGAGAAGAGAGGACTTGAAATATTCAAGCCATTGTTGTCCATAGTGCATGCATCATCAGGGATGGATCCCACCCAGCCGAGATTTAATACTTCACTCATATTGGCGCTGTTTTGTCGATGGTACTGAGACGACAGCAGATGCTCCCAGTCTTTATCGCAGCCGTTCTCAGTAGTCTTGACTTTCTTCTGGACAGCCGTAGGGCTATGGCAGCCTGGAGGTTCAAGTGGCCACGATGCTTGCAGCTTGTCCGTGTCATAACCAATGAGTGAAAGAAGAGTCCTAGAAAATAACGACCACTCGCCCTGAGCAGAAAAATCTCCAGACCCTGGGCTATTGCGCGTGGAATACCAACGAGCTATGAGCAGTAACGACATGTCTCGAGGAAGCACGTGCTTGAAAGCCTGGAGAACGCGGCTCACCAAGGACGAGGAGAACAAATCTGGCAGAGTAATGCGATGCATTAAACCGTTTGAGAGCTTAATTGTGACGCGATGCAGAGCAGGATCTTGTAGACTGACCACAAGTGAATTACTAATTGAAGTTCCTGTAGGTTCACAGTCAAAAAACCTCACAGAAGGTTTATCGGAGACAACTGGAGAGAAGGTTAATTTTTCCAGTAGCGGCGCCGTACGTTTAGATGGAAGCAAACTGGATCGTCGGAGCGGCGTGGCAGCAGGACTGATCAGCTGAGAGGACGATATGTTGAGTGACGAAAAGTCTTTAAATAAGGTCGTGTTCAGAGGCAAGCTCGACTGCGTGACGTTAATTCTGCACACGTGTACAGTACCGGAATACAGGCACAGGTAATCAGCATCATCAATAACAAGGATCATGCTCAGAGATATTATCGGCGTGGCATCTTTGGCGGTGATAGACGAACAACTACCAAATACAAGGCTGGTGAGATCGTTTGTGTGTTCGTACTTGATAACACGCAGTGAGTCTTTCAATAGAAGACACAAGTATCGCTGCCCCACACAGTCCTCTGACAAGAACGCTGAGCGTGGTTTGACTGCAGTCTGGTCCGTCCAGAGCAGCTCGAAACACAGGTCTGGTATGAGGGGGTCCATCTCACCCATCGACTCGTTCAGCGCGGATGGGTTGGGCGCGCATGACAAGGTTGAGCGTGGAGTCCGAGGTGAAGGTGTTGGACCCAAGCGAGCGTGCTGACTCAGGTAAGATGGAGATGAAGTTCGCCTGGGAAAAATAAATCAATGGCTTTGATTATAAACAGTACCACGATTGTGAGTACAAGAATAGGAATATACCGGTACCGGAATTATTATGGTTTAACATGAGTATCAAACAAGAAAATTCTGGCGACTATGAGACATCGGCATAAAAGATAGAGGAATGGGCTTCTGATTACGCGACTTGAAAAAACATAAAAATTCACAAAATATACGATCGTTTATTACGAATTTTTACGAGTATTAATTAATGATCGTTTGTTAATGGCTCAAGTTGAGAATAAATGCTCTCATTAAGAAAAAAAATTTTTAACTACACATACAAAAAAGGAGCCTAAGCGTGAGAAGTCTGCTTGTTGATTGATCGTTATTCTTGCTAAATACACAGTTGTAGTCGTCTCGGAAGTAGTAGTATTTTCAATTAATATAAGAAGACTCACGCTAAGAGCGACTTGTGCTGTTTAGGCGTAAGATGATCGGCAGCCGTGAAGACAGAGCGGAGACGCGCGTTGACAGGAGTTTTTACTGTGCCGTACAAGGGAGATGGCCGGGCTAAGGGAGTGATGGCAGGTGAAGATAGGAGGGGGAGGCATCTGTGGGAGCTGTTGTGAGGGTGACATCGGTAAGAACTGTTGTGAGGTGACAGAGCCCTCGGCGTAAAGTGTAGGGCTGCTGCAGGGGTGAAATGTGACGATGTGAACTGCGTCGGTGTGAAATGTGAAGAGGGGAATTGTGAAGGAGTGAAATTCGATTGCGATTGCTGCAGAGGCGTAAAGTTTAAGCTAGTGTGATTGAGAGTAAATGAGCGGGAAGGGGTGAAGTGCAGAAGAGGAGCTGGAGACATCCCTACATTAGACATAATTGGGATGGGAAGCCCACCCTTTACGTATGGGGTGTTGCTCTGGTCTTGACCGGACTTGTCTTCTGTGAAGCTGCAGTTGTGCACCATGGCTGCGTTTTCCTTCACAGTAAACCAGAGTAACGAGTTAAAATCATTCACTATTTATATCAGCTTGAAATGAATAGTTACATAGAAAAAGAAACATTAATTTGCAACACATTATGGAAAAAATGCAGGGAGCTAATTTCTTGGTATAGTAAGTGGCGTGAAAAAAAAAACAATTATTTTACTGCCTCATGTCTATCATAAAGAAATAAAGCAACTGAACACATATTCAGAGCCTCAGTCCATGCAGCTGCAGATGGCTGCACATTCAACTGAAATTTCAACCTCCATATTGCAGCGTCGCGCGCGCCAGACAGACACGCTGTTGTGCTTCCCGCTGTGCGTGATCGCTATGGACGGATGGATGGAAGTCAGGATGATGCTTTGTTGAACGTCAGTGCCGTAGCTCGGCAGCTGCGAATTGCTCAAACCTGCAAATTACAATGGGTTTTCTTTGTTTTTCTTATGGATGGTAATTGAGTATACGTTCATGCTGGTGTTATGGGCTGTCACTCTTACTGCTCGAGAGTGGTGGTAACCTTGATCCCACTTGGGGAAGTAACGCTCCCCAAGTTCCGAGTTATAGGTAAATTATTTTGAATCTTGAAATTCATGGTGAACATTACATATTTTTGTTTATCAGTGCTCTCCATCTCATTCTCTTTGCCCTTTTTGCAGACCATTATTTCATGTGTCAGTGGTGATTAAAATTACAAATCTCCTATCAGCCATTACTGTATACTCACTACTACCTCTTCTTGGTGAGTAGTAGTTGCCAAAATATACTTTTTAGAGCATTTTTGCATTTATGGAAAAAATGCACTATTGTGCTCGCCATATCCGTCTGTCTGTCTGTCCGTCCGTCTGTCCGTGACCTCAAGTTTTCGTCGACGAGAAAATGCGCTCTCTGTCACTCACTGCAGTGAGTACTGAATTCAACTGAAATTTCAACCTCCATATTGCAGCGTCGCGCGCGCCAGACAGACACGCTGTTGTGCTTCCCGCTGTGCGTGATCGCTATGGACGGATGGATGGAAGTCAGGATGATGCTTTGTTGAACGTCAGTGCCGTAGCTCGGCAGCTGCGAATTGCTCAAACCTGCAAATTACAATGGGTTTTCTTTGTTTTTCTTATGGATGGTAATTGAGTATACGTTCATGCTGGTGTTATGGGCTGTCACTCTTACTGCTCGAGAGTGGTGGTAACCTTGATCCCACTTGGGGAAGTAACGCTCCCCAAGTTCCGAGTTATAGGTAAATTATTTTGAATCTTGAAATTCATGGTGAACATTACATATTTTTGTTTATCAGTGCTCTCCATCTCATTCTCTTTGCCCTTTTTGCAGACCATTATTTCATGTGTCAGTGGTGATTAAAATTACAAATCTCCTATCAGCCATTACTGTATACTCACTACTACCTCTTCTTGGTGAGTAGTAGTTGCCAAAATATACTTTTTAGAGCATTTTTTCATTTATGGAAAAAATGCACTATTGTGCTCGCCATATCCGTCTGTCTGTCTGTCTGTCCGTCCGTCCGTGACCTCAAGTTTTTATCGACGAGAAAATGCGCTCTCTGTCACTCACTGCAGTGAGTACTGAGTTATATTTTTTAAATCACTGCTCATATATTCATTGATAAAGATTTAAATGTCGTGTTTGTGATAATACTGTTATAGATGAGAAATATATTTATCTGTTATCCTGCTTGATATCCACCCAGTTTCCCAGTTAATGGTTTTCCAGTTACCCAGTTATTTGGCTAGGTTTTTTTGATTTAGGGTTCCCTATCAGGTTTAAATTTCAAGTCCCTTTATAATGAAGTTTTGTATCAGAATAAAATAAAGTTGAACAAAAAAGAGAAAAAACACCTGGTGGGCAGGGATATGGGGAGTTGGGAGGCCATCTTTTATTTAACCCCTACGGTAGTATTTTTAAGAGCCTTTAATACCTTCCATCATTTATTCAATAAAGACGACCCATTACACTGGCATATCAGAGATGTTTGTCACATCTGCATCAACAGTTCCACACACAAAAAAATTGGGTGCTTCTAATTGGTACTCCTTGGCATAGGCCCGGACATTTAATCAATTGACTTTTTGCATGCTGATTAGTGGCAAAAGCCAGTTGAAATGCTATACTCAAAAGCCAGTTGAAATGCTACATCCACAAAAAATATGATTCAATTGAGCAAGAATAATGAATCTTGGATTATGTTTAGTCTGGCAGAGAACATAAGGTGGCCGCCTCACCAGTTTTTTGGTTGATTGGAGTTATCTCTTCAAGAGGATGCATTAAAGAGAAAATCAATGGGTGTGGAGGATCCGGCTCTGAAGAACCTATTTTGCGCTGCAGTAGCAATCCATACCATATGCTCCATATCTTCTCAACCTAAAATAAAAAATTACCAAATTTCAAATCAAAGGATTGTCATTATAATTTCTATAAATATCAGATTGGCATGCCTTACTAGTCCAGCATGTAGCCATAGGTATAATATACCTACCATAAGAATGACTGAATAATTAATAAAACAGACCTATTAAAAGAGCACAGGGAAAAAATTATTAATATAATCTTCCAGATGCATATAATGGAATTTCACTAATAAAATCAACAGAACACCAAATTTCAGTGATGTACAATTTAGACTCACCGCAAAGGGTAGAGAAATGGTGAATTCCTCCCCAGCCTCTGTGTAGATGGTTAAATACTCCTGCTCCAGCACACACAGGCTGTAGATTGAAGAGCCTGCAATGTTTGACATGGTAGCTACTATTATGCATATGCAAGCTACATATGGTGAATGAGTGATGTTATTAGAACAAAAGCATGAGGACAATCAGTTAAATTGACCAATAACATTCGTTGAATAGGTATTTCTATTTGCTATTCTTTTCCTGATTCATCCAATATTTGCTGGCATTGTTCACACTAGTTGCAGAGGTAGCAAGTTTATCACCTTTCAATAAGTAATGTGAGAGGTGGCAGAAATATACCTACATATATATATTTAAATAATAGAATGTATAGTGTACATAATATTTATATAAGAAAGCAGGGGAAAAATCACCTGTTGGGTGATCAATGACAGGTTCTCCCAGCATGGCAGGCTGGTCCGGAAATGTGTAAAAGGTTGTGAAGAGAGCTTGTTTGATTTTACTCTCAACAGTGAGAGTGCACACCACAGATCTGCCTCCATCTCCTTCCACCTCTCCATCAACATTATTAGAACTGCTTTCAGCTGCAATAGGAAATTCAATTCAGACAACATACAAAAGGCATCCACAAACAATTTTAACACTAGAAGCTCGACAGTCATACACAACCTTGAAACACAGTGTGCGAGGTCATTTTGGCCTCGTGCAATAAAAATGGTTGAATAACCATTTACCTCCTTTATTTTATTTACCTCTTTTACTTCAGAATCCCATTTGATGTATGAAATAACATTTTAATTGCTAATTTCACTAATTTTTAGCTAAAAATTTTCTAATTTGAGCATCGGTAAGCAACTCCCGCAACATGTTGTTACTAGCCTTACTAGGCGAAAAGAAGCAAGTACTCTTCATTCAATCATGCTGCCAAAGTGTTAGACATGAAACGTTCTGAAAATTTTTTCTGACAAGTCTGAACACAACACTACTAATGGGTACAATTTTGTACCACATAATTAAAACATTCTTTGCAGCTGTATGATGTTCTGCATTAATAAATCAAAGGGAATCCATTGTCAGGTCATAAGGACCACATTGTGCATGAAGGTAGAGCATCAATGGACTGACTACAATTGATGTATCAAATTGCTATTACCTAATTAGACATACAATGATGAGAAAAAATAAGTTATAAAATTTTGTGGCCATCAAATGAACCATTTACATTCTATGCCTATTTTAAGATACAATATGAGGTCATTTTGACCTCACCATGCTTAATTGAAATAACATTTTTTGATGGTATATTGCAGAAAGTACTAACTGTTGTCAATGCATCACATAGAAAAAATACATGTAAAAAATGTGTTTACCAGATCACTTTGAAGACAGTTGTATTGAATTTGAAATATCTTTTATAATGAGCATAGCATTTGATCAGTGAATAATTGAAGCTAAATTATCAATTATACGGAACCATATTCAATTCTAATGTTGATGTGACAGTATTTTCAAAAAAATCAGTCACATAAAAAAAGTTGATAACAATACCTGGCTGCCCTCTGGACCACACCACAGTGTGATGACAGATATAAAGCTCTTCTTCTCTGCCCTCGTGCTCCACCACAGTCCACCACTCCTAATAAATATGATGCATGTGAGCATTGAATAATTATTGTTTATTCTGATTGCAGTAAAGACTTTTGTACCTGCTTATGGGCAAGTGATAATATAGGCTTTATAAAACTGTCCAGCTAAAAAGGTTTGTGTTTGCAACTATATTAGTATGGCTAGGGCTATCTTTTAATATGTAGCATTGTTATGTAAATGCAACATTCCCAAAGAACACTCAAAAATTATAATGTGTATCTTTTGAATAAAATTTCTTTATTCAAAAATAATAAATTTCATAGATAATTTATATTTGCTTAAATGAATTGTGCATTTGCTTAATGAAGTGCAATTTGCTTTTTGAATATAAAAAATATACACTGTAGCAATAATGTTGATTTATTCATTAATTGAAATTTAGACCTTTGATATCAAAATGTTGATGATAGCCCTAAAGTATATTTTAGGATTGTTATAATTTTAGTTATAGCAACCAAAATTGAAATTTTACTTCACTTCCATGTCTGCTATGAAAATGGTTAAAGTTGAAACTGTGAAGATGCACTGATGATAGAAAATAATTTCATATGTACTCCTGAAATTAGTCATAACTCATAACACACAATGCACCTAAACCCAAATGAACATTTATATATACATGAATGATAAATTTTCCTTAGAAAAAGCCATGACTAGAAGGATATATCAAGAAAGTTACAATGCAACCTAAAATGTAATTAAAGTAATAAAAGAATTAAACTGAAAAGAATATTCCAACCAACATTTTCAAGATTATTTTATAGGAAAAAATGTTAGTCAAAGTAACATGAGAAAGATTTTTGTTCCCATTACTGGTTCCTAATCATTACATACGTATGTAATTGAGCAAAACTTCAAGTTGATGGGTGCTAACAAAAATAAACCCATGCAAAAAATTAGCATCATAACTTTAATTTTTAATTTTTCAATGCATAAATAATAATATGCTTATCTGTATACTGCGCAAAATTAACAGAGGTCCGTCTTTATTATTAATATTTAGACTTTACCATTGTAAAAGATTTACATAATCAGGGCAGTTTATTTAAAAGTAAAAATTCACATTCCAGTTACACTGGCAAAAAATTGCCCCTATTTATAGAAGCCAATGGAAGCAATTATTAGCAAAACCCCTTAACAACTCCAATTATCAAATAATAATTTCAAATGGCAAATAACATTTAGTCACATTAGTCAACTGAATTACTAATCTAATCAGTGACACTAATGGCATAAAACCTAATGCAAGGCAAGGGACCTGTAAGAAGTGATAGATATAAAGATAACATATATATATATATATATATCATATATATAAAGCTATATTTCCACTTTACAGGACTTTACTTAATTTTTTTCTCTAAATTGCAAAAAATATATAAAAAAACTTGACCTGGCTGGACCTAACCTCAGTATAATGGTCTCTAGCAACCTAAAGAAGGGTTTTAGACACACCTAGCCCTAACTTTAACCCTAACCTAACGAGGTTGGCATTTTTTTGGGACCGGTAATGTAGTTCATTTATTTTCGTGTCCGGTTTTTAAACTTCATCAGTTAGTCCAGGGTGTTTCTTCAACACCTCCCTACCATGGGGGGTGTACAGCTTGCCATCTTCACAGCATATCATGATCAAAATCAAGTTCCTAAATTTAAATTAATAAAACAAATCTTAACAGTTCTGCACATCATAACTACTGAAAATATGTTTAGGCACATGAGCAAAATAATCAGAACAAAATGAAAAGAAGCCACAGATTCTATGATAAATATACGGTGAATTAATATTTTTGGCAACACAAAATTATCCAGTTCTCAAGCAAAGAAATTGCTAATTGTTTGTATAAACCTAAAAACTGTAATGACATTAAAATAAATTAAGCTACAAGCCTACAATAGCAATACCAATAGCTTTTTTTAGTCTTTTGGACAATATTTTCAAGCCCAAAATATTGTCAGCAATATTCAGGATGCATTGCTGCATTGCCAGCAGTACCGTCAACTGGGGCTACTCGGGACGATTTTGAACGTTTTTCATTCATAACTTCTTACCATGAAACATTTCATAAACAAGTTTAGGCTCATTTCAAAGCTCTTTGCAAGGGCTATCACATGGCTTCTCCAAAAAAATTCTATATGCTATTCATAAGGTGCCAGAAGCAAAAAAATATAACTCAGTACACACTGCAGTGAGTCACAGAGAGCGCATTTTCTCGTCGACGAAAACTTGAGGTCACGGACAGACGGACGGATGGACAGACGGACGGACATGGTGAGCACAATAGTGCATTTTTTCCATAAATGAGAAAATGTGCTAAAAAGAGTGTCCTGAGTAGCCCCATCAAACGGGGCTACTCGGGACACTTGGAATAAAACTTAATTTTAAAACATTTGAAGCATGCAGAGTGTACTCATCATCTCATCCATTACTAACAGTACTCTGAAATCCTCCTCTTTCATTGTAGATGATGTAGAGGTAGGATAAATGACATTTTCTGTGATTTTTTCTTGTTTTTCTTCTTTATTGATATGATATTACCATATATATTAATTACCATATTACTGATGCGATATTACCGTATTATTGATGCGATATTACTGTATCCATGAACATGCCATTGAGCATTTACAACAACCTTGTCCACTGCAAGCTTCATATCAGCAGCCTTATATACAGACCTTAGCAGAAGTAACTTTTCAAAATATTGTTTTTCACCATTTTTTCAGGAATTTTTTAAAGCTAGTAAATATAGTATTTTTGAACTTCCTTTCTACAACATAGATAGGAAAAATGTCGACGTTTACGCCACTATATTTAGTTTTGCAATATTCCAATTAATTTTGCTACTAAAACAGTCTTACGCCGTGTTGGAGGACTGTCCCGAGTTACCCCGCTCGTCCCGAGTAGCCCCAGTTAACAGTATTCAGCTTTCATAGCCTATAATGCAGTTACTGCATGTATGTACCGCTTAGAGATGCACCCTTCTTCCACAATCTGCAACTTTATTATTCCTCTAGATAAAACCCCCAAAAATCTCGAAGTTACCTGGGACACCAATACACATTTTCACCTCAAATCAGAGCCAAAGCCACTTAAGGGCAGGGTGACCCAGTGGTTAAAATTTATGAGCACCATGATTGACGCAGAGAGGTGCAGGTTTGATCACAGCTCTGTGCAACAGTTTTTGGTCAGAATTGGCAAGGAGGCTTGGCAGTTAGGCAAAGCATTATTGTAGCAGTGAGTTGCAAGTTCGAGACCACAAAATGCTGTGAATGTTCTGCGATGTTAAGAATCAGCAACAGGCCTATGGCCTAATAAAATCTGAAACCGCTATTATTATTAAAGCAACGGGCTCCCTACTCAACTTAGAAACCCTGGCTGGCACTAAGTGGGGCTTCTCTAAGGAGGACATAATTGACATCTATGTGATAATCACCCATTCAATCCTAAATTAGGCTGCCCCCATGTGGTACTCTGTTGCCTCTCACACCATGGTGGTGAGCCTCCAAACTATCCAAAACACAGCTTTGAGATTGGTCACTGGCTGCCTCAAGATGGCCCCAATTGCTCATCTCCACTATTAGACACCCCTTCCCTTACCTGATCATCTGGACCTGGTTTGGGCTCAGTTCCACATCAACATCCTCCAGTCTACCCACACCTCATTTCCCACTGTCTCTGCTCCTCCCAGGGCTCATCCCATATAAGCCTCCTTTATGTCAAGATTCAGTCACTTCATTAAGCCCTGGTGAATGGCATCATACCAACCGATGCCTATATAGAAGTTAAGTGTTCCCTCGCAGGGAGATTGATTCTTGTGTTGCAGCAGCTGCCAAAAACCATGCTGTTCTTGCAACTCCTCCCCTACCAATTGTGCCAGAAGATGCCTTGCTACCTCCTTCCTGCCAATTGGCCCTATCTTAGCTCCATTTGAGCTACTACAGCTACCTGCCATCCTCCTATTACACTCTCCCTAGCCCAGCCTCAAGTCCTGTAAGTAGACAACTAACAAGCAAAGTATCATGGATAGGATAAACGCGGCATATTCCGACATCATGGGTAATTCTGACAATTCTTGACTTTTTTCCTTTATATTATGCTTTCTCTTAGTTCCATGCATTCGTTGATGGTTGAAATAGTGACGTCATACTTTTGCCAAAACACTAGGTCTGGGCCATCTGGCAGGAAAATGTTGAGATCCAAAGAGAGACTGTGCACGTCACCCAGTGAGAACATCGAAAAATGTGTCAAAGTTGATAGTTGACCTTGCTCTACCAAATAGTGATTAACTGTTGTGTAGAAAGAATATTATGGTTTGAGACTTTTAAATACATCTGTGGATATATTAGGAATCCTTTAAGTATACTTGTATAATTGTATTTGCTGATTTCAAGTGGTAAAAAAATTAATAGATGATAAAGTTAAGAGACGGTTTTAGACACATAAAAACTAATTCCAACACAGCTTGGGATTAGACACACACAGCTCGTTCCAAGCTGTCAGGCTGTCAGGCTGAGTGTCAGCTGTGTGCAAAAATTAAAATTTTCTTAATTAAAAGATTAATAGCTCTTAATTAAAAGCCTAATTAAGTAGTGTTCAATATTCAATAGTGTTCTAATTCCAAGCTGTGTTATAATCCAATACAGCTCATACAGTGATCGGAATTTGAACACAAGAGTGTTGGCATTACGTATTAGTAGAGTTTGAAGCACGGCCGGAATTAGTCTCACTGCTCACAAAATGCCAAATTTAGTCACACACAGTGTCGGGATATATGGACTTGGTAGGCTTGCATTCTAAAGGCTTTTAAATAAATATGGCAACATTTTGTGACATTTCATTGTTGCTGGCACNTTGAATCGCTGCATGCATTCAAATTCAAATTAGGTCCACCCACACCCCACAGCCAGTGCAGCTGTCAGCTCACCTTCTTCAGAAGTGTGAAAGCTTTTGCCGGTGAAGGTGTGTTTTACGATCGGTCCATAAAGAAGTGTTGATCGGTTCAAAATGACATAAGAACAGGTTCTTTTGAATAACCTATGGATTGGCACCATGAGTGGCATCCATCTCGGTGTCTTTGGTGCATGAAATTGGCGTCCTCAACCTATGTTGTGCCATGCTCTACAGTCTGGAAGCAGATGGCAGAGTATTTTTTAGACTCTTCCTCAAAGTTCAATTCAATAGGTTTAGACTTAAGATAGACCAACAAAGTGATGAAAGTATCATGGATAGGCTACTGGCTAGTTAGTGGCTACCAGTCTACCACTACCAGCAAAAGCAGCAATATCATATAGAAGATTTTGGTTAAGATCTTGAGTAGGCCTAAGTGAGGAAATTAAAAATGAACCCATTCTAAAAAATCTCTGGTTTGTCACTATGCCTGAGCAATGCAGTAAGTAGGCTAGCCTACCTACCTATCAGTATCAGCTACCACCATAGTGGCAAAGCAGAGAGTTTTTTAGACTCTCCCTCAAGTTCATTTTTGAGTCCTATAAGTAGACCAGTAAAGTATCCTGGATACCAGCATCATCATACATAAGAAATTGGTTTAAATCTTGAGTAAATGAGGAAATTAAAAATGAACTGATTCTAAAAAATCTCTGGTTTGTCACTATGGCTACCACCAATCCTATAATTGCACCATGCCCCATGCCCCATGGGACGTTGGGTGCATTGGACAGTGGTGGTGAAAATTAGTTAACTTAAAACTTGCAATCATAGGTAGTTCTCACTTTGACTTCACCCTCTTCTGGAGTAGTGGAGTTCAGGTATATATATGATGCTGTTGATGCGAATCATTCAATAGCATTCTATGGCAAAATAAAAGCCATTAATAGGTGTATCGATCATTTACTATGATTGATACACCTCTATTTGATCATTTACTCCTTTTAAGCGGGTGAGCTTACTGAGCTATATTAGTTAGCCTGGCGTGCCCGCCGTGCCGCTGCCGGCTGGGGCTGGGCCCCCGGCTGGCAAAGGCGGCCTCTAAGCTTCAGCTCATACACTCGACTCGACTAACGTTTGCCGCTCACGTACATAGTCTACAGACGTGCTCTGCGACGACTGCGAGGAGTGCGTGCAGACATGGTGACGGTGGCGACTTGAGTCGTGACGTACCTACGTACGGTTGGTTGGGTTGAACACCGGTAGGCGGTAAGCTCAATTGACCACATGGGCGATGGGCCTCAAATGGCAGACGATGCCGAGCGAGTTTCAAAAGAACCCTTCACATCATCATGTCAGCAATGAATTGGTGCTGTGATTTATCCGGAAATTTTTTGCAGGGCTGCAAGCCTGCAAGAGACAAGAAATTCTACGCTGTACCATCGGGCATCGCCCACTGCCCAGACCACATTTTTTTTAAATGTGATCAGCAAAATTCGAAGTAAGCGGACCGATGCTCGATTGCACACCTCCTCCTGTTGCTAGGCGGAGATGAAACCATTCGATGGTCCATTTTTCTTGTAAGGTGAAATGTAAATTTTTGGCCTATGCTGAAACAAGAAAATCTTGAAAAAAATACATAGCTTCAGCTGTGGACAAAAAGTTTATTATCTGGCGCGTCGTTTCTAACACGTCGGACAGCCGATGTCATTGAACTGGTAGTAATTTTTTGTCATGAATTTTTGTGTCTTATCCGTTGCAGCAATTTCGAAGATCTTTTTTGCAGTAATAATTTTAGTTGATAAACCATTAGTGCAAATTGGAGTCGCCAAGCACTTCTACAGAATTTAAAAATGAGTCAAAAGTCTATGGGAATAATAGTACGCGTTTCTCTAGCCCTTGATAAGGAATAGAATTCTCCCGTTTATCCTCATATACATTCCCATCTGCAAACAATCAAAAATGGTAACGAATCGCCCTTCGCCGTTACGATAACAGCGATTTTGACAATATACATTTTCAATTCAATAGAGCAACACAGACTAACAGGATAGGCTAATTGCCGGATTGATATAATGAAACAAGGTTTCCTTTGCCTAATAATTAGTTCTAGTAGTTAGTATGAACTTATTTCGCATCACATAACTGCTAAAAAATTGGTTTGCTACCGTTGGACTTGTTGGATGCTGTGATTCCTGCTGTCGGAGACAAAACATTAATCTGTCGATGCTGCTAACCGCTGAGGCTTGCGTCCAAGAGGCCCAGGCTTCATTCCCGGCATGAGAAATTCCCGTATCAACATGGTGCCCGAGTGGTTTTGGCTAAAAATACCAATACTGGATAGGTGAGTTGCGGGTACGATCCTAGCTTTCAGCAGAACAGCATGCTCGGCGTAGCGAGTTGCGGGTTCGAACCCAGCAGAACAGTGTGACTGACATAGTCAGTTGCGGGTTCAATCACAGCTTCTAGTGACAGTTCCGGTCAAAATCGGTGAGTTGGTCGGGAGCTAAAATTCAAGATTGGAGCAGCGAGTTTCAAAGCCACAACCAGATATAATTAATCTGAAAAGAATAGCATTTGCGATACGTCCGATTTAGCCTAATGAACGCAGACGCCACACTTAATATTTGACGTCCTGAAATTGTCAAGATAACACCGAAAATTTTGGCTGATTTCTCTAGTAATTGCCTGTGCGGATCTTGGAAGCATTTATGGAACGTGCAGTGATAACAGCACTATGCAGGCTGTACAAAGCAAATACATTCTTCTGAAGCAGCAATGTCCCGGACGTTCAGTCTGCACTGGTAGCATTTGTTAGAGAGTGATTTTCTCATAGCCTAGTTGTGACCGCCTTTCAAAACGTTGTTCAATGTTGTAGTTAAGGAGATCTCTAACTCTTTTACATATCACTTCACGCGACGGTGCTCCTTGTATGACACCTCTAGCGTGCGAAGGCCCTCATGGTACGGCTGGTGATCAACGGTGTAGTAGTGCGAATACGGCTGGTGATTAACGGTGTAGTAGTGCGAATACGACTGGTGATTAACGGTGTAGTAGTGCAAATACGGCTTGTGATTAACGGTGTAGTAGTGCGAATACGACTGGTGATTAACGGTGTAGTAGTGCAAATACGGCTGGTGATTAACGGTGTACCGCGAATAATAACTCAGCCGCGTTAGAGCCTTAGGCCGGGTTCACACCATGCTGCTGGGCACGTGCCAGTCACGGTCCCGTCCAATATTCTTTAATTAATATCTATAGAGGCATTCACACCAAGGGTCTGGCACGGGTGGTGTGAATGCTTTTATATAAATGAATCAAAGAATATAGGACTGGCACGTGCTCGGCAGTATGGTGTGACGGCCTTACGTATCTAACGCGGCTAAAACCCCCAAGCGCTTAAACGCCCAAGGTTGTTTTCACGTGGCCGCAATTATCACTATCGACAAATAATTAATAATAATGTTGAAAAAGATGCATAGAACAGAAAAAATCGTGTTCTTCGTCACTTCCCACAGGCCATGTCCCCTCTACGTGAACGAACTAGTGGGACGCGTACTAGTTTGTGAATCACAGTTCAAGCAATAGTACCCACCAACCCGATTTATATTCTAGATTTAAATCTCACTGTGATATAAAGCGATAAATTCAATAATTGAAGGCAGTGGAAGTAACATGAATAGGTAGCAGTGATAGATTTATGAGGATAAATACCTACAAATCAAATTGGCGTAGACGATAAATAAGAACGTAATAATAACTAAATGGTTAAAACTTTAATTTCAATGCAAATACGATTCAACATGAATTTGTCAGATTTTATTTCACTTTTTACCAAAATTACTGGGTAATAAAATCTTCTTGCATGGAGTCAAAACTAGCATTTTTCTTCGCCAATTTGTTGGAAGAACCCAACTGGTACAATAATACTAATAGGCATTTCGCACTCAGCAGTAATATCCTTAGGTTATTAATAATAATAATATAATATTTAACAAGAATATTTTTGTACTCGAGCAACGCGTAGCATTCAGAGAATATTCATGCGACCGTTGGTGGGCAACTAGTCGTTAAGATTGTTAGTACAGGGAGGTCATAAAAGCAATTTCATTTGGTGGTTATTAATTACAATTATATACTATTATTTTTGCGTAATTCTAATACAATATGTCTCCCTTACTTTTCGGTAAAATAGCCCCATCTGCAACTGTTCGGTAGAGTAAAGTTCTAGAGGAAGATTTACCACAGGCTCGCTCAGTTTCTTGAAGGTGTGTAAGGAGATGAGCTTGTAACGCCCTTTTAGAAGCTGAAGAAAAATCACACTTTTTACAGTGAAACATTTGAAACGAGATTTGATTAACATGGTCACTGCTCTCACTGGAGTCATCGGTGCTGTGACTCTCAATATAATTGATATCAATGGGAGGGTTTGCGCCAGTAGGAGATGTAGGCTTGGAATGGTCTATCAACAAATGTTGGTTAAAGAGCTCAGCATCGGGAGATGAAAAAGTGCATAAAGTACACGTAAATTCTTCTTCAGGTAGATGGGTTTTGACATGCATTTTAAACTCGGCTTCTCCAAGGGACTTGAATGAGCAGAGATCGCAAAGGAAGTACTCTCCAGCCTCTTCGTGTACCGACATGTGAACTTTGAGCGATTTCCGCCATATAGTTTTGAACGTGCAGGCCGGGCAAGAAAATACCTCACTATTTGCTCGATTGTGTCTAGATTCCAAGTGGTCGTTGATTCTACATTTTCTGGCTGCTGTATATGGACAGTGTGGACACTTGTAGACGTTATTGGCAGTAGTGACTTTGTTCACTCCAATTCTGTGCAAGCTTCTTTCATGCCTTATGACTTGAGCCTTTACAGGTGACGAATACGAGCATCTTGAGCACTGAAAAACATCACCTGTGTGCATTTTCTGGTGAACTTTGAGATAACTTTTCCACAGCGTAGAGAACTCACATTTGTCGCACTTGTGTAGGGCCTTTTTCTCTGGGTAGTGACGATTTGAAACGTGCTCGTTCAGACGAGTCTGTCTCGTAGCCCGATACGAGCAGTGAGGGCAAGCGAAACTACGCTCGGACATGTCCAAATGCGTCATTTCGTGTTCGTTGAGTCTGGTGCGAGTGATCGTAGCGAAATCACACTTGCTGCATCTAAATAGATCGCCAGTATGAACGCGACGATGTCCCTTGATGAGCCGCTTCCATTTTGTCTTGTAGTCACAATCTGGACATGAATATAGGAGCACCTTCTGGGCTCCATGTCGCTTATGAACATGATCATCTAACTGGTATTGCTGGTCGGTGACGTAAGGGCAGTCAGGACATGAATATTCTTTCCGCTCCATATGGTGTACCCTAATTTCGTGATCAGTGAGCTGCTCTCTGTTAACTGCAACGAACATACATTGAGAGCAATTGTGGCCTTCACCATTATGAGACTTTAGATGTTTCTTAAGAGCACGTACCCAGTTGGTCTTGAAAGAACACTGCTCGCATTCATAAATTTCCCTACGCGCATTGTGGAGCACTTCCATGTGTTCTTTCAAAGTCATTTTACGCGCAGCTGCATAGGGACAGTGGGGACATTTAAAAGGGCGGTCTTTTTGATGAGTTTTCATATGATTCTGTAAACTACTTTTTGAATGTGTGCTATAGGAGCACTCGGCGCATGACTGATATTCGCTAAGGTTATGACTTTTCAAGTGATAGTTTAAGCTCGCCTTGGTGTAGGTGTAGAAAGGACACTGATCACACTGGAACTTGACCTCATTGGTGTGTCGGTTGTTGATATGCACCTTCAGGTTGTAGGCTGTGCTGGCCCAGTAATCACAGTGATTGCATTTGTGAGCCTTGTTCGAAGTGCTCACCACTCTTTCTTGAGCTGAACAGCCATAATATCTTAAGGGCTGTTGACTGTCCTGTTCTGAATGATGCTGTTGCTGCAGCTCACTAAGAGGAGACCCAAGGATTGACTTCACAGCTTGAGCTGATTCTTCACTCAGGCTTGATAATGGTCCATGATCTGAACTGATATCTTCATTCTGCAGCATATAGGAATAAAAATTACTATAAAATACACTAAGTTTATGAAGAAATGCTACTGCAATTTTTTCCAAATGTGGCATGTAAAAAGGTGAAATCTGAAATCTGAATTAACCACTCCTCAACAACAATAAACCTCAAGCTTTAGTATGAAAGATTACTAATACTTCTCTAATGCCCTATATAGGAAAAATTCCAGCAGCTATAGAACAAATTTGTTTAAATATAACTCAAGTTATTATGCAGAGTATGAAAAAGCCCAACATCAGGACACTAAAGGATAAAATAGGGTTTGCTTAAGATGCAAAGAGGGGTTTAGAATATACTTATTCTGTCATCAGTACAGACAATAGGTGTATTCACCTTGAAAATTGCACCAGGTTGAGAAGTTGGAACACCTTTAAATGCCTGGTACACTCTGATGCTTTGCTTGACAGCAGTGTTTGTACCAGCAGTATCATCAGCATCAGTGATGACTCCCTGCATGTCTTCTGAGAAGAGCTCCAGAGGCTGTGTCTGCAGAAATACAGGTGACGCATTACTGGTTTGGCCAATATCTCCCAACTTACAATGGCTGATACAACAGAAAAATTATTCCCCCTATGAAGAAAAAATTAAAATACTTTCTAGTAACAAGGACTAAATAGAGAAGAATATACTTTGATAAAAAAATTACTGAAAAATAACTTTAAATAATATTTTGAATAATAACTTTATAGAAAAATATTTTATACATTTCTTTTTACATATAAGATCTTTAAATAAAATTCATACATCATGAAGTCAAAGATTCCCACAAAACCTCTTCGAGGTAGTGTAAGTTGCAAGTAGAAACTAGACAAATTGAAATAAGCTCTAAATTTTTTTAATGCACACACACCTCAACATTATCATCAATGATGACATTGTACATGGAGCCCGACACCAGCAGTTCAACATACTCAGGAGCTGAATTGGTGTTTTCAGTCATCTTGTGTAGTTGATCCTGGGAAAATTATGGAATAGAAGAAACGGTACATATGATGGATTTTTCTTGAAAATAATAATTCAAGTATATGATTATCAATATTCCTAGCACCGTACATAAATTTTCACAGCAATAATTACAAGCAATTCATTAGTATGATTGGGATGGTAATTATGTTCTAATAAGCTATAAATATATTTGAAAAAAGTTAAACCTAAGTGTTAAATTGCTAGCAAGTCTAGAACTATTACTTTCATTTAAAAAGTAACCAATATCTATTATTCCATCACTACACAAACTATATGTTTATACTTTGGGAGATATCAGCAATGCAGCTCTAAAAGCTGCCACTATCACAGTCATTGTTGTCAGAACTACTAGCCAATACTATATGTTTATGCAGAATGTTAAGCAGTGATTTTACATCAAGCAAGTGATTGATTTCTTGTCATTTTATCACTTTGTACTTACTGCCTTCAGCAGCCTTCTTATAAACATCAATAGATATAATAGATGAAACCCTAAAACCTCATATAGAGTTAGGTACCGGTATATTATTTAGAGAGCTGGGCAGTGCTACTTTGGAATGTAGTGGTCACTACTGCTACCATTATATGCTCTAAATGTAGCAGGCACTACCACTACCGCTACAACCATTAGATTGTAGCAAGCGCTACCGCTACCACTACCATAAAATGTAGCGCAGCTACATTAGCTGCTACAATGGCCAAAATTATTGGAAATATCTAAATATTTATTGCTCTGCTATTGGGATTTACTCATAAACATTTAATGATAATAAAACATTTTCAAAACATATCAATGCAACTTTATTGCAATTACCCTAATCGAACTAGTACGGGTTAGATACAGTAAATAAAAGTTACAGTTATTTTTAGGTTTGACTGTCTACTTTATGAGATGTCTACTTTAAGCTACCAATCTCAAAAATTATCCACATACCTATACACATAAAAAACCAGTCTTTTATTTGTATATATATATATGTGGATTATTTTTGAGATTGGTAGATTAAAGTAGACATCCATGTAGGGAAGGTCAAACATAAAAATAACTGTGTAAAAATAACTGACAAGTTAAGGCTCATTTTATAGCTCTTTGCGAGGGCTATCAAATGGCATCTTCAAAAAAATTCCATATGCTATTTGTAAGGTGCCAGACGCAAAATAAAACAGTCGCAAATTACCCCTGTGATTGGGGTAATCCGGGACACTCGAAATAAAACTCCATTACTAACAGTAATCTGAAGTCTTCCTCTTTCATTTTAGATGATGTAGATGTAGAATAAATGACATTTTCTGTGTCTTTTACTTGTTTATCCTTTGTTGATATGATATCACCATATTCATTCATTGGTACCTTATTGATGTGATATTACCATATCCATAAACATGCCATTGAGCATTTACAAATGACCTTGTCCACTGCAATCTTCATATCAGCAGCCATATAGTACTTCATCTGTAAGCTTACAGGACAGCTTGTAATTTCACACCATTTTAATTGGGTTAAGTGAATTCACTAAAAGAAAAGATTGCAAAAAAACATAACCTGAAACAGAAAGGAATGTTTTAGTAACAACCATCATATGTTTTGGACAAATAAATAGTTTAGGTTAATTACTTTCCATTCTATGATGCCCATGATATTCTGTGCACAATTTTGTGATGACCAATGATGCATTAATTTTTTGACAAGTAAAATTTTTTGCTGAGCAAGGTAAATGTATTCAAAATTCTTTGTTGTTAATCAATTTTTTTGTTGACTGGAGCCTTTGCTAACTGGGGTTAAACTGTAATTGCGTTTTTAGGGGTGTCCCTTATTACCATGGGGCCTGGGAGGGGGGGTGTCCCTTATTACCCCGTTGCGCAGAAATGGCTGTCATTTTTTTGGAATGAGATAGGAAAATTCCGTCAATCATAGTGGCAAAGCAGAGAGTTTTTTAGACTCTCCCTCAAGTTCATTTTTAAGTCCTATATGTAGACCAGTAAAGTATCCTGGATACCTGCATGATCATATATAAATAATGTGATTTAAATCATGTAAAGCGGTCGGCAGCACCCTTTCCCATTGATGGTCGGCCAAGTGATAATTTCTCAGTGAAAGTTGGACCGATTTCCAAATAATTCCGTTATACCTCTCGCACTGCGCGTTGCCTGTACTACCTATGATAAGGAGTTGTACGACTTGTAGCTACTCCTTTCTGCGAAAGGTTAATCTTTGAGTTCTGATGACATGAACAAAGAACCTCTGTCTGAATGAATGTAATTAGGCATGCCACAGAGCATGGTGACAAACCAGAGATTTTTTAGAATCAGTTCATTTTTAATCTTGTCATTTACAAAAGATTTAAACCAATTTCTGAATTTCTTATGTATGATAATGCTGGTATCCATGATACTTTGCTTGTCTACTTTACTTATAGGACTCAAGAATGAACTTGAGGGAGTCTAAAAAACTCTCTGCTTTGCCACTATGCCACAGAGGGTAAAGACGGTTTTGAGGCATTTGATCACCGTGGAACACTGCATATTTGGGCATGGGAAAGCGAACAGAAAACGAGAATATTCATCAACTATTGTGAGGATGTACGTATTTTTCGTAGCCGATGGGATAGGTCCCTGGAAGTCAATACTGAGGTGCTCCATTGACTGCGTGGCTTTAATGAGGGCCCCTTCTTCGGCCCTGAAGAACCGAGGCTTCAATTCTGCGCATATTCGACAAGAGGCACACGTCCGTTTGACATCTACGGTTGAGAATGGGAGATTCTTTGTTCTAACGAAGTGCAGCATTCTTCTGACTCCCGGATGACACAGTCCATTATGAATTTCTACAAGTGTGGAGGACCGGAAGGATGAACAGCACAAGGCTGTCAGCGCATCTGCAGTGACGTTATCCTTCCCTGGACGATATTTGATCGAGTAGCTGAATGATGCCAGCTCTAACCTCCATAGATGTATTTTGTTGTTTTTTATCTTTGTCCTCTTCTTTCTGTCCAGCATAAAAGCCACTGACCATTGATCCGTGATCAAAGTGAAAGGGCGTCTGGCCAGAAGATGGTTCCATTTACGCATTGCTCCTATGATGGCCATTGCTTCCTTCTCAACCGCAGGGTAATGCAATTCGCTCCCATGTAGAGTTCTTGACATAAAGGCAACTGGACGTCCACCCTGGTTCAAGACTGCTGACACTGCCATGTCTGAAGCATCACATTCTACAACAAAAGGCAATTCCTTGTCGATGGACATTAGAGTTGCACTGGCCAGTTGTGACTTGAGAGTTTTGAAAGCCGACAAAGCGTTTTGATTGAGTGGAAAGGATTTTGTGTTGACTAGCAGGTGAATCTTGTCCGAGAAATTCTCAATCCACTTCGCATAGTAGGTACGCAAACATACCAAGGGGCCTAGGGCTCTCAGCAAGGAAGACTTATTTGTGGTAGGTGGAAGCTCTTGAAGGGGACGAAGTCTCTCCGAGTCAGGCTTAATGACCCCATTTCCCTCACAATATCCCAGAATATTGAAACTGGGCACGGATTTTATGGTTTTAGAGTCATTGAGCGTTATGTTTTGCTGCATGATTGCAGCCATGAATTTTTCAAGATTGATATCATGGTCTGCTTTGTCTCTGCCAGCCACCGTAATGTTGTCAAGATATGGGAATGTGCTCTTCAAGTTTTCTTCCTCTACCATTTTATCCATGGCGCGTTGGAACACGGCTACACCATTGGTGACACCGAAAGGGATCCTGGTATATTGATACAGCCTTCCATTTGCTTCAAAAGCTGTAGGTATACTTCTTGTCCTCACGAATGTTTATCTGGTGATACGCGCTCTTCAGGTCAAATGTTGAGAATATTTTATATCCAGCAAGCTTGTTCACCATTTCATCAATTCTGGGCAATGGGTAGGCATCTAGTTCTGTAAACTGGTTGATGGTTTGAGAATAATCTACACACATTTGCTTTTTATGCCGGTTTGTAGATCCAATTTGCTATGTTTACCAGTTAATATATTACCCCTCTGGATTTCCACACTTGGAGAAACTTACAATTCCACAAATCAGTGATTCGAAGCAAGGAGAAATTTTGTCGCGTGGAGAAGTTGCAGCACAGTTTTTTTAGTTTATAGCCGTGGCCCCTGGGCCCTGGTGTTGGTTCTTGTTTCAAATTCTAGTGATCATTCGGGGACCTTGTATAAACCATGAGTATACTTGTACAAGTTGTATACTTCAATGAGGTCCCCACGTAGACCAGACGTCAATAACTGAGGCTCGGAAGCTTCATAATCTTCAATCTTTCTTCATAGGACTTGCTTTGGTAACTTCTGTCCATTTTCTAGTTTGATACCTACCTAAGTTTTGTTCCTGTTTTTTTTAAGGAGCCATACAATTTTTGCTCAACAAATCATGTCCATCACTTATCACTCTATCTTATTGTTTGAAACGCAGGAAAATCCAAAATAGAGCTACAATATTTCATAACTACCTCTCCTCACCTATGTAATTTTTGTACTTTAGTGTCAGTATGTCAGTATTCAGTAAGAATTGTGGATTTTTTATCTTGCACAGCAGGCATTGGCAATCTGCATCATCACAAACTACACCATTCACTATTATATTTCAGTCAGTCTGAGTCAGACAGTCTACACCGCCCACCGGTACACCGCACCACTCGTCTCAGAATCAGTCTGAAACGTTTACACTTTACACAACTAAGTTTGAACTAACGTATATTCAAACTTTCCAAATTGTATTTTACAATTAGAACAGCACACAAATGAGTTTAAGATACATTTTTAACAAGGTAATGGATGAATAAAATTCTTACCAGCGACCAACGGCAATCGTGTTTACTGGAATTTGGGTCCAAACAACGCCCTCGAACAGTCCAAATGGTCCTCCAACTAACTGTCCAACAGTCCAAGTGCCAAGTGGGACTAGGGCGGAGGGCCTAGATGCCTGTCTCACTCCCAAACATAAGATTTGTGATCATCCGCAATAAGAAATGGTACTGAAATCATTGACTTTGCATAAGAACGCACATGGTTGAGAACGCAAACCAAACTAGCGGTAGCTTTTTTTCTCTCTAGAAACAAATTTTGTAATCAAAAATTGCAGTTTTAAGAAGCTTCTCAGTATCAGAATGCTCCAATATGTCTTATATGAACTTTTGAGCAAATTTGTAAAGAATTCTGTTTTAGATACACGCTTTTTGTTGATCCGAATTCTGCGGATTCAAATAAGCACACTTGTGTAGAAAAGTCTTTAAAAACACTTCAGAGCATTTTAAGTTAAAAAGGCCTCTCGAACACTTCTCCGGCCGGTCTTGCCGCCGGTCTCCAAGGTGCAATGAGCATGAAATATCTACCATAGTGACCATACTAATGAACGCAGAACGATGAAACTTGTCAAGTATTAATTAGGACATAACAGTGATATTTAAGACGTCTCGGACAAATTTACGGCCGGACCCGCGGCCGGACTCGCGGCCGCCGGACTCCAAACATAGAAAAAACCTAGCCAATCAACGAAAACCTCGCAGGCTAGGTCCAGTTAGGAACAGGTTCCATTTAAAACTCTAAAAACCTAGAAAACCCCATAAAAACACCAAGAGAACCTTCCGGCCGCGAGACCGGCAGCGGGTCCGGTCGTAAATTTGTCCGAGACCTATATTTAAGCTGGTACTATTTTTTAGATTTCAACTCAGTTTGCGAGTTATATGGTAATACGGGCCAAAATTCATAGCGAGCATAACATGTATTATATCCATCTGAACGAATTTGTACAAAATTTTTTTTCTAACCTCCTAACAGCGATGTTTAGTCGTAAACATTTTTTTCTATTTCGCCTTCGTTCGCGAGTTATACACCTAAACAGAGAATCGACTGGATTTCCTGTGGCTGATGGTCAAGTTTGCATTGAGCTTAAAACATCTTTCAAAATAAATAACGTAGCTCGATGCAACTTTGTACATGAATTTATTAGGACATAAAGGTGATGTTATGTGATCTTTTCAATTTCGCTTTCGTTCGCAGTTATACGACTAAATTGACAAACGACCGGCATTTCTGCGACTGATTTTGCAGTCAGTTTTTAGCACATTTTCTCATTTATGGAAAAAAGGCGCTATTGTGCTCGTAATGTCCGTCCGTCTGTCTGTCCGTCCGTACGTGACCACGTTTTCGTCGACGAGAAAATGCCCTCTCGATCTGTCACTCACTGCAGTGAATACTGTGTTATATTTTTAGATTTTCATTGGGCCTAAAATATCTGCCGAACTAATGATCGCAACTCGATAAAACTTGGCCTATGCATTGATTTGGACCAAACGGTGAGGTTTAGGCCTTGACAATTTTATCGATTTTGGATTCGTTCGCGACTTATAATGTTATACGCCGAATCCACCATGCATATTAGCGTGTCTGTACACATTTTTATAAATCATTGAAACTTTAACGCAGTAATTTGTCTGCATATTATTGTATTCGAGATCAGCACCTCTCAACAATCTAACAATTGCAATAACATGAAGAAAATTGTAAATTTTTACTAATAAAATTTTTTTGCAAGTTTCATCGAGCTGCGTTCATCAGTTTGGGAGATATTTTAGGCTCACTGAACCTTGCAAACTATATAGTCAGAGATTAAATTTCGGAGAGGTGTAAAAACACTTCGAAATCGAATCGTGTACGTAGCCTAAAGACTGGTAAACAAAAATGGCTGTTTTTGATGAAAAGTATTTTCAGAAACTGTGAATTATCTTGTCTCTCTAACTGACAATTACAATAGTTGAACATTCGAACTCGAACATCATAGGAAAGTGTTAAAGCCAAAAGTTTATGAATTGTAACTAACAGCTCGAACTGATAAAATTTCATGAATAGTTCACCTCATAAGAAAAGCATATGTTGGATGGTTTACCACTTCATCACTAGATATGTCGCGCGTGACATGTGCATGTGTTCAGCAGCAGGGTTTAACACTTGACGAATATAGTTAACCGCATAACATTGGCATGCATTGTGCTTGCTATAAGGTTTTCCGCACCGCTAATGTTTTTATTCGAGTAAAAGGTACGAACGCCTTTTAATTTTTAATTAGGGATTTCTCAAGGATGGGATTAATTGGAGTAAGTCATAATTAGTAATCAACATATAGAATTAACGAGTAATTGTTGACGATGAAAAATATTGCCGATAAATTTAAATAGATTTCATTTTATTATCAACGAATTTGAGAATGTAAGTAAAAAGCACGAGTTGAATTAATGAAATAAATCACCTGTATGAAAGAAACATTATACACACCGGATCGTTGTAGATTGTGAATGAGTTTTTCTACGAAGTAGATCGGGGGAGAAAATTTGGGTACTTGCATGAATGGGAATAATTTCGGAGAAATGTCGTGCAGTTTTTCTTACTATTATATACGCATGCTTGACGCGTGGTACGTGTCATCTGGCAGAGATGAAGAATTCTGCAATTTGAAAATTCCATTATCCTGCATCCGGCCATCATGAATTCTGTCATTCAGAATACTATAATTTCGAGTCAACAATCCAGTAAAAAATTACCAAAGGAACGTAAATGAAAAGAATGCCTGGTTTCAGTCGAGATTCACCTTGGATCGAACTCCCATTTAGCTCACGTATACTGTTTGAAATTCATATAAGCAGTTTTAACTTTTTATAATTCAATCCAATAAAATTTACGAAAATAAGAATTGAATTTCAATTTAACAATTCAACCATGTCATGAAGTACCTACCTTATATAATATAAAAGAATAGAACTTCAGGTCCTGCAGCAGTACAATATCCCGACACGGAGAGTATATAATAACGTATATAATAATAATAACATTATATATAATATACGATCACGGCATCACGTTTCAAACATATATACAAACCCGATAGCACACAATAGTTTACAATTTTATATAAGAAATTCGTCACTTATATTTACAAAAATTAAAGAAATAATGAGAGGTTCGATCTGCCATAATCAAAATTAACGACGTTATTTATCAGTGTTAATTATTTACAAGTTCATTGATTTGTATGCTGATGCCTGCAGATATCGATCATCGTAAGCTTCGTGCACAACGGAAACAATTGAATTACGCTCGCTTAGTTTTTTTATGTTGGTGCAATTAATTAGCACGAACGGATAGTCGTCCAAATTTAACAGTGCACAAGTAACAAAGTATATACGTGCAGAGCCGTAATTGCTACGTGTTATTAAATAGGTGTGTATTAAGAGATGAGCCTTTTGTGCCAAGTTTTGCGCTAATGTATGTTTTGGACCAGCTATTATTATTCAATTCACTTTTTATTCTACACTTCCTATATAGAGCAGGTATACTTTTTTAAAACATATATACACCTTCATAAAATATTACTTAATTATTTCTTTCCAGTACAAGATAGAATATTGCATGAGGTTGTGCATTTTGTGCCAATTGAACATGGCGGCTATATAAAATAGCCGTCAGCGATCGAGCGTGCATGAATGTGTGTTAAGTATAGATTGACTAAGACATTTAATGAAATAAATGGTTGCTTCAGCTCTTAATTGGCATATTTTTTTAATATTTGGCTCTATGAAAATACGTGCACAACGGAAACAAATTCAACACATTCACGCTCGCTTAGTTTTTTTATGTTGGTGCAATTAATTAGCACGAACGGATAGTCGTCCAAATTTAACAATGCACAAGAAACAAAGTGCGTGCAATTTTAATAAGCCGTCATTGCTACGTGTTATTAAATAGGTGTAAATTAAGAGATGAGCCTTTTGTGCCAAGTTTTGCGCTAATGCATGTTTGGACCAGATATTATTATATTTAATTCACTTTTTATTCTACACTTCCTATATAGAGCAGGTATACTTTTTTAAAACATATATACACCTTCATAAAATATTACTTAATTCTTTCCAGTACAAGATAGAAAATTGCATGAGGTTGTGCATTTTGTGCCAATTCAACATGGCGGCTATATATAAAATAGCCGTCAGTGATCGAGCGTGAATGTGCGTTAAGTATAGATTGACTAAGACATTTAATGAAATAAATGGTTGCTTCAGCTCTTAATTTGCATATTTTTTAATATTTGGCTCTATGAAAATTATTGATGGGGGGAAGAAACATTTTAACTTAGAAAGAGGGAAGAAAATATAATTATTTTTAAAAATTCATGCAGTTTGCTTCTCTTTTAATTATAAGCAAAGCATAAATTGACCAGAAATCCAAGAAACTTTTCACACATGACGTATTAAAAAGGCTGATATGAGTTTTAAACGAATCCGTGTATAGCTCTCGTAAGTTTGTGAAATGCATGATGAATTGACAGCTCCAACGAACTGCGTATATAGTCGGGAGCTGATAGAATAGAATGTAGAAGCGTCGGCATTGAAGAAATAGGCCCATATGGCCCGTTGCCGATTCTTGAATTTTTCGTGACTTGATTCTCAAGGGATCCGGCCTTTGGAACCCGATCTTTCAATAACTGACGATTGATTGAGATAGCTGCTGGACTTATTGCCTGGGTCGTAATTTGCTAGGCATTTTAAGACTGAACATGCAATAAATGAGTATTATGCAATAAAAAGTATTATCATATTTAGTCAGTCATTTAGGAGTAGGTATGTCATGGAGTTCAATCATCTATATAGGTAGAGAGCAATTAAAGAGGCTCGAGATTAATTGAGAGACACATCTCGATTAGGAGTACGACGCAGAAAAGATTATAAATAAAAAAAGAACAAATAGAATTACATTTTAATTGGATTTTGATCGTAAGGTTGGCAGGAGGTATTCCTGGAAAATTTTAACAAAGAGGAATTAAAAAAATGAGCTATAGGTCGTTTAATTTTTGTTAAATACAATCCATTATAATTTAATAAAAACGGCCTCTTAATTTCCAAATGTAATTATTAATTTTGGAAATCATAATTAAAATTAGGCTGACATCAAGATAATAAGCGCAAGCGAGTCTCGTAGAGTCGGTGTGGGTATCAGCGTCCGTGTCACGTAGAGCGGACGCACGCGCCACCGACGAGCATGCATGTGGTCCCGGAACTGCAAGAGTCCCAAACTTCACTCCGTCTATCGATCTCTTGACTTGATTGTATAATAATCGTGCGCAGGTACATCACTCGGGCATACGCGATCAAACGCATGCACTCATGCACCTACTGAAGGCAAATGCCTTTTATCCCATGGCCATCTTCATTTAAGTTTCCATCGCTCATATCTTGCAAATAATAAAAGATGAAACGATAATGAAAAAAATGGGCATGAAAAATTCCAGGGATATGATAAATAAAACGCTCCAATTTGCGAATGCCAAATTGCCAAGTACTTCCGTTTGCGCAACGTACCCTCTGGGGCATCCTTGGTGCCATGGACGTCTTCGTGTGGCATCCTAAGACCCGCCTTCCGAACACTTGGATTCTCCTTAAGAATTCTTTAAAATCAGAGCCTCCATTTTAAAACTTGATCGGTTTTAAAGTTAACCCGTTCAGTGGTGCCTTGCAAAGCGTTCTTAAAACCACGCCGCCCTCGTCAAGTCAGCATCCAATAGTGAGGGTAGCGAGGGCAACTCAAAAAAAGGGTCGTGGGGCGGAGTGAACGTCACTCGGAGACCATTGGATCTCTGGCGCACGGAACTCCGCCTCTCGCGATAGAGCCTGCGAGGCGCCTGCTTAGCTGAGTTGTGTAGTAGCGCGCGATGCCGCTGCTGGTACAACCACAATCACGACGTCTGCTCAGTAGTGATCGAGCCAGTGCCCTTGTTGGATGTGTGGCGCAGGTCATCCCTGTCAGTCAGACCCTCTTTTTTCCTCCTCCTCCTCCCGAATCTCATCGGCGCTCTGCAGCATCGATCCTAGCTCCTGAGTCCCACGTGCGCTTCTTGCCTCGCTTGAGATTCTGCCACTAGATGGTGCCAGCGCCCCCATTACCAACTCCGTGCAGTTGCTAAAACGAGTTCATCACCGAAAGCCGTTCAAACTTCCACAAGAGTGATTTCACATGAATCCCTACAGGTGAGTGTTGGTCAGTTACCTCAATTACCGAGTGAATGCTAAGATGCTTCTCATATCAGTGAATTTTTCCTGAGGTGGTCCAGGTTTTGCCAAGAATTTCGAGGATGTCTCGCAAGATGCGATTAGGCCGGCGTCGTCGGTCCGACAGACGCTGCGGCGCATGGCCAGCGAGGAGCGAGCTAAAATTTAGCGTCGGTCGCGCGCACCTGTTGGCGTTGAACCGAGAATCGTCATTTTCTAAAGTCTGAAGCAGCTCGCTCGCCTTGACCTTGAAAACTCCTAAATAAAGAGGGGCATCTCGGCTGGAAGCTGAGCTGCCGCTTTAAAGCTCGCACTGGGTCAAATTTACAGACTTATTTTGCGCGTTTCCTGCATCGTTAAGTTTAGTATTAGATTTATGTGGAATATTTGTTGCAATACTTGGAGTCTGTGTAGATTGGCGTATCTTTTTCGAGTTAGGTGTTTTGAATTTCTTAGGTTCGGAAAACAATTTTTGTTATTGAATGAAAAGCTGCATCAGGGAAAATGTTTACTGGTAAATTATAAAGTAATGAATACAAGCAGGTGATCTCAAATTTAATCCATATTTATAAGAAGTTTGAACGTATTATGGAGAACTGAAGTATCGTATAAAACTTTGACACATATTAGGAACAACTTATAAAAGTAGATATCATAGAAACGTTTGGCGTGAAGTTAATTGCATTGCCGCGATGAAGGTCTAAGAAGTTGGTGATTAAATTCATGAGCGCGCAAAGACTTTATATTGATTAATCAAGAGCGTTTTAATGGAAGATCGTGGTTGGAAATTTCTATCTTATACTCATCCTAGCTGCTATATATTTTTTCAGTTGAATGTTCGTGATATTCTTTACATTAAATTCCGGCGTGCATTGATAAAATGATGTGTTTAACCGGTAATAAGCACACTTTTTTGCATCGAAGAATAGAATTGAACTTGAATTAGGATCATCCTCAGTTTGCTTGTGCAGTTAAAAGTGTGAAGGAAAATAATAATATTGAAGTCTATAAACTAGGATAACAATATTGTATCGAAAATAACAATATCGATGTCTATAAGTGATCATTGATCATTACGAATGAAGAGAAGCTGAAAATGTACTCTATAATATGGAAAGGACTTCTCAATCTTATTGTTCGCTATAAGGTTAAATGAAATTTTCAAAGTATATATTTTTGTCCATTAAAGTGGAAGAGAGTTTTCTACAAATTTCCTTCTAAGATTCTAATTAAATTATGAAGCCAGAACTTGCACGTTCTTTAGCACGCTCAAAATTCTTTTAGATACTTTTTCCTCCTGCCCTCCTAATAAATTAGTCTTGCAAAAAAATGTTAGCCGCTTCTGAAAATGTCGGCTCGCGAGTCACGTTCGGGATGCTTTTCCATTGATGCACGGATTGACGCGCAACGGTCTAAACCCGGAGCTTCTTTTGAACTGAGTAATTTTTATAAGAGTATTGGCATGGATATTTGGCTCCAATTTATCCACTGGTCAGCGTGACTTGGCAGTTTCCACGTATCGAGTATAAGAGCGGAATTTGTCTCAAATGAACTTTGATGTTTATGGAACGCTTGCTGATGGCTGAAACAATACCAGCTTTGGATGACTTTGCATATAACAATACTTGGTTCAGCGTTGCTCATTTCACGTAAAGTGTTTACTAAATATTTGATGACATTAATTTAATTAAAATTTTAACTCCAAATAAATATGTTGATTATTTGAGGCAGACATAAAAAATCACTGTATCAATGGAACATTCAAACGCGTTTAGTCCCAGATGTAGTGTCTCAGGCCTTCAACGCCCATCTTAACTAATTTGCACAGGAATCCCACCAATATATTAAATAATATTTCGATCTTAATTGCAACTCAGAAAAGTGCTTGATTTCTGTTTATAATTATTGCCTAAAAGCATTTAAATGTTCGTGCGTTTTTCTAGCAGAATAGAACATCAATGACCGACATTGCAGAAACTATAAGCACGAGTTGCAGGAGTCAATCGGTGATAAAATGCAACATTCGATCGGTTGTTTGTTCAACTATCACGCGATCATGCACCGTCCGATTGATTAACATTAATAACGTCTTCACCACTTCCAATTCATAAAAGACTCGGACCGCTTCACGCACGTGCTACAGCTAGAATTGTCTGTACGTCACGCGTTTATAAATCTATTGAAGAGGCGCAGCTGCTTTATAGCACGCGCTGATAGCCGTTTAACGAGTTTCAGTTAACGATGCGTTAGTGAATGTAATAGGAGATTCAGATAGTGGTCTCTTATATAGTACTTTTTTTGATGGCTTATCCTTCACAACTAACGTTTTAAATTTATATAAATTATCAATTTTTGGAGTTCAGTGGAAAGATTTGAATTATTCTTAATAGTTTCTTCATTAAATTAATGTAAGATAAAAATGCTTATTATACCAAATAAAGGAATAGTTAACATTAGTTTAAAGGAAATTTATATCTATATTTATGTATTTGATATAAAAAATTTACATTTATATATTGGAGTATTACAGTTCATTAAATTAATGTAAGATAAAAATGCTTATTATACCAAATAAAGGAATAGTTAACATTAGTTTAAAGGAAATTTATATCTATATTTATGTATTTGATATAAAAAATTTACATTTATATATTGGAGTATTACAGTATATTTATATAATGTAATATATTTATACATTATATATTATACAAAAATTATTTATATCAAGACATATATGAATACAATATTAGTCTCCCGTAGTCCAACATTTTCCCAGCTATATTAACAAAAGTTAAATACTCTGAATAACTCGATCTTGAGAACATTTCATTTTATTTCTGAAATATTTCATCCTTTCCTGTCAGAATTGAAGCAGGATATAAACACTTTACCAGTCATTCTAATCCAACTCTGTGTAATCCTCAGCAACTCTTCAGTCGATCGTACTCGGTTTATAGGTATAGAAAAAACTCTTTCTTCTTATAGAGTCCCCAAGTTTTTTGTTGTGAACATAAAGGCCAGCTTGGTTGAGGCTTCAAGCTCAAATGTCTTCGCTCGACAACTCGATCTATTCGACTGTCTTTAAAACACTGGCCACTCTAGAACTTTTCTCAAGCCACTTATTGGAATCTCAATCGGCAGTGACATATAGAATGTATTGTCGGCAAATTATAAAAGTCGTCTCCTTTCATCATTCTCATATCAACAAGAGATTTGAGATCATATACCTATAGACAAGCTCGCAATTTTATTTACATATTATAAAAGACTCCTTAATCTAAATATTTGATACATATATATATAACTATTTCATCGTTCTCGTAAAAAACGATTTTTGATCATATTTTGCAGATTTTTTTTCGCAGCAGCAGTTCCCTAGCTTATTGTCCCGATAAGATGTTCTGCAACGGTAGCATTTGTTTGATACTGATCCGAACCTGTCAGGGGAAATTCTGTCGGTCAGCGATGAGAATTAATTAAAACGTCATTCAATAACTGATGCCAGAAGACAAAAAAATTGTACATCAATTATTGCCCCTAATTTTGCACCCGCGTTGACATTCAAACTGTCCGCTAAGTCTATATATACGCAAATGGAACCTTTCATAGAACACTTAGCAATTAGTTAAGAGGTGCCTACATTCAATAATAAAGATTTACTTAATTTGTAATAGTTTTTCATTATAAGAATTCAATGAAAAATGCTATGGCTCCAGTATAATTTAAACATACGAGTATAATAAAAGAGAAAATCAATTTCAACGAATCACTGTATTTTCATTTTAATACTGCGCAAATATAGCTTTAGAAAAATGTTTTTTTTTAATTCATGTGCCTTCCTATATACGGAAGATTTTTGTTTTCAAATTCACGACAATAGTTCGAACGGCAAGCAAATGACGTCATCGCATAACATCATACTATAATTAGTTAAGCTTTACGTAACATTTCAATTAATGAAAACTCGGTCCTACCACACGCGGCTCGCATGCGATGACGTTAGAACGAAACGGCAGAATGAATGAGCATTAGTGTGGAGATTTCGTCCATTCGCTCATCTCATTACCGGTACTTGACATATGTCATGGAAAAACTAGGCCACAGAACGTATGTCATGGATGCCCTGCCTAGATGCATGACACTGAACGGTTAAATCAAGTTCATGCCACACCCGTTCCACATGTATAATAGCTGAAACCATGTAGCATACAATCTGATCTCGATGCTAATGTTTGCAGGACATATCAGTCAAGCCAATGATAAAATATAATAAAAATGAACGTGTACAGTACGGTGCATGGAAATTAATGACGCAAGCTTAAATTTTCCTATACGTGCATGCAAATGAGGACTTATATTAAAATAACCTAATGGGAATTGATGAAGGCATATAATTGAGAACACTATATATACATAGCTGTCTATAATCGATCAGAATTATTTGTGAATATACAACGAAGGACTGCAATTTTACAGTTAATAAACAGTTATTTCACGTTATTAGAGATGTTAGTCAAAATATAAGTTAACGGCATTTAAACGCGTAATTTGAACGTTTTTAGAAATAAATAAAAATTTAAAATTTTTTACACCGTTTGCCACTTTTCAAGTAGGTTTTTGTCGACATTCACGATTCAGATGCACTGTGGTTCGACCAGTTTCAAAAATTCTTCGTGACACCAAAAAATTATAAAGATAAATTGGTTCTTATGAATTTAATGACAAGATGAAAATGCAATTGAAGCGTTGACTGCCAAAAATATTTGAATTCAACGTAGAGTTTGAATGCAAAATAGTCTTTCATGGATCAGTACATAAAGAAGAATAGTAAAAAATATCGAATCTAGGTCGTGCATACGCCAGCACGCATTGTTAACATTGTAAAAATGAAGCGCCAAACCAAAAAATTGTAAAAAGACAATAGAGACCGAATATCGTTTGTTGAAATTATCAGAGGCCGGATATGAAACAATTCACCGACGTGGAAGACATTACTGAGCGATCGAAGGTGAGGACATCGATAGCAATTATGGATTAAAAGTAAAACGCGAACTCAGCGAGGGTTCTATTCCCTCATTTATTACAGAGACAGGTGAGGGCGAGTATAATTGCAGCCGTCCGGACTCGTAACTCTCTTTAATAACGAGTAAAAACTCTAAAGAACTCCCGCATTTGGCTTGAACCGGATGCTGAGATGCGAGGCTCGTGGCCACGTATCTATGATTGCACCCAACAGCTCGGTTACACAGATCGGTACCGATGAGAACTTGAATTGTGAGGTGTTTATGTAACATCATTTATTAATACAAATTTCAACAATAATTTTGATCGATCACGAATTATTGAACTTTCATTTTTTAAAGCTGCTGGGTTTTCGTACAAGTGACAAAAGAGCTTAAATATTAAAACTGAAATTTTACGATGAATCTAATCGAATGAGCTCAAGATACCGTAATCACTTGTACATGTGGTTTGTAATTCATTAAATGAATGAATGTATTATTAGATGAAACTATGCACTTGCAAATTCGTAAATTTAATCCATATTACGTTCCAATAAATTCAATTATTCAGGTTGAAAGCACGAAGTACAATAAAGTATAACGAATTTATTTGGAATACCGGAAGGCTGAATTATGTATTTCCGCTAAATTACTATTTACCGTTTAAAAAATTTGTTATCGATCTAACGAAACTTAGACTTCGATAGAGAACTTGCTTTTTAGTGGGAAATGATGCACAGCTAAAAATGTAGCTTATCCACCAAAGTTATAATTTCGACTCCGGATGTAATTGAGTTTTTAATTTCCTTTAGAGCACTAACTGCAAATTGGGCGATTTGCCGCTCCAGGCCCGGTGGGCATGAGCATTTCATGGACACTTTCCGCTGCCGAAAGTAAAATTTTAAATCGAAGTTGCATATGTTTATTTTGGCAACTTTTATTAAGCTAGCGAATGGTAAAACGATTTAAACAATTCCCTAAGTTTCTGGAGACAATTTAGATTTTAATTAAAATTATTTGTCGCAACCGTATGATGTTGACCGACGATTGAAAGCCAACGTTTCTAAATGATTCAAAATATTGAGGAACCTTGAGGAAATCCTGATATATTTTTAAACATCGGTATAAATTTAGGCAATAGTTAGCCTAAGATTACATAAATGATAAAAAAAAACAATAAGAACCTGGCTGCCATTAGTATTGAAAAAGTTCAGCTGGATCAAAGAAGTGCGTTATGAAAAAAAAATTAGAGTTGATAGGCATATTTAAAAACAAAGCATGAAACCGCGACAACATCGTCGTATAAATTCAATTGAAGCTGCCAGTCTGAAACTAAGTCTCCAAAGCCAGTCTGAAATTAAGTACGAAAGTTTTTACATTACAATACATGTTTAATTATTTATAATGATCACCTAGTGGAGTTGTACTCTGTGGCTGACAAAACGAATTCCGTCCCTAGATATGGATTAGCTAGACTTGGATTAGCTGGCAGATTTACGATACCACAATATATTTTTTCGTGAATGCGGTAGCATAACCGTTAGGGCGCCTCACGCTCGTCCACCGGATGTGACCGCGATAATCAAGTTCGCTTCGACGGCCCTCGCCGGCGTGAGCCCTGCCAGCGACTCTCACTTGGTACCTCGCGGCTGTACAAGCGAGGAAAACAATAATAAACTAAATAAATAAAATGGTCATTTACTCTTATAGTCGTTAGTATATAAGAAAGCTGATATTCGTGAAGCGCTTTACTCACTTTGCAGAGAAAAACTCCAATATGTGTGGCACGAAATAAAATGTAAAAGAAATATGAAAGTGATTACAAGTGTTCAATGTCAAATGAAATTTTGTATATTAAATTTATTAATATGCACTAATTTAAAGTATAATTAAGTTTGTATGACTAATGTGTAGGGGGAATAGTTCGCTAAATTATGCTCCCATTTCTGCCATGCCATGGTAAACTTTGATTTCCTGTTTCAAACGCTCAAAAGATATTGATATTACACCAGATCGAATGTCCAGAAAAGTTGAAGCTTATTTTTTGTGCGATCATAAGGACAGTCGAGTGCGCGATGTTAGCGAGATGACAAAGCGGGGCGCAGCGAAGGCACCGGCGAGCGACATCCAGATGGCGGATGGGGCGAGCAATTAACAGAAGCATAACTAGAGATAACAATCAAAGAGGGGGATTACGAGAATAATTTTAAACTGGCTTGCACGACCTAATGCAACAATCATTTGATTCTGTGGGATCCCGTTCTATTACGTCCAACGTAATTTGTACGGAAAACTTACAACCAAAAAAGTTGGATACAGGGAAACAGATATGGTTGCTTTTAAACAAAAACTTATCTACCTATATAGTTTTTTGCGTTGCTTGCTGCGTTGTTAATGAACCTATACATTTTTATCATTTGCAAAAAGTTTCTTGCATGTCTTGTTGATTAGTTCGAAGTAAATGACGGTTCAAATTGCAGAGAAATAAATTTTTGTCTCGGATATATATATTTTTTCATGCAAGTGTTTATTACATTGCAATACTATATGAGTGAGACCAAGATTACTATTTGAGAGACCATGATTACTACATTGAAATTCGTATGATGAATTGAAATAACAATAGGCTATAGTTTTTATACTGTTTCTGACAGGAATAACAGTGGTTTTCCATCTGATAGATCGCTGCGCATCGATTATTTAACCCTCTGTCTCCAGACACATTGAACTGGTAACTAGAATACCTTAACTTTATTAGCTTAAATACAGGATAGTAGGCAATATTTTTTTGTAACCATCGTTCACTAATATTGTGCAACCAAGTTGATAACGCAGATTTATTTTGACTTGCAGATCGCATAGTACAAGATGGCATCGACCGCGCTGAACTCGAGGTCCATAGAAGCCATGGTGACGTCGCGCCCAGAGACCAGCAACGCAACGTCTCCAATGAATGGCCAAGACGTGCCCTCGTCGTACCTGGCTCAGTACACCGCTACTCTTGAGGATTTTGCCCGTAGAAATGCCGAAAACTTGATGAATGCGTCGTCAGTGATAAGAAGCGGGTCCCCTCAGGGCGATGAAGTGACTACTGAAGACGAGGATGGAAGTGGTGACGACAACAGCTCTGGAGGACACAAGAGTTCCATTGCCTCGCCTCTCGACTCGGCCAAAAAGCGCCGCAAACAAAGCAAGCCTAGTAAAATTGGAGGATCCGATGGAGGCAGCGTTAAAAGTGAAGAAGTGGACAAGGAAGAACTTGACAAAATGCGTGATAATATTCTATATGCTTCCCCAAGAAATGCCAACGATGAAATTCGTGGAAACAATATCGAAGAAGGGGGTTCAACTTTAAAGTGCCCGCATTGTCAAGTGGCGGTGCATACCCACGAGGCTTTACGTAATCACATAATTGAAGAACACATTGGTCGGATGCTTACGGAAGATGAAATACTCATGCGTCATGCTCAGATGACCAATCAGAAAATACTGCAGGAACAACAGCAACAGCAATTTCAGCGCTACCAACAACACGTCTTAGCTGAAACTCTTCGAATACAGAATGAACAGAATGAAAAACGAAGAGAAAAGGAACATATTAAAGAAAAGCAACAGCAACAACAACAGCAGCAACAACAGCAGCAACAACAACAACAGCAGCAAGATCCTCAAACAAGCATACACAATCAGAATGAGAGAATGCCACTGAATCATCATATGCTCTCACACCCGCTGCACCTGCAGCATCAACAGCGCCAGCAGCAGTCAGAACAGCAGCACAGTGTATACGAAAGAGAAGAAGGAGAAACTGGCCCGTTGAACCTTAGCAGTACTCGATGGGATAACAGATCTAATCCTACCCAAGATCCACAACGAAGTCCGGTCACACCTCTGCCCGCGTCTATTCCAATGCCCCCTTCGTTCGTTGATGCCCGTTTCAACCTACCCGGCCTTTTACCTTTCGGACCTCCCCCGTTCCTGCTACCCTTCATGCAGCAAGCCGATAGAGAAAATCCTCTAGTTAGTCCGGGGCAAACCGGTTTCCACCCAGGACAGTCACGAATTTTTAATCAAGAAGCGTTCTGTGACCTCTGCAACAAAGAATTCTGTAACAAGTATTTCTTGAAAACTCACAAAGCTAACAAACATGGTATTTTTACTCCAGAACCAAGCTGCTCGCCTATGCCACCGACACCTCCAAACCCAATTGGGCAGTCAACTCCTCTGAACTCCAACGCATCCCTTATGGCACCCCTTGTTCATTCCCCAATGACCCCAACGTCAATGGGGGGATCACCTTATGCAGGAGCCTTTTTTACCGCAAATTTGGGGAATCTCGCTGCTCTACGTCCTCCTCTTCCAATTCAGATTCCTCTAACTCCAAAATCACAGTCTTCTTCTTCAAAAAATGATTCTTCTTCGATCTCAAAATCTGGTGTTATCAACTTAGATGCGTATTGCGAATTGTGCCAAAAGGAGTTTTGTAACAAATATTTTCTGAAACGTCATAAGCTAAAGATACATGGCGTCAATATTGAAGTAACTATCAAAGCCCCGAAAACTAATCCAAATCTTGATCGACCTGAGGGTTGGTGTGACGCGTGTCGACGAAACATCGGATCGAGGTCGGCTTTGAATGCTCACAAACTCCACGTACACGGGCCGCATATAGTTAATCATATGCCGCCGGCCACAGACGCGACCATTCGACATCCTTTGGATTTTAGGCCTCATGACACTCTGCCTGCCAAGCCTCGGAAACTTGAAAGGGAGTCGAAGGATAATTTCAGTCCGTGGGATACCATGATGAGAGATCGAGAAGCTCTCGACGAACGACTGATCTGGAACAAAAAACCTAAATCATTTGATGGTACCTCTCCTCGAAATGAAGAAGTCAACGGCGCAAATGAAGGAAAAGCTCTTCCAGAAAATATTTCTTTCGACAGAAAAGCAAACTCTCATTTTTCATCTCCAGCTTCATCGGAGTCTTTCTTCAAGAGTGCGAACCCCAGAATGCTTATTAACGATCATATGTTTTCACAATTCAATGAAATACGCAAGATAAAATTGCCCCAAACCAATGGCGAAACGGAGATTATTCCGAGCGAGCTTGAAGTTAAAGTGGAAGCTCAGTCAGTCGACAATAATCAATCGCCGCCGAAAGAACGAGTAGATTCCGAATGTGACCCTCCCATGCCAGTGTTGAAACCACAGAACGGAAACGAGAGGGAGATGGATACATCGCTCGAGACCAACGAATTTGAAGACAGGGCACCCCCAGTTTTAAAAGAACAGGCTGTTCCGCTTAATAGAACTCAGGATGAAGAAATGCAGGAGCCTGGGCAGCTAACCACGGAACCGCCAAGAACCCCAGGTGGTGTAAGTAACTCCACGGATGACAGTTCCAGGGAAGCGGGAATCATAGCGCGTGTGGGACAACCGGCCATTGTACAAGCGCCTCCAGGAACAAAATTTACCACAGAACAGCTTCGTCAACTGGGGGTAATCAATCCTGATGCATTTTGTGAACTATGCTGCAAAGAGTTTTGTAATAAATATTTCCTTCGCACGCATAGATTGAAGAAACATAATATATATACGCCAGAATATTCCGAGCGCTCAAAACAACATTACAAGCTAGAAAATCCTACTAATCTTTCCCGGATTTTCGACAGGCAATCGTTTGATTTCCGACCTCCAAATATAAATGGCATGGATTCAGAAACCGAATGTAATATATGCAGACGCCCTTTCCCAAGCCCTTATCTCCTGCATATGCACAAATTTTATTTTCATAAGCCAGGTTCAGAAGCCATGCAAGGTGAAAATATTCCAATGCCTGAGCATTTACTATCTCAGGAACAACTGCGACAAATCGCTATTCAGGCCCATCATCAAAAAATACATGAACATCATCAGTTTTTGATGCGCCAGCAAAAGCACAATGAAACTCAAATGCAAATGGAACAGCCAAAGTGCGAAGAGAAATCACCAACTCGCGATAATATACCAACTTTTTCTTCGGGCCTTCCAGAGGAAAATTCCAAAATTCAGGAGCAAATCTCAGCAAATGCTTCTTCCAATGAAACTTTTGACAAATCTCCAGTCGTGAACACTTGCTCTCTTGAAAATAAACCTATCGAAGGATTAAGGCTGATGAAAACTCCAGATGAGCTAAGAGACCACACTAGTCACTCACTAAGTGGTGAAGCAGATACAAGTCAAGAACTACGTAAGCTTCAATCAATGATCCTAGAACTCAATCGTCACGGCGACGAAGGAATCGTTTGTAAAGTGTGCCAGAAAGAAATCGGAAACAAGTATTTTCTACGGGCTCATATGATGACTGAACACGGAATCTTGCTTCAAGATGACCACGTTAGGAGTGAGTCGGCGCAAACTCCAAAAACTCCTTTTGATGTCGGTGGGAGAATTCCATCCCCTCTGAGCTCTCCTTCAACCGAAAGTCAAGCTTATTGTGACATCTGCAAAAAAGATTTTTTCTCCAGGTATATTCTACAACAGCACATGCTCAGCACTCACGGGGTTTTCACACAACATCCGGGTCACACACTTTTCTTTGATCGAATCAAGGCCGAAATAGAAGGGAAAGAAGAACGAAAACCTCAATCGGTTTCACGCTCATATTGCGATATCTGCAACAAAGAACTTTGTAATAAATACTTTATGAAAACACATATGTTAAAAATGCACGGAATTAATGTTGAAAATGGAACAGCAGGTGGCGTGACTTGTGATTTATGCAATAAAGAACTATGCAGTAAATATTTTTTGAAAGTTCACCGCCAAAACACGCATGGCCTGGTCGAAGACATGAGAGACGGCAAAGACTTGAAGGATTTATCGTTCAAAGACTGCAGAGAAAGTGATGAGAATCCAGAAGACCCAACCGCAATTGAAATTTGTCCTCTATGCAATAGGAAATTCAAAAACATCAAATGGCTGCGCACCCACTTAACGCAAGACCACGGCGAAGAGGGCAAAACCAAATGGGAGGAAATGGAACCTAACTTACCCCCAATTGACAATCTGAATCAGAACTGCCCCAACTGCAATATATGCGGTCAGTCTTTGCCAGACCTAGTTAGTTTACAACTCCATATCATAAAGCATCATGGTGGCGAACAGAATGAAGACATGTCGGACGATGAATCCAGTATAAATATTCATTGCTCAACATGTTCTTTCGCCTGCCGCAGCCCGACTTTACTTGCAGCGCATGAACGGAGTCACAGCCCGGGACAGTCACTTAAGAGTAGCCTTTCAAATTCTGGAAGCATGTTCCAGTGTGATATTTGTTCTCAAATGCTCCCAAACATAGAAATGCTTCAACAACATTTGATCGGACATCGACTTCAAGGGTTATTTGAGCCTCTATTGACTAAGGAAGTCTCTAAGGAGGAAAATGACTTTATGCGATCTGTTTTCAACTCACGGAAAAAAATCTGCAAGCGCTGGAAGTGCAAAAAATGTGCAATAAGCTTCAAAAATCGCAGTAGTTGCTTGGTACACGTGTTCAGTAAGCATTCCAATCGACCTAACCGTCACTCCGTCATGACGAAGACCCTGTGGGGAAAGAAGGCCTTCAAGTGCCGCAAGTGCGGAGTTTCACGGCGGCGGCTAGGAAGCCTACTTAAACATTTCCGCATACACTGTAAAAATATCAAACAGCCAGTTAGTTTACCAATAACACAAGCACAGCCCTACGACACGAATGACTCTAATCACGAGTTTTTGATGCAATCATTCTTGATGAATAGGGGCCACAGCGGGGACGCCGAAGAGCCTTTTGTTCCATCTCTGGTGAGACTCCCAGTTTCTAGGCGGGTACATCAGCCTCTTACTGTGTCATTCACGTTGACACCCGCTTAAAAAACTGGCTTCTGAAGAAGCTACAACTGCGTTAACTTTGGAAGAACTTATCATATAGTGACCGACCACTGTTTTATGGGAATAAAAACTGACGTATGTATATTGTCAATTATATATACTTTTGGTGACACTTTGATGAGAAGAAGCTCTCGATGTTCCGTGAAGATCAGAACTCATTTTGACATATCATAGCTGATTGAGAAGCTCACCTACATTTGACATTCACAACTATTAAGTGACATGTTTTTTGGCATTTCGTCCAGGTGTGTTGATATTTGTTCCCGGAAACGTCTATGTATATAGGTAAAGCTTTCGCTACTACATCTGTGTGACTGTAAGGTTTTTTGGTGATGTCTGAGCTACATGCTTGTAGTGGCATCATATTATTACTAAATATAGACGGTAGCTAGAAATGCTGAGCGTTGTGTGGGGTATTATTAAACTTCCTGGCGTGGAAAATGAGTTCCTGGTAGGTATAAGACAACTTATAATGGTACTAGTACTGTACATTAAATTCCATGTCGGTAGAAATTTGAGTGGCGTGTTGATAAGAAGAATTAATCTCTAAACTAATTGAGAAGGCGTTCAACGTACAAGCAAGCACGATACGCCTCTCAAAATTCAGCGTTGCTTCGGCGGCAGTGATTCTGATGAGGAAAATTGCTGGTTGTTTCAATTTAATGTTCATATTCTAGTCAGAGTTGAGGTGCTTCTTCGAAAATAACCTAGATTAATAAGTATGTATTTTCTATAATTTAGACGAGTTTCTGGCTGAAATTTTTACAGAGAGTAAAATCAGGACCACCCCGAAATTTTATCCAACTTAACTTTCGACAAAAAATTCGATCATTTATTGTGTTGGCTTTTGTTAAAAAATGAAATTTAAATTCTCTTTATTGTAGTTATTCCTGAAATAGGTTAGGTACATTGCTCCATGCATTTCCAAATAAAATTATTTCTATGTTACGTATAAATGATGTAGAGACCTCAAGAATTCCACATCTATCTAGTCATACAAACAAGGTATATGTATAGTGAAGTAGTTGTATATGTTTGAAAAGTGACTTGCAAGAAGTAACCTAATTATCATCTAGATATTATTGTTGTTTGAGAAAACCATTACCACGTATTCTTCCAAAGCCTAAGAAGTTTTGTTGAAGTTCTCTGCCTTGTTATTTTCAAGATTGTTTAGATTTGGAAGTTCAAATGCAACCTTGTGTTTAGTGAAGGTTGTGAAAAATGTGACTATCTTAGATACGTGACATTCTAAATTACTATTCCCTACGGGAATAACCTAACCATATGGCTTTTTATAGTCATCCTTATTTACAATTACGTGGTTCGTGCATGAAGATGTAATTAACTTTAGATTTTAGGTTTCTTCTGATTAAATCTCCGAAAATTCTTTGGCATTCAATTTGTTGACCTCTAATTTTCTAAGTCAAAGTTTTAATTTGACATATGAAATGTTTACTTTTAATTTCCTTAAATATTTACCGTGAAATTATGTAGTGGCTGAAATGCTAGCTTCAAATAAATATTGTTTTGTTATGAAATTAATTTGTTGTTTTCTAACGAGAAACAGAATTCAGTAGCATACATTCAGTCGAGGAGATTCATGACATAATGGCCGGGAAGAATTATTTTTTTAATCAATATCGCATTGCGACGATCTGTGTCAAGTCCCATGGTTTGATAAAAGTCGATTTATTGATGCCGTTGATAGATGTGACAACATGTAAAAAGGTAGCTCATAATTAACATGCAGATCTTGAGATTCGTGAATGGAGCATTCGTGTCATAAATCTCAAACCGTTACAACTAACGTTTGTTTGTAAAATAATTTCGTGCTTTGTTTGGGTTTTCCTCATATCTTGCAGATTTCCTCATATCTTTCAGTCGGTGTTATTTGCAAGATAAATTAGAATACGAACAGCTTTTCTTTGGTAAATAATTAATTCTAACTGCAATTATATTTTTCCACGCATATTGTGACGACGATTCGATCGACTTGTGGCAGGATAACAAGCGTAAAGAATAAAAATATGCACTAGAAACAAAAGGGCGTATGAAATTTATCCATGAGAAATTACGGTTTCCTGCAGCGACTGTCATTATTCAGCACATTCCAGCCTCCACTATATACTCGCTCTACAGAAAATGTCTAACTTCAAGCGGTCTAAGGAAACGCTATTAGTCTTATAACAGTAAAGTTATATCGTAAATATTGCTTTTGAGGCCTACTCGTATACATCTGAAGGTTTTATTTAAAAAATTAAGCCGATAAAATGTGTTTTTCAATCTACTCAGTTTAAAACTATATATTTCCACCGTTTTACTGCTGGAAAATCATTAGCCTTAGCATTCGTTCTATGACATTCAATGGCCAGCCCGACATACATAACATTCCAAATACGTTAATTAAACTGATTACTCATTGCCAGTAATATTTATAACAAGCAATTGCTAAAGGGATAATTATGCAGCATTTCTCATCTCTTCAATCACGACCTCGTGCTGTTTCTTGCTCATAAATTTCAGCCAGACATGGATGCGCAACGTGAAATAGATGTTCGTAACTGCAATTTGTGTCATATGTCTTTTGTTTAATGAAGATCTGTTTAAGCTATTAATATTATGTAATTTATACTTTATTGTTAAAATGTGTCTAAAGCGATACGTACATAAAAGTCATAATGATATACTAACATTGTATTCTTATCCCGCTTATCTATCAGAATTTTGAGGTACTCATATATTTACTCGGTATTATGAGCAAGACATCCGTGTCTTCTCTGCGCACTCTATGCCTGTCGAATATTGTGATAGGTTCGATGAGGGGCCTCCGTGAAAATAAAATAATATGGAAAAAATATGCGAAACCTTGTTCAATTGCGGGTTCAGTTAAAACCTATAGGCATACGTTTCAATTGTCACTCGCTCTATTCATTAATACAGACTGCAGTATCAGTCTGCATACAGACTGTTATACAATGTTTCATCAATAATACCTAAAAATTCGACTCTCGAGTTACGAAAAAGTTTTTATATTTGAGTTGCATTTTTAACAAGTAACTTTGAAAACTCAAGCTGGCTTAAAATAAAATTTATTCATATTGAAATCGACCTTGAATGACTTATTTTCAAAATTCCATTGAGAGCTACAGGACGGAGGTCAGTATACAGTGCAAAACATCTCAATGAGGCGGTCTCTTATCAAATGAGTTGTATGTGCGGTATCTGTGCCGCACTTATCTCTATTACCTACATTACTCGGTCATCATCATGATAATGGCTTACCGTGCATGTCAGCAATATACTTCAAGATTATCATGCGATTTGTTTGGCGGTGTTTTTGATGGAGGGTTTCGAAACATGATTGATTCGAGAAAAAATAAGAGGTTTGATGTAGTTATGAGAAAAAATTTGAGTGTTTTATAAACATATTTGATGATTAGATATTATCGAAGATGCTATCAAATATATATTGGGATATTTCCATAAAAAATGGCAACGAAAAATATCAGGCATGAGGAAAGGCTGAAAAAGGGATTTTTTTCATGAATTATTCGGTAGAGAGAATTAATCAAGAGAAGGAATTACATCAAAAATCTATTAAAAGGTAAAAAACCATGCAAAACCATAAAAGGAAACACTTGTTTTCATTCATGTGCGTTAAAAATGACTCGCATTTCTTAAACTGAATAAAAACAATGATTCAACTAAAATTCCCTCCTAAATTATAAAATTAAATAATTATAATAATTTTACATAATATTGGCAATAATTCCCATAAATTATTACCTTGCATTGACCACGATGTGATTACAAATTAATATAATAAATATAGTTTTCAGGGACTGCCGAAGCCAAGTATTTCCTTAGGCTTTTATAAGAGGCGGTGGGAGCGCAGCAATAGCGCGGGCCAGATTTGAGGCTATGGCCTCTTTAAAAGGGAGAACTGCTCCCGGGAGACTCCCCGGCGTGATTTTCAACGCTCGCTTCAACCACCAAGGAAGGCGCCAACTTCCTCAATATTGTCCAAAAGTTAACTTATTTACAACGGAAATTACACGAATCTTTGTAAATTAGTTTCGTAAAACACCTTCACTAAGAGATGAGGAAAAATGACAAACAGCCGTAACGAGCAATACATTTTTAACAGTAGTTAGAAATTTATTTTATTGAATCATATCTCACTTTTTTATTTGTTTGGTACAAAATAACATTAAAAATGGTTTTAGTTTCAGAATGCTCAGTAGAAAGATATTGCACATGTGCAACACTGTAATGAAATAATTAAATGCTTGTAATTAGTCAGAAATGATTCAGAGCTCCACACAGTACATTGGTGATAAGCGCTGGCTAAAAGATGAGACCAAAAATCAATTATTATATCCACGAAAATTTAAGTTTAAATTTTAATTTAAGTTTACTTCAACTAATCAATAACGTTAACACAGATGTATTTAAAAATCTTAATATAGATGAGAACTAAAAAAAATATTCACAGGCAAGACTGCTACACGCATGAATTATCCAAATCACCCGATGATATCAAGTTACTACGTGGAAATGGAAATTTCAACATTAATTACCATGTGCAATATCTCCTCAGCCACTACCAGCTCCCCCCTGCATACATTATATAACGGCGTCACGTATGCAAGATGGCGGAGGCTGAGCGGCATCATCTAAACTATTTTTATCGAAAAGTGTAAGAGGAGTTAGTGTAACCATTATTGTGGAATATTGCCCAGTAAAAGTGGGGCTGTAATCGTAACTTCCTGTATTATGATGCATTATTCTCCACGATTATAGCCACTTGGCCGGCATCTCTAGAACAGTCATAATTCAGACCATCTTCCTTCAGTAACGGCGCGTGACTTGCGCTATCAACTCCTGCTCGCCTTGATTGACCAGGCATCACTGTGCATCAACGTGCATCACTGACCATCAACGTGCATCACTGAGCATCAACAAGCATCACTGTGCATCAACGAGCATCACTGCGCATCAACATGCATCACTGAGCATCAGCGTGCATCACTGAGAATCAACGTGCATCACTGCGCATCAGCGTGCATCACTGCGCATCAACGTGCATCACTGAGCATCAACGTGCATCACTGCGCATCAACGTGCATCACTGACCATCAACGTGCATCACTGTGCATCAACGAGCATCACTGTGCATCAACATGCATCACTGAGCATCAACGTGCATCACTGAGCATCAACGTGCATCACTGTGTATCAACGAGCATCACTGAGCATCAACGTGCATTCCTGTGCATCAACATGCATTCCTGTGCATCAACGTGCATCACTATGCATCAACGTGCATCACTGTATATCAACGTGCATCACTGTGCATCAACGAGCATCACTGTGCATCAACATGCATTCCTGTGCATCAACGTGCATCACTGAGCATCAACGTGCATCACTGTGCATCAACGTGCATCACTGTGCATCAACTAGCATCACTGTGCATCAACATGCATTCCTGTGCATCAACGTGCATCACTGTGCATCAACGTGCATCACTGAGCATCAACGTGCATCACTGTGCATCAACGTGCATCACTGAGCATCACTGAGAATCAACGTGCATCATTGAGAATTCACATTCATCAACGTGGCGTCACCACACCGAGCATCAACGTGGCATCACCACATTGAGCATCAAAGCGACATCACTGCACTGCGCATCAACTAATGCGACGCTGAGGTGTCCAAAATTTCTAGTTGGAAGTAGTTCATAGTTCAGAAGGTAGCGTCAAGACTCACTTTGCTCAGTTAGTGAGCATAATAATTTTCAGTTATAGTTTGCGCAATAATTTGTCATTTTGTGAGCAAAATAATCTGTTAGTGAACGCAATAATTTGTCAGATAGTGAGCAAAATAATTGGTTAGTAAGCGCAAAAATCTTTCAATAATTATCTAGTGCAATAATTAGTCACTTGCGTACAATAATATCACGTATCGCAAGTATGTGATAGTGGGACATTAAGCTTCCAGCGCAATTTGTAGGGCATGCGTTTATGCAGTCTTGAACTACATAAACGCGCTTGCGAATTAAATATTGTACACATCTTCGACATTTTCTTCGCTTCCTTCTGTTTGTTTTGACATTTAAGCTTTGATTTATCCATATTAGGAATTATTGGAAGGAGTTATTTTGTTCTCTGAGCACAATGCTCTCATCGCTGTCTCGCTGCAATCCAGTTATACTGGATTTTGTATCAATAATTTTTCACGTAATTAAATAAATCTCACGGTAGAAGATCTCTGAATTTAATACGCCATATTTAATCAAAACGTATAACTTGCATTCTGTTTAGTGGGGAGAATATCGGTGTCAAACGAACTTCATTTAAAATGAGTTAACGTATAAAATTGATATGAACTTACTTATTTTCATTCAGACCTAATGAAAAAGCTGGCCGAATAAATTAATAATGAATGTGGAACTGTCATTGAAAATCCAGATTCAAAATTACGAAGTGTTCGTAGATTGTGAGAAGTTTCATTGTGAGTTCTCACTTCTTGAAAAAAATTTGTTTACGAACATTTTCTTATCTATTTCAATCTGATCAACTATTATGATTGTTAATCACACAATCATATCGTCGTCCAAAACTCCAACTAGTAATAGAAAAGACTTGAAATTTTTTGTTGGTTCAGCACCGACACTTTTTGACCCAAAATAATGCGCAAAAAGCCTCGAGATTTCCACTCAACTAAACTTCACGTATCGCCTTTCTCTAGCAGACCTTACAATGGCGATCATTTTTTATGAATATTTCTCCGTTGTGGATATTGGCACAAAAAAAGTTCCCTGAAAATGGGTGGAAATGTTAAACGAGTGAAAACGGAGTTGTGATTGCCGCCGGGGCAGGCAAGCGCGTGCGTGCAGTAGGTCTTTTTTAACATGACCAGCAGTGCTGAGTTTCCAAAAAAGAGCTTGAATTTCCTATGGAGGGGTGACGACTTCACTGCCCTTAGGTACGAACGAACACTGCACATCGGGAGACAGCTGCACGTCGACGCCTATGCCGCTCGCTTCCTCTTCACGACCGAAGCTTCAACTTGAGCTCTTAACTCCATGAAATCGAGTAAACTTTGTATTGATGCAGGACAAAAATTGATCTGATATATAATAATATTCTCCTTATAGCACCAATAAAAATATTTGACCGATGAGAATTGTATAAGTTTCAAACGTAACAGTATTAATGTTTTGATATTATACAGGAGATCATTGAAAACTGAGCAAAATAAGATAATTCGACTTGATTTCAATGTATTAGGATTTTTTCACGTTTTCATTACGTGGAAATTCTACATTTGATTTTCAAAAGCAACGCACCTATTTAACAGTAGAGTGAGAACACGCGTGTCACAATCCGATTAAAGTTAAAACGTTAATCACATTTTGTGAGCAAACGCTGAAATAGATTTTCCGAGGTATTGTTGTTCATGAATAAAACACCATATTAAAACATCAGATAAAATTTGAATAACTGTTCAACACGCAGCAGCTAAAAGGCCCATTTTAGTTGCGGACTGCAAGGCCTGCTAGATATTATCAAATCTTTGGGCAGAAAATCGGGCGCCAGTTTTCACACCTCGCTCTAGATGCATTGTGGCCGAGGCCACAATTAACCGGGAGGATCGGGCCGAGTTCAATCTG